TGATTGAGTGACAATTCTGCCTAATAGGAACAGTTGTATGTGATTTCGCACATGCACAAAGGCCAGTTTGGCAGCATCAGGTGCAAAATAAAAGAGAAAAATGCACTATTCAAGCGACTAGATAGGACCACTTGGCTCGCCACCCACAGGTGTAGTTACATGTTAGGTGCACCATACCTGTTCCTTGGCCTCGGCAAAGACATTAGGAGTGGGTTTGTCCAGCTTTGACTCCACGGCCTTCATGGCTTTGTCGTCGACGTTGACGGTGTGTGGGGAGGAGGGAGAGAGGTACTGGTCATAGATCTTCTTGGCAGCCATCTGCAGCTGTACGGTCGACATCTGGAGAGCCTTCTCCGAGTACTGCCTGGCATCCTTCCAGAATAAGATGTTCTCCTCGCAGTGTTCCTTCTCCAGGAATTGCTGCAGGGTACGGGAGAGACCAGGGAAGACTGACATGTCGGTCTTGTGACTAGTGTGGAATGTGCCACCAGAAAGGGGGCAAAGTAATAGGGAGTTATTGTTATGTGCGTTCCATAGTAGAGAGGCCAAGAATGTGGTTGGATTCCAATCTCACACAGTGAGAGGTTTCTGTTGGGGCAGAGAGAAGAGAGAGAGAGAGAGAGAGGGCCACGTGTGCAATGGTGGGAAGCTGTAACCCGAGACATGCTGGAACACAAGGTATGTCGTGGGATGATGGTTCACGAACATCAGCTTTCGCCCTCGGGGAACTGAAGGACATGCAACACAACGAAATAACTCATTTTTAGCTACTATCAACGGCTCTTTCTGGAAAACCTCTTCGTACTAGTATTTCCTAATTCAACTGCTCACTAAGAGAACTGATCAACTGCTAGGAGTAAAGGTCATGTGGATATATACTACACTGCATAACTTGATACGCATGCCAGTTGCCATAGTGGCTTCACGTTGCATCACACATCACCAATGCACACACAGCAAGACAAACATTACACCGGATATGTGCACACTGCCTACAGAGGCAGGAAGAGGGGAAGAGAGTCCAGCTATTAGAACACAGGATATGTGCACACTGCCTACAGAGGCAGGAAGAGGGGAAGAGAGTCCAGCTATTAGAACACAAACTGAATCAGACATTCTCCTCCCCTCTCTTCCTACTATAGAGGGAAGTTTAGACAGGTGTCTCTCCACCTTGCATATTTAGTTCGCTCTCTCCCCTCTTTCTCTCTCATTCTCCTCCTCTCTCCTCTCTCTCCTCCTCTCTCCTCTCTCTCCTTCTCCTCCTCTCTCCTCTCTCTCCTGCTCTCTCTCTCTCTCTGCTATAGGGCCAACCTGGAGACAGGTCACTCCTAGAGGATCCTCCAGCAGTTTGTCAAAGGAGGCGATCCATCCTCCGACTCGGCCAAGCTCCTGAGGCTCCTGACTCTCCTCGTCTGCCACTGTGGTGACTGTCATGATGCTCCCTTGACTGGAGGTGAGGAGACCGTTCTTGGCTGGGAGACCCGGGCCCCCTGACCTCACACTGTCTACTGCTAGAGAGAGAAGAGAGGGGAGGGTGAATGTGTTGGTATTGTTTGGGAAATACTAGTGTGGCTACCTTGATTCAGGTCCATGACTGAGCTCTCTGATCCCTGGATAGAGGGAAAGGTGAAAGTACTTTGTTAAAAGTTATGCCATGAAGACAGAGAGAGGGGGGAGGGAGTAAAATGAACTGCACAGTATACAAAGAAGGGGAAGTTTGATATGACTGGTGGCAGTGCAGCATGCTGAGGTCATATTTAGTCTCTGTCCTCCAGACCCCAGCCAACAAGAACCAGATCACACACACACACAGTGACATTGGTCACTACATGCCCAGCTAAGAGCCATATCAACCACACAGATCACATAGCTAGCCCCCACACTCCTACATCTCTCTTTCCTCAACTTCCAATAGATCTCACACAGTCACAGCAGCAGTCAGCCAGCAACTCTCAAACAGATACACACACACACACCTCCTCTTGTGGCTTCTCAGGCATCTCTTCTCTTACTCTCTGTCCTGCTGCTAACACTTGCTCTGCTGCTAACACTTGCTCTGCTGCTAACACTTGCTCTGCAACTGGCAAACTGTCTAAACTGCCAGTGAACCAGCGACTATATTACTCCCTGCCTGCCCTTGGAGAGGATGTGGAGAAACACACATCAAAGCTCCACTCTGGCCCTGCGCAAACACACCCCAACTCACTTCCCCCATCCCCAGCCTTTGATGAGGTGGGAAGAGGCGTTAATGATTACTACCATAGCATTGAAAGGCTGCTTCAAACAGCGTCACTTCCTGGGAACCAATTTACTCTTATTCTAGCTATTCACTTTGGCTTTACTAGGTGTCAACCTACCTGGAAAAAATCCCTATTCTCCGAAGCAAGAATTCAGGGACTCCAACTACAATTAGGACCTCACTTCCCGATTAATATCTCTATTTCTTCTCCTCCTCCCCCACTTCAAATGGTGTCCTAACATGGTCACTGTTGCACAGTAGGCTGACTAGCACTCATCCCAGGCATGCCAGTGTACTAACATGCAGTGAATGCCCGAGGAATGCCACTTATCCACTTGTTACATTCTCAATACAAATAAATATGCCTCAGACTTGCTGTTGTTTGTTGCTGCTTCACTGAGTATGGTAATCTCTTACGGCAACCTTTGCATTCCAGGAATACCACTCCGCGAGGTAGTAATGCGGCACTAAACCCTCCTGGATTGCAGAGGGACGTGTTTACATTCTGACACCGCTTTTGCAGCACGCTGAGTAACAACCACACACTGACACACACACACACACACACACACCGTGCCCATTCCTGGAGGCTGGATATGCTCAGTGTTGGCAGAGGAGAGTGTGTGGAGAAGAGATGGACGTTGACCAATGCGGCATGTAGTAATGTGTTAGGATGGGATCAAGTGACATTTTAGACACTGGATTCTACAACATGCATTGCCATGATCCCAATAATATACCAATACCACAGCTGCCAAGCATATTTTGGCAAAATATGTGTGTCTACAGTTCCTTTGGCTATGGCTCCAAGGTCATTGAAGTGCTTGCTTTGCAATTCCCTTTCTTTCATACCTCACTTTATTAATTCATACGCTATGGATAGTTCTAAAATTATGCTGCATAAATGCACTTGGCAGCTCAGGTGAAATTCAGGTCACCAAAGAAAAGAGAGAGAAGTTCCCTCACCTGTCTCCTGAGAGTGGATCTGTAGCGACCACTGACAGTGGAGCCCACGGTGGAGCTAGTGGGACTCAGAGCACCACTCCTCAGAGATCCCAGCTCCAGAGCCATTCCCGCAGACAGCTTGGAGGGAGTGTGGTGGGCCAGCATCATCCTCCGACGACTCAGCGAATCCGTGACTCCGCGATGGTACTCCCTCCTCTGGTGGGAGTGGTGAGGGCGGTGAGAACGGTGAGTGTGGTGGGGATGTTTGGTACGAGCAGGGCTTGGGGAGCGACTCCCTGACGATTGACTCATGCTCTTTGGCGGACTGGGAGACTCTGACGCTCGGTTCAGCGGGGCAGCCTTGTTTGGGCTGACGGCCCCTCCCCCCGAAGAGTGGCTGGAGATGCTGCTCTCATCCGAGATCTTCTTCACCTTGTCGAACGCTGGCCCCGACCTCCTGGAGTCGGGGTGTCTGTCTCGCTGCTGAGGGGGAGGTGGGGGGTCGTAGTTTGAGTCGTAGTAGCAGGTGCTGCTGTCTGGTCTGTTTGCAATCTCATAGCTGCCCTGGCGTGAATGGCCGCCTCCCTCTCGTGGGGAGTCCACTTTGTACCAGGACCGAGAGGTGGAGACCATGGCACTGAACGCCGGGGTGTCCATGGGGTGAAGGTAGTCTCTACTCCGGTGGGCGGGGTCTTGGGGTAAATAGGCGGGGCCACCTCTCCCGCTGCCACTGCCGTAGGTGAGGGGGGAGGAGCTGTGGATGTGAGCGAACGCTGATGGACGCAAGTCAACCACATCTTTTCTCCTCCTGTTTTTATCGGCCCCACCGTAGATTTGGAATGACTCAAGACTACCGGCACTCTCAGAGCTCCCAAGGCTACGAAACGAGGTACTCGACGATGAGTTAATTCCAGGGTCTCCCCCAATTATCTGGGCAGAGGAGACGGCTCCGCCCGTGACATCTCCGATGAAGAGGGCCTCGATTGCCTTTATGATTGTCAGACATGAGAGTATCTGCACCGTTTTGGGCTTGACATTGGGGGCGTCCCCTCCTCCGTTTCCCGTGCGTTCCCCGGCATGCAGAACGAGGATGCTCTTGTTACGGATGACCTGAAACACGTGGCACATGTGACCTTTGGCCGGCCTCTCTCCCGTGTGCAGAGTCTGTCCGACCTCGGGATCCACCAACTTTGGGTCCAGCCTCCGCGTGACGATGGCAAAGTACTGCTCGTCGTCTGTGCAGGTCCCGCAATAAAACAGCTCCTCTCTCTTGTGTTGGTAGAGGACGTTTCGACTGACGTTGAGGACCTTCATGCTGGTGACACTGACTTCAAGGAACGCCTCGATGAACTCCTGACGTTGGCTCAGCAGGCGTCGCGTGCACTCCTGGATACACTTGGAGCTGATTCCCCGAACACCCCAGGATTCTGGGATCTCCACTGGACCAATGTAGAGGACCATGACAGAGGCACTGGTGTAGTAGTTGTCAGAGGAAGAGGGGGGCTGGCGGGGGCCTGCGTAGCCATTTTGTGGGAGGGGTCCGCTGCCCCCCAGGTGGGGGGACGAAGAGAGTCCGAGCTTCGTAGTTGACGGCATGAGGACTTGTCGATTCAGAGGAGACATGTTGGCCACACCTCCTGGTCCTCCCACAACGACTCTTGGACCCAGCTGGAGTCCTGCACTCCCCGGGCGGGGTCGATTCTGGGGTACCTCAGAGTACTTCGGAGGAGGTTCCCATGTGGCTCCGCCCACTCCCCGTACCCCGGCGGCAGGCCTCCGGTGGGAGCCGCCAGTCGGGGTACTCCGGGGGAAGTTTGGGGTGCTGCTGCTCATGCTGCCAAAGGCTCCGAGATGTTGGGGTAGACCGGTCGGCGGCTTGTTGTCGGAGTCGCAGACCTTGAGCCAGACAGCTGCTGTGGATGTCTGTGAGATGAGGGAGACGACGTTCTGGTGAGGGAAGTGTGTGACGTCTGTTCCGTTCACCGTGAGGACTATGTCGTCTTTCTTGAGCCCCGCTCTCTGGGCTGGCCCGCCTGGAGAAAGAGAGAGAGAGGACACACTTCATCACAGACGTACAAAGCTCCCATTCTTCTGTAAGAGAATTAAACTTAAGGATCCCTGCATACAAAATTAAACTTCTGTTACATAATTCTGCCTGGCATGAAACCCAGAGATCTCTCTTCCCGAACAGAGAGAATAGGAGCCATGAAATTTGCTGCCAGAACACTCCCTGTCATTCTGTAGTCGTTCAAGTACACATACAGACGTATATAGTATGGCCCACACAGTGTCTATTGAGGTCACAGTCTGGACTGTGTCAGTTAGAGAGAATTGAAGCTCACAAGACTTCAAAGAATGTGTTTACTTTGAGTCTCAGTACCTCATAATAAACACAGGTTCTTTGATGGTCACCACAGTCACCATGAACACACACACATACCCCAGCTACAAGGTTGTGCTCTAGAACAATGAAGGGTGTTGGTTTACAGCAGGCCAAAGAACACACAAATGTGAGAGTGTCATCTTCATATGGATAGATTCCCACCACACACCAGCTTCACTATGCATACATGTAATCTTCTGATGTGGCTGTCTCACTAATACTCTAGCTGCCAAGATACTAACTACAGTGGAACTCCTCTATTTAAGGCACTCAATGAGGACACCTTTGTAATAAGGACACTTTTCTTTCCTCCAAGAACAGTTCTTTTAACGCTGAAATAAGCACACCTCGCTAATGAGCATGGACACTTCCTTCTGTCTCATTAGTGCCTGGATTAGAGGGGTTCCACTGTATTGTATATAGAATAGGGACCCAATTATAGAGGGTAGAATGGAATTGAGTTAGTGGGTTCAGGAGTGACACGAGAGTGCAAAGATCCGGTCAGTTAAAAGATAGTGTCAACACAATTACCAGTCATCAATGGAGCAGAAACACAACAGCCATAACTTCACACACCAGCCAATTACCTTCATCAAGATGTGTGCGCGTGAGGCCAACGGAACAAGTCTTATATGTACATATGTACACGCATATACGTCACCAGAGGAGGCAATGTGGATGGTAGACAGTGTGTCTAGTGGGGCTGGTGTTTGCATACAGAGTTACAGAAGTAGTTAAATATGATAGTTCGTGGTGAGGTCTCGTCCTAATAGAGTCCTCGTGGGTTCTGTTACATCTTCATCATTACACAATTTGTTCTGTGTACATTCTGTGTATAGTGTGCTCCACAGGGAGGGGAGAGGGAGAGAGAAGCCGAGAGAGAAAGCAGTTTTGAGGATAATGCCATACGAAGAGGGGTTCCAGTTGGCAGGGAAACCACACTCCCACCGTCTGCCAAGCCACCGGAGGAGAGAACATGGCCACAGGTCATGCTGTTATCATTCTCCGCACCAGACGACACCACTACCTAAAGTGACCCACACACCATTCAGATGGAATCTCGTGACCAGAGACCTCTTAACATGACATGCACGGTACGCACACTGTACATGTCTATACAGTGTGTGTGGGTATGCAAGGCTAATACAAGCACCAAAGGCCTACATGTAGTGAACACTTGTGCTAAACACTACTCCAAGGCACTGGTCCTAGCAGACACAGCTGCACACAGTCAGCCAAACACCATCAAAGCCAGAGCCTACACCACACTGGAGACTTCAGAGAGTGTTACATCATAGCGTACCACTCCTAAAACTAGTGTATGGGGAATTAAGTAGGGCTAATGATTGCCTCAGAACTCTGAGGCCAGAGGGACATGGGGAAACTTCCTACGCCAATCCTTGCCAAATACATTCCAAAGCTACTAACAACCAGAATTCTCCCTTTACTCTACAAAGGCTTCACAGCTGGTCCACATGCTCAGCTCCCTGTTGTATGTATGGCATACCTGGTACTATAGTTCCCACTATGGGTGGCTTCTCGAAGAGGAGGGTGAATCCAAAGCTGCCAAACTCTCCGTTTGCGTCTTCTTCTCGCGTGACCTCAATGGTGTGGGCAGTATCCAGGGAATACTGGACTGGAGTGTGGGTCACATCCATGGCCGCTCAGCTGTCTACTGCGAGGAGAGAGAGGAGGAAGAGGGAAGAAAGGGAGAGAGGGAAGAGGTGAGGAAGAGAGAAAGAGGAAGAAGGGACAGTTATTCAGCTAGCAATGCAACAGGTTGTTTATGGTGAGGGGACGAGAATGGGAGGTGGGAAAGTGGATCAGTTACAGGAGGAGGAAGAGGTGGTGGAATTTCCGTGTATCATCTCCATGAAGATGTGAACTACTAATTCCCTATGATTGCCTGGGATGGCAAGCAGTTAGGACACTTAGCAGACACATTGCGCCCAAATTCTCTCCTCGTTAGGACCGCTGCAAGAATAAGTCACTATCGAGTGCCCAAAAAGTCAAGAGGAGAGAAAAAGTATCTGGAAGAGGGTGTCCTTTGGCTGCAATGCCGATGCAGCTGTGGCAGGATCTTCCTTACACGGATCTGGGGCCCCACTACAAGTTGGGCCAACTCCACTATACACACTGCCTTATACGTGGAGAAATGTGTCCTGATGGGGCTGCTGCAACAGACGTTGGCAAGCAATGCTGCACACGCAGTTCACTCCAGGCCTGCCTCCATTGAACATAGTGAGAATCATACAACAGAGTTGACACCAGGTTTACTGATCTTTCAATGCACACACACTGTATGAGTAGAACAGTCAGCCAACAGAGCATCTCTGGCTCAAAAGCTATCACCACCCCTCTCCTGATATTGTCACTATAATATACGTAGTCCACCCCTTTAGCTAAGTCACATGTACATGCACCACACTCCATGCACAAGACACTCGGTGGTGGTAAAAACAAAGCTATCTCTTGCACCACATCAATAGAGCGGCTACTTTTCTTGTTGGCATAGTCAGCATTCTTTACCCTCATGGAGTAAGCAAAGACGCACTTGTCCCGCGCATCTGCTGCTAAAGCACCTTGCATGTGGATTGCTACACAGCTACAGCTGCGTGCTGGTGCAGTCAACGTGAACGACTCACCTTCTCCTTGCTAGGCCCTCCATCTTCGGTAATGTACACGAGCAAACAAGCCCCATTGGTGCTCAACAAACAACAGCGGCTAAAGTAGTACGTACGGAGGGGGTTACGCTACTTGCAGACTCGAGGAGCGAGGCACACGCCACTGGAGCCTCCCACAGCGCTCCCGAGTGCACAACAAACGCGCCAGGAACGAGCAAAGTAAACACAGCTCCTCCTCCTCCAGCTACAAAAACACACACACGCGGGCACGCTGCGCAGTTTCTCCTCACCTCTAGCGTGTGTGGCTCTCAGAGTGTGGCGTCTTCTCCAAGGCTCAGGGGTCTAACTGCATGCAGACTGCGATCGATCACAAGCAGAGAGTGAATGTTTGCAGCCAGTGACACGCGGTATAACATGCACGGTCCCCGCCCACCTTACGGTAAAGAACGCCGCATTACTCGGCCAATTAACGTTCCAATCAACAACCGCAAAGTCAAGCACGCACACATTTTGGTATAACATAATCAACTGTTGATCAAATATAGTTAGCTACATGACGTATACTTTCTTGATGTCTGTCATTTTGAAAGTCTCTTTTGTCCGCGGGCACACTACCCGACCATCGTTTTCAGCAGCCATGGTAACCAGAGCCTGTACGAAAAACAAAAACAAGTCTGGTGCGGCGGCCAAACCAAGCTTCAGTGGACTAATTGCCAGCAAATGATGCCTCACCTGCTCTCCATACACGTATCCATTGGGGAGGGCCATGGGAGGGTTGTGTTCATTCATGGGATTACCAGAGAGGGAGCACGATGAGGTAGGACTGGGAGCAATGGGCATATGGGAGAGGCTTGGCCAGAGCATTGAAAGGTTTAGAGCACACGGGACACTGAGGATTGCGCTCCGCCTCCTTGTAACACTGACTGGGAGAAGGACACACCGCAAGTCAAGGACCATAAACACATTGTCAATTCAAAAGACTGAACGCCCAGTGAAATACAAGAATGGTGCCTTTGAACAGCTCATGTGTGACCGTACATGTGACTAAAGCCGTTTCAACGTGGGATGAGCCGTATGTCCCAAATGGTGAACCAAATATGAATGAGGAGTTTGTCTATGGTTGTGAATGGGGGGAACAGGGAATTTGAGGATACGGTGTTTTGAGAGCTGACAGCCCAGCCTGCAGGGTGACTGACAGGACAGAGCGCTGACTCAACTGGAAGAGTGCAAAGTTCTCCTGCCGAAACTGGTCAATCAGCTCCGCCCACCTCGTTAGGGAGAACAGCTTCTGGTAGCGCTTGATGCGGGTGCTGTGGTCAAAGGCCAGCAGACCCATTGCCTGTTGGATGTCCTTCAAGAGATGGTCGCTGCTGTTGCCGAAGTGTTTCCGTGCATACCTGGAGCACAAGAACAGCTCATTACTGCGCTGAACATGGGACTGGCGACAGTGGAGGGACCGCACAGCTGTCGTAAAAGGCCAGACAATGCAGGAATGGATCGGTGGAAACCACAATGGCTCTGCAGTTCCGAGAAACTCACTTGATGGCCTGAACCCGGCGGTTGAGGCGCACCAGCTCAATGAAATCCTGTAGCCGCAACTGGAACTCGAGGGTGCTCTTCAGACGTCGCAGTTTGGAGCGGTTCTCGTAGCACCAGGCCAGGCAGGGGCCCGTGTCGTGGCTGCGCAGAGCCTCTTCAACTCTCTGGCACACCATGAAAATATCTACATCCACAAGCTCCTACATGTCACACAGAGCACGATGTTTATCTCTTTTCTCCTCTCCCTCTCCTCACTGTTATTCCAGAGCTTTCGCTCAGTTTGTAGGCAGAGGTGTAGTAGCCGGCCCTGAGGAAGTGGTCGACTAGCATGCGATCCACTCTGACTTGTCTCCAGGCAGTCTTCATTCCGTCTGTCTGCTCCCCGGAGGGGTAGGACTTGAGGTGGTCCAGCCTGGCTCTGCACAGCTGCGAGCACTTTGCCTCGTCATCCAGACACTCTGTCGCCTTTAACAGACAGAGAGGAGAGGAGGGAGAAGGTGGTACAGTTCTCTCTCTGGGGGTATTCTCTCACCTTTCTCTTCAGGGCCGATACTTTACTGTGTACAGAGTCCAGCATGCCTACCATGTCCTCCACGGAGAGCTCGGCTTCCCCTAGCACACTGCCCGTCTCCCCACAGGCCAGGCTAACCTGGTTCACTTCCCTGTCCACTGCCTTCTGTCCCGACCTGAACTTTCTATTCAGTAGCTCATAAGGGACCTGGAGGCCGGCTGGCTAACGTAACGACAGGGGGAGTGTGTGTTCCAGCTCCTCACCTTTAGCGTTGCATGCTCGAAGGTGGTGACTTCGTCTTTAGACATGGCAAACGCTGCACAGTTGTCTCTCTGCTTCCTCTGGGCACATAAGCCACGCCCACTCACACGCCGAGTAAAATTAAAACACGCATGCGCACTGATTGACCGGGTAAGGAACATGAAGATGGGTCAGCGGAATAATGTAATCAGTCAATGTCATCAGCAGAAGCCATGGCATCAATAAGCTCCTGCTCCTCCTTCTCTGCCTCCTCGGCATCCTTGCGCCCTGCCTCTCTCAGACACATGACTATCACGGTCACCACCACTGACACCAGCACACTCACACCTGCAACAACCACAAACAGTCTGACAAACAGAGCGACTCAGTCTCCACGGACTCACCTAGTATTGGGAGGAAGAAAAGTATAGGTACTTCAGTTGGTCTGGAGACACCAGGCATGTCACAGTGTGCATCACAGGACTCATCGTCTGCAGCCAAAGACCCGTTGCCTCCCTGGACCAGTCCTCCATAGAGCTCACTGTTCTCAGCTATGACTTTGTCCGGTACTGCTCTCGTCCGTGCCGACTCTCTATTAGGACCTCCTTCTGCCAGGAGGAAGAACCGCAGAGCTGGCAGAAAACGGTCGTAGATCATCATGGTGGCTTTAGATCCAGACTCCCTCATGACGTACGCCATTGCTATGTCAGGGATGGTGAAGTAGAGAATATTCTTGCCCTCTTCGAGTGAGAATGTGTTCTTTAGTTCCTCCACAAACTCATCAGTGTGTTTGTATGGATCAACCAGTGGAAACTCAGCCTCCTGGTTGGCTGATATATCAATGTAGTACTTTTGAGTGAGGTGAGCGACACGAAGAGCAGGTGTGGTCTCATACTTTTCGCTGAATGCACGGACCCTCCTATTCCTCAAATAACTTTCCCTCGGGTTGTTCTTAGAGCTCATGGGCCAATAGACCGGTGCTGAGAAGCAGGCAGCGTTCTGGTAGATGTGTGGGCGAGTGACAGCTGCATGACAGGCCAGGAGGCTCGTGGCATCAAATTCACCAAATAGTGTCAGGCGATGCCGGGGGAAATCCACATCAACTCTCTCTTGGGTCACCTCGCTGATCTTTGGCACAACGTCCATCTCGATGAAATCGAGAAACATATCACCGTAGCCCTGATTCACTTTGAAGTACATGCAGTTCTTCGCCTGGTGTGCAAACTCTTTCTTGTCACAGGCGTCGTCTCTCTTCCTGGGCAGCCAGCAGGTTGCACACCTTCTCGTATCGCACGGACTCTTCTTGCAGTACCACATCCCCGTGTTGGGGTAAGGAGAGAGCAGAATGTACGGTGGTTTCAGACCCAGTGGTGTGACGCCGACTACCACCGCCTCTCTCGTGAGTGCCTCGCGCACAAACGCCAGCTCCAGCAGAGGAGCAAAGGCTTGCGCAGAGTAACCAAAGTAGAGGACCAAGGGGTAGCGCTTCCTGATGTTATGCTCAAAGCTAGGTGGGTAGAGGACGTTTAGAGTAGCCTTGAATGTTTGGTCAAGTATGCCGATGGAATGAAGACTGCTGGTGACCTCAAATTCTCTAGTGAGGACCTCCCTCCCGTCGAACCACGGGTAGACGGTGAGGGTTGGAGTTAGGAAGCTGGGTGCGCCCTCCATCGACTCGGACACGGGCAACTGGAAGTAGAAGTTGGGTCCCAGCATGTCGTCCTTCCCCTGCTGGTCGCGGTAGAGCCTGAACTCCACGGCTCTCTGGTTGTACCAACAGTAGTCCTTTGACGTGCACGGTAGGGCGTCCGAGCTTGAGCGGTACTGGATCTTTGTTCTCCAGCTGTCAACGGCGGATCCCGAGCGCCGGAGCTCTATCGGCTTGTCCCAGCTGAGCCCCGGCCCGCTGCCTCTCATCCACAGAGACCCGACCTTCTTCCCAACTGCCGTCCCCGTCCTCATCTTGGCCTCGATCTGGAACGAAAACTTTCTCTCCTCGGCCACGACGCATTGGTTTTCCGGCGTGCACACTGCGTCGTAGTGCCACCGGTTTTTCCCCATACATTTCTCCAGAGGTCTTGTGCATACTCCGACGGAGCGGGACGACTCACAGAATCGGACTAGCTGCAGTGTCAGCAGAAGGAGAAAAAAACGAATACGAACAAGCATCTTTTAGATCTCAAAACACTGGTGGATCCTCTCTCGGTCTCTCGGTCGATCGGTCGATCTTTGCTCAAATTTCCCGCGGGTGAGCGGCGCGCGCTCACAACCGGCCAATCGACCTTTGACCTGTGTGCAGCAGTTGTCTCCCCTGCTCCTCGTCTGGATCTGTCTGCAATCATGTCGTCCTTGTCTGTACGACTTAACGTATTCACGAGCGTCGAGGACGTCGCCAAACAGCGGGGGAAAGTAAGTTCTCTCTCCGTCGGTCACTCACAATCGAGCAAACCGTCCCCCCGAGCAGGTGGTCTTGGCAGGCGCGACGCTGGCTGACACTCTCCTGACAGCCAGCGAGAGCCTCGGGGAGACGGTGGTGGCCCTCAGATCTTCTCTGGGAGCTCTCGTGACAGATATAAATGTCCTCAGGTAGCTACCCTCTCTCTGACTGTGTAGCTAGATCGTAGACCCTGTTTCCTCTATGCAGAGACTGGGACGTGGTTATAGCAGTCACAGAGTGTGAGTTATTTCCACACACGAACACAATACAAGTGAATGACTTGCCGATGTTCAATGGCTGCATGCATGCAATTAGTAACTAGAAAGTGCATGTAAGTGTGTACTCATGGAGTTAGTGGGATAGTGTATGTAGCAGTTGTGTGGCATTTGGCTGCTAGGGTAAATTCCACATGCAGCCACAGAAAAACTTCCAGTCAACGGAGACTCCACGTCAGGCACTTCTAGTCCATTCGCCATTCCCTCCCACCTCAACACCGCCAGAGACACGTCCCACGATGTGCCTGACTTTACACTGCGCAAAACCACGCACGTCCCATCCCCCGATGGGCCATCCCGGTCTGACTGGGTCAGACTGAACATGGGGGGCAGAGTTTTTGCCACCACCAGGTAAGCAAACACATTTGTTGTTTGTTTTTTGCTTGTGAAAGTTATCGTTTCCCCCATTCAGAGCAACTCTGTCTTCTGATCCTGATTCCATGCTGGCCCGAATGTTTGAACCAAGTGAAGGTTGGTGTATGTTCTAAAAATAGAACATGTTCTAAAAATAGCACCACCTCCACTCTCACTTGCACACAGGGTGGCTTAGTGCGACAGATGCCAGCGGTGCATTTCTCATTGACCGTAGCCCCACTTACTTCGAGCCACTGCTCAACTTCCTAAGACACGGGAAATTGATTCTTAACGAAGGGATCAGCCCTCAAGGTAATCAATACAGAACACTCTCTTCGCTGTTCCATTAGCTTCTCAGCTGTTGGTCTCATGCATTTGGCTGAGTAGCCACCTCACAAGTGGGTAAAAGTTTTCGATGTTCTCCCAAGGTGTTCTGGAGGAGGCCAAGTTCTTTGGGATATCGAAAGCCATCGAACCACTGGAGGCACTTGTGTGGGTGAGCGCACCACTCAGCTTGGGTTTGTGAGTCGGCTAGCTGTGTGTTGCAGGATGAGGAGTTGTCTGCCAGTGGGCACTTCACGAGGAAAGAGTTTCTTCACTTTCTGGCAAGCACCTCTTCTGCTGCACCACTTCGCTGTCAGGTGCATCTCCCTTCCTCTCTCTCTTTCCCCTCTCTGCATTTTTCTCACTAACACACTCTCCGTTGCCTTAGGGACTAAACCTGGAGGGACTCAACCTGTCGAACCTTGACCTCCGAAACATCAACTTCAAGTGTGCAAACCTCCGCCACTGCAATCTGTCGTGTTCAGACCTCTCCCACTGTGTCTTCGAGAGAGCAGACCTCTTCCAGGCCAATCTCAATGTCAGCTCTTCCTTATTTACTCATTTTTCTCTCTTTCTGTCCTCTGCGACATTTGTATCCTTAATCCAATTCACTTATACCTCATACCTTCCTAACATTTCACAATCTCCAAATTTTCTCATGTCCTTCCTCCCTCTCACCATTCACATCTCTCTCTCTCTCTCTCCTCACGGTACATACCCCACAGGAGGCAGTGATACAGTGTGTCCACATGCCGAGAGTGAATCTGGAAGGAGCCACTCTCAAAGGCTGTCACATGGGAGAGAGGCTTGGCGTGCAGACCAATCTGGAAGGTGGGCAGCGATTTTTTTACCATCAAACAGGTTCCTTGTCTTAGACACACACCCACACAGTTTGTAGCTATTCCACTAACTATATACCTGGCAAATGGTTGTATACACACAGGAGCAAACCTGAAGGGAGCAATCTTTGATAACAGCCAAATGAATGGAGTGAACCTGCGACTGGCCAGCCTCAGGGGTTCCTGTCTCCGCTCCTGCAACCTCAGATATGCAGTGATGGCCTGTACTGACCTGGAGGTGTGTCCACAATCTACATAACACCCATAGACCCCCATCCCCATCCCTTCTATCTCATAGATTCCCTATTATATCTGTTTTGCTAGAACTGTGACCTAGACAGCAGTGATCTCCAACACGCTAACTTACGGGGTGCCAATCTCGAGACTACAAACTTCCAAGACATTGTTGTCTAGACTTGTCACGTTCCTCCTCTCGGGCCCCTCCTCCCCTCTTCCCCTCCTTCCCCCTTGTTGTTGTACGCTCTGTGGTGCCCTGGTCTCCTCTGAACAATCCAGTGATCATGTACAGCAGAATCAGTCTCCCGGTCCTCTCTCCGTGTGTGTGTGTGATAAGGTTAGCTAGCAAAGTGGAAGGCGGGCTCTCTGAGTGGGACATGTACAGCTGCTGCTGAAACAAGAGTCGGGCTGTGAAGCTGAAACCGGTTAAGGGACTGATTCTGTTGTTGCCATGGTTTTGTTCGAAGCAGCTGTACATGTACCCACACACACAGTGGAGCACTAGTTTTCTCTCTACAACAGAAAATGGTGGCAAACTTCCAAATGTGTCTCTCTCTTGTATATACAGAACAGTGATATGACAGGGTGTGACCTCCAGCATGCTAACCTGCGGGGCTCCAACCTGGCAGGAGCTGTCTTCACCAATATCATAGCACCTCTCCACATGTCTCAGACTGTCAATGTCAGTGATAGCAGCGCCTCTGTCCCTTCACCTGACTCCACCTCTGGACAGGATCAGAACTAGTCCCCCACTCTCTCTTTGGGCTCTCTCTCTCTACTTGCACACAGATTAATAATTATGGTTTTATCCTACTGTGTATTGAGATTACAGGTTTTAATATTGAGTTTGTTTTGAAAGGAGAACGAAAGGCAACCATTAAAATAACAAGTGGAAAGCTAGTAAGTAAACGAGTATAATTCTACGGACGCATAAAATTGAGCTGAAAACAATATGATTGGGAGCAAGTACACAGAGGACCATTTTAAGGCACAACAAAAGTTGATTTCACAAGCCGGACATTCTCCGGGGCCACAGACCCAATCTCTTCCCCCAGCACTAGAAAGTTGCCAGTGTCTCTGAGGAGTGACTGGGGGATGTAGTAGTAACGCTGTACGTGCACCCCATTGACCTGTGTGAGCCAGTAACGACCCAGGTTGACTCCGTTCAGGTAGACATACCCTCTCTGCATGCCCAGCATATCCAGGAGGAGAGAGAACCCAGGCTCCAGCTTTGGGGAGGGGAATGTGTGTTTGTACCACGTCAGTGGTCGGCCGGTATACTCAGTGTAGTTAGAGTTCCAAGTCACGTTTGACGATCCATTGACAGTGTAGACTCTCAGTATCTCTCCCGTGAGCTGTGCCCGATGGAGCCACTTGCCACTGGTGATGTTCTCTCTCCCCAGAATCACGTCTCCGATGATACCTTTCAGGTCGTATTCCCCGGGCTCGGTGTGGGTGTTCACTCCGAGGGAGACAGAGAGGAGACACAGTTGCTGCGTTCTCCCAGATTCAGTTTCCACACTCAGACTGTAGTTCATGTCTCCCTCATTGTGGGTGCAGTAGCCTGTCACACCCTGGAGTTTTCCATCCAGGAACACCAGAAACGAGTTAGAGATTCGAGACTCGACAGTGAGGTTGATTTTCCCAGAGCCATGGATGGTTGTCTGGTAGAAAAGGTAGTCAGAGTGATCTTCGGTCACGTTTAGTTGCTCCAGTGGTCTCCCCGCAGCGAATGCTCCGTCCAACTGCCCCACATTCTCTGCCCAGACACTCCAGGGGAACTTCCCGCTCAACGTGGCATAGGTTCTCTTTGTTGGCAGGCCTTCGGAATGAACCTTTGCTGAGTTGTAGACCTCCGTAGCTCTGTCTGGGGTGGAGAGGTCCACAAGAGATGAAGACAGGCCGGGAAGAGAGAAGTTGGTTTCTCTGAACTGCACCAGAGCAGTGGTATTGACTGAGTTCTCCAGGAACGCGACACCCTGTCCACTGGCAGTGTAGACGTAGGCAAATTGGTAGGTCGCATTCACAAACTTGTGCTGCGATTCACTGTACACCAGCACCTTTGTGGCGTTGTCGACTTGAGATGGATTGGTGAGGAGTGAGAGGGAGTAAGTGTCTAGGAGGTCGTGGAGTTTAGACAGGTGTGTTTTCTTGGGTTCGTTGGCGAGCATATCGTAGTGGAGGTTGACGCCGTCTGCATACATGGTGGTGATACATGAGCCGGTCAGTCGACCAAAGTTGTTCCCGCCATACCACATGTAGTAGTTGTGGTGCGCACCGCCTCTAGCAAACCACTTCATGACGACGTACGCCATGTCTTGAGGGGTGCGGTTGTCCCTACCGCTCAGAGGTTCCCTGTCCCATTCCTGGAACCAGCCCTCGTTCTCAGTCCACGCAAGGGGCTGTCCGGGGTAGAGCTTGGAGTGTGCGTCTGCGTACAGAGCACCGTCGTTTCCGTTGTACGTGTTTATAGTGTTGGCGGCACTGAACCCGTTGCACATCAGAAAGGGGATTTCAGTGGCAGCCTCTTTGACCAGATCTCCACACCAGTCGATGTAGGCCTGGTCCAGCCAGCGGAACTCGTTCTCGACCTGTCCGAGGATGATTGGGCCTCCGTGTGGCGCCGTCAGCGGCCGAGCCAGCTCCACCATGTCGAGGAAGAACTTCCTCATGGCCGTCTCCCACTGAGAGTTGTTGGAACGGACGTAGACGTTGGGTATATCTCTGATCCAGTGAGGAATCCCACCTGCACGAAGAGAGAGTCTGGCAAAGGACCCAGAATACAACACACCTTGCTTGAACTGTTTTTGCTGTGTTGCTGACCCACCAATGTATGGCTCAGACCAGGTCAGAAAAAGCGGGTAGTTGTGATTATATTCAAGCAAAATAGGACACACTAACGCAAGAGAGGGATTCGTGTACTTACCGTAGTCCCACTCGGAGGCAACGAACGGTCCAATCCTGAGAACCACGAACAGTCCTGCGTCTCTAGCCTCCTGCACAAACTGCAGCCAGTCGTTATTCCCCGAGAGGTCGTACTTGCCGCCCATCTCGCTCTGATGCAGGTTCCAGTAGAGGTAAGTCTGCACGGCGTTCAGCCCGTCCTCGTACATGAGGCGCAGCACCGTACTCCAGTCCCCCACGTCCACCCGGGGATAGTGGACGGCTCCCGAAAGCAACAGCGTGCGCTGCGAATCGATTATGAAGCTTCTGTTGTCGTAGGACACGTTGTAACCTCTCCCGCCGCTCCTCTCTCGCACGTCATGGTAGTTCAGTAGCTTGACAGACGAGCAGCGATCCGAATGCAAGAGCAGGGCTGTCGCCACAGCCACTACTACCAACAAAAGAGCCATTTTATCTGCAGGGCGCGCACGGGCTTGTTACTAGCCCCTCCCACGTTTACTGCGCATGCGTACAAATGAAGAATAGTGCAGCAAAAATTAATAGTGATACAAAAATAACTTATGTTTCAGATGAGGGATAAAAATTCTCTCTGTATATAAAACAATATAAACCAGGACAGCAAGCAGTTACTGCCGTGTTACAAAATTTTTACAAAACCCTAGACACACACACACACACATGCAAACGAACAAAACGGAAACGGTAAAAATCTTATGGGTGTCATGGGTGAATAGCAGTAAACTATAAATTATAGTGGTGGGTAGATGAATGAGAACATGGGCAGTGGTTCATTTCTACTGGAGAATCGGGCTTCCCTGCTGCTGAGACTTGCTCTTCTTGGTCGGAGGGGGAGCGTCAATTCCGCCGTCGGACATGTGCTGCCCGCTGCTGGTCCCGTCGTTAGGGGTGGGGACCCCTGTCATTGTTGCCGTTGACGACACAGAAGGGGAGGAGTCAGTCGGAGCATTCAGATCTAGATGAGGTGAACGAGTAGTAACATTAGCTCTTATAATAAGCCACCTTCCCTTAGTAACTTATACAGTAAAACAGTTTGGCATTCACACATGGCTCTGTGAGCATGCAGGCAAATATTTAAGGTACATGCCAAACTGACCTAAAACTAACAGCAATTCATCGTATGCCCAACCTACTTACATAACATACACAATGGGATGCCATCACGGAAGTGTTACACATAATTACATGGAGGCTAACTGCAGAGAAACACACTCACCAGGTAGACTGATAGGTGCAATAAGACCGGTGGGGGTAGTGGGAGGGAAGAGAAAGGTTCCGAACTGGGGCGACGGCAGTGCTGCAAACACAGAACAGAAACTAATAATAGTGAATGGTTGGGGGTCTCCCTATGTTTGCACTTGAGCAAGCTGTTGCCAGGAGGTCTTTGAGGATATACAGTCACTCAGAGTCAAGAAAGAGATGATCAAAGCTTAGTCATGTGCAAGGATAGTACTATACCTAGTCCGATGCAGTTGAACCACTGTACACATCTAACCCACATACTGACAGAAAGAGGGCGTGGCTTACCGACTCCCCCACGGAGGACCTTGCTGGGAGAGGGGTTAGTGATTCCAGCTGTGCTGAAGGTGAAGGCCTGGGCGCCTGGTGTGGCTGCGGCTATCGGTCCAGGTGACACTGGGGTGAATGACAGAGAAATTGGGTCAATGGATAGGGTGGCAATGCTGATGGTATTGAATTATGGGGTTTGCCAAGTGTCGTTGCTTGCATGTACGCAAGCGGAAGTACGGATTTTGGGTATATACCAAGTGTCAGCTTACACTTCAATCCTCTCACTCCTCCCGTTCTTCTCATCTCCCCCCCACACACACACCTCCCCCTCTCTCTAACTCACCACTTGGAGCTCCAGTCATGATGTAGCCATGAGACTGAGACCCATGGACCGCGTGGTGAGCAAAATGCACCGGATGGTGTCCCCCCATGTGGTGTGGATGCAGTCCTTGGTGAGTGCTGTTGTTGTTATTCCTGTTCCCACCCTCTTCTCCTCCTCCTCCACCTCCATGGTTCAGATAGTTCGGGTGGACCGTCCCAGGCTCCATCTTTGGGAACCCCATCGCAGGCTGCATGTGGTAGTGGAGGTAAGGCATGGCAGCCATAGGGTACATCGGAGCTGTCATCGAAGACGGAGGAATCGGTTTCGGCTTCTGAATACTGGACTGCTGGAGACCCGAGTCGTGCGCCGGAACTTGAGGGAAAACAAATGTCCCCTCCATGGCCCCGCCCACTTGCTGAGGCTGTCCTGGTTGCTGGGAGAGGGCCTCGTTGCTGTTGCATCGGCTGACGGGGTTACTGGGGTAACTGCCTCCCCCGCCCCCCTCCTCCTTGTGTTCCATGTCCCCGCCAAACATCCCCTTGCTGGGGGACACGAGGTGGAACCCGGGACTCTTGAACTGGGGGGTGAAAAGTGGCGTGAAAATGGCCGGGGACCGAGGGTAGTACGTTGGGAAACAGCCATGGTTTGGCTGGGTCATGTGCTGCTGTGTGCGGGGAATGGAGTAAAATGCCTCCAGAGCATCGGCTGCTCGCCTCAGCAGTATGTCCTAGAGTAGTAGTGAGGAAAGGGTTATTAAAATGTGTCCATACAATACCACAAAAACAGGTCTAGAGTACACGTACTATTATGTCATCGTAATAATGAATTCTTCTGCACAGAATTGGAAACTTCCTGGTAGCGGAGCCAGGAGTAAATAAAGCCTTTGTGCTGTATCCTTGTTTGATGTGCTTCGTGTCCTAAACTTTCACTGCCTACTCTTAGGGATGGATACGTTTGTATATACGGACCTTAGGAATCTCATCAGTGTCTTCAGGCATTCGCAGTAGTCTCTCTAACCGAGCAAAGTTGTGGTCGAAGGACACCTCATCGGGATCTATAGCAGCACATAGAGATTGCACACTATATACATACACTGTGTTCTTGTGGTACGTGAATCATATAATGTGTATGAATCTGAATGTGTATAAGCACAGGCCATCCATCACATTAAGCCATTTTCGATTTTACTCTTCTTTCTTCCACCCTTCCCTCTCCTCGATCCCTCTCCCCCCTCCCCCCTCTCTCCTCCCATCCCTCCCTCTCCTCCCCATTCCCTGAAGCTCACCAATATAGAGGAATTTCCCAGGACTGTTGATGCAGAATTGGGAGTTCTTGAAGACCAGCGTGATGTCCACCTCACCATGTCGAGGGCTGACTGGAGTCTTCACTGCTATTGCATTAGGACTGAGGACCTGAACAGATAGAGGGCAGATGGACGGAGAAGATGACGTCTGTTCTTTCTCTTGCAGTATAATTATGCCAGGAGAAGTAAAGTGAGACGAGGACAGTTTGACAGTAAATTTCGTGTTAATTTTCACACATTTTCTCAACACCTTCAAAAGGGTATAGGAAGAGTGTGGGAGAAGTGCTTATCTGGCAGCTGAAGAAAATCCAGTCACACAATACGGTGTACAATAACTGGCTCGAGGCGACAGAGCTCTCTGTTTTCATAACAACCTCGAGTGTGTAACAAGGCTCACCTCGGCCGAAGCCTGTAGCGTCCCAAACACCACCTCAATACCCTCGAAGAAGTTCATTCCCACGATGCAGACTCTGGTTCCCCCAGACGTCCAGCCCTCCGTCGGGTACACCGAGGTGATGTACGGCTTGCCTGCAGTTCAGAGACAACATATCACATGCCATTTGGGAGTAGATTTGTTGACTTCCAAGAAAATCAGCCTCGGGGTATCTTTGCTCATTACCTAATCTTTTAGAGTCACGTCAAGGACAGTCTCAGAAGAATGTATTGCCATCATAATTATTAGTCTTCACGAGGCACAAATGACAGTGTTTTATTGTACTGAAGAAACTAGGTCCTTTGATTAATCCACTAGTGTGTGTACTGGTTGGAACATGTACATTTCCCTCCCCCTATTAACCCCCCGTGACCGTATTCCCCTCCCCCTATTAACCCCCCGTGACCACAGAACATCTTCCTCACCATCTCCAACGAACGTCTCCCGATACGGTGCCTGTCTTCGTCCGTGCTTCGAGTTGTTGTGAACGAACATGGACTCGGAGCAGCCGATGGGGATGGTGCCGTTGGTGTGTGTGTAGAGAGCCACTTGGAACCGGCGCCGAGAGTCCTTTGGGTTCCCCGCATTCTTCAGACAGTTCTGGTTACACTTGACAAAGAACTTGAGGCGGAATCTGCAGGTGAGGGAGTGGAGAGGAGACAGAGGGGAAGACATGTAGGATAAGGGAGAGTGAGTGTGTGAGGGGGGGAGGGGAGAAGGAAGGAGAGTGGAAAATTACATTTCTGAAGAGGCACACATGCCGACAGGAGCTGTTGCCAGGGCTACAGTATATGTTTACGAGAGGGGATGTCATGGGGTGGTGAGCAGTGAAGGTCTCAGGGGACCGTACCTATACAGCCAGCAGGCAACAGTTCAGACTCTGCCGTGGGGTTCAACTAACTATCACGGTGTCAAGTCTCAGTGTAACCCTGGAAACCGTAGTCTAGGTTTCAGACGTAATTTACATACATACCTCTGCTCCAACGACATAGCCACCATTGCACGTATGTATTAAGCAGAGCTATAGCATTAAAAGGAGAGCTAAAGATTGTTCAAAGCAAGGCTGAATACTATATGAGTTAACCCAGTGGATGCTCGAGACTAGCACAAAGTTAACCCCAAAGAGGTTGAACCCCACTCAAGAGCTAAAAGACTATCAAAGCCAAACACTTGGAAAACCACTCAGCAAAATCTAAACGGCAGCTATTGAGTTAGACCTCTATTAATGATCCAGAAGGTTTCTTCTACTGAAACCAAAAGAGCCCTGAATCCATGCTCAGAATTAGAAAATCAAATGCCGTGAGGATTGAGTGACGGTATGTGAAAGCTAACCCACATTCAACCATCATCGTTGAATGATGCCAGAGTCGAGGAAGGTGTCTGTCTGACATAGCAAGCATTGCTGCTCCTCATATCTTGTTACCTCCTACTTCAGTGGCCCAGGAGCTCAGTGTAGTAGTGGACTAACCCACGTACGGCACGGAGGCTGCGTACTAAGGTCACGGGGAGTGTCAGCACAGGCACCGACAGATACACACGACATCATGCAAAGTGGCAGAATAACTGAAGGGTATCGAGTTAAGGGAAGATATTTTAATTATTCCATTAGTTTGTAGTTGGTGTGATCTAAGCGACAGTTGTCGCCTCCCTTTTCCCTGTACCACCGGTGTGCCGGTACAAATGAGTACGTTGTTTGCTGTTCTGTATTCGTTTCACTATACCTATCTGTTTATGGACGTGTGTAATGTACACATACCTGTCTATAATGACGGGATCAGAGGGCGTGTCGTTCTTGTTGCCGCAGGAACGGTGCTCCAGGCAACGACTGCAGATCAGTTCGTGGGTGAGAAGAACTCGCCGGAAATCTGGATTTTTGCAAGTTCCCTCGTACGGAATCAGCTATGGTAGTGAGGGAGGGGGAGGGGAGGGGAGGGGAGGGGGGGGAGGTAAATGGAGTGTACGACTCCAGATTACAACCAAAACAGCTGCAAACTGAGATTTCTGCCACCATTTTTGCTCTCACACAGGCATGCAATGTACTCCGACTACAAATTGCCGGTCGACCGCAACTTCATTCCCTGACGGGCGGCCGGTCAGACCAGCAGGTGTCCGTAACTAGGACACAATCACATAAACTAATGACTACATTTTCCGCTAATGTATCCCTGCATAGCGCGGGCCCCTCCCACACTCCACATAAAACGCTGCAGTTTTGACAGACTGAACTCTGCAACTACGGCACACCTGAATATCGGGTGACACAAGAAATACTTGTCACTCCCTAATTGTGTTACCGACTCAGTGTTTTTGCCCACTAGTGCAAGATCCCTGATCCCATCTCCAGTGATATTGAAAACCAGTTTGTAATGCCGTTGTAAACCACTTTCAGTTGTAGTGCTAATACCTATGATATTATGTAGAGTAAGTCTATACTAAAGTGTGGCTACTCCCCCTGAGCTGCTGTAACGATGATGCACTGAAAGTAGCATGAATTCTACTTATCTCAATAATGTGCCATTGATTTCTACGTGTGATACGAACTGAAGCACACTATTTTCACCACACGTGCTAAGAGCAGTTCGGATAATAGATACACACATACACCACTGACTTGTTTGGTGGAAGAGTCAATAAGTCTGACACACAGCTCCTGCTCCTTTCGGGTCCCTGAAGAGAGAGGTCACATGACTATCACATGATGTAAGTATGGGTAGTCACATGACTATCACATGATGTAAGTGTGAGGTAATACGCACCATCACGGAAGAGGCAGTTGAGAGTGTAGACCAATCCATTCCTATACTCCTGACCATTCTGGGAAAGGGAGAGAGAGAGGGGAGACAGGGAGGGGAGGGAGGAGAGTGGGTGAGGAAGGAGAGCAGAGACAGAAAGCAAACATCAAACGCTCACAACTTCCCAACTCTAACCGCTACCTCGAGTTTAATAGCCCCAATAACTAGATAGTCAATGGTGTGTATCCAACAGTGGAGGCTTATCAATATCACCATCACATACATGTACACCAACCATTACCAGTACACTACTGCAATTACTGGGACAAACGCATCTTACATGGCGTATATAATAATAATTATACTGAACTTACGGCGTAAAAGTCGTGGAAATCTTTGAAGATGCCTCTCTCTACCTCGATCGGCGCCTGGTTCTCGTCTGCCAGGTGGAGCACGAAGTGGAAGAAGTTACTCTTTCGCATGTTGTCCGGCGGCTGCTTCTCAAACACAGCCGTCGTGATTGTGTAGAAGGACCTGTGTGAGTGTGTGAGTGTGTGTGTGTGTGTGTGTGTGTGTTTACGATAGGTTGTTATTAGAAGCCATCTGTACACCATTGCTACATTGAATTTGCTCAAGTGGATTATGAAATCCGGACACAAGTTTGCCACAAGTCTCCAACCAGTTGTTGTCTCTCTCTCTTCATTGTTGTCACTAGATCCGAGGGTTTAGTAAACTCACTCCAGAAGATAAGCCTTGGGACTACTCCTGAAAGTCAACAACTCCTTGTATTGCTACTGGCGTGGTCTTGGAGCAACGTAGCTAGCCAGTGGATTGGACGGTGCCCGACCGACTTTGAAACAGAGAGAGACGGTGGTGTGTGTGTGTGTGCGTGTGTGCAGGAGAGGAGTGGAGAGGAAGGAGATTGGGTTTGGGTGTTTTTAGAAACGTGACACCAGAGCCACTCCCAGCCCAGCTGCCTTCTAGGGCACGTCTGCCAAATGTGATCCCCACATTGGTGGGAAAGTAGGGGCAAAGCTCTATATAGGACCTAATAGCTGTGGTAAAATTCTGTGTAGAGATCGCCACTAGTCGTAACTGCTGTAGACTGGGTAAAGTTAGAGCCTTTCCCTTTAACGCAAGTAGGTTTTAATTGGTCCAAAACGGGAGGGGTGAAAGGGAGGCGAGGAGTGGGTGGGGAGGTCAGTGGTGCCTGGTTGAGTTGTGCTTCTCCTGTTCCTCCCCCACCTGACTTCATGAGAGACTGACACGGGCTATTTGGTTGCTCCATGGCGTCGGCCATGTGCATCCCTCCCCCCCCACCCTCTCTCTCTACACTCACAAACAAAACGACACACACACCTCCTCCCCCTATCCCCCCTCTCTCTTTGGAAATACACCCTGATGTTCTCAGCCCAAATCAAGTTCTCCTCGCTCCACGCTATCGTGCTCTAATTTTACAAAGAGGCGTTCTTTTTGTCTTGGTACAAGTGCATTTTTCGTGGGGGAGTGTAACAACCCTCTTTTTAGTGGGTAGCAAAGAGCGCTTCCAACACACATTTTACATTACAGTTACCAAAGCACAGAGATAGCTCATCAGTCAAAGCTAGTGCTCAATTTCTTTATGTTGATATATATACAGCAGTCTGTATGTTGGTGATACAGAGCTAGCGGTACATACACTTGAGATGGTAGTGACTAGAGATGGTAGTGCTCTAACAGTGCAACGTGATCTCAAATGAGTCACATCATAAGATTACTTGGTTGTATACATGTAACCCTAATAGACATCTGTTGACATACAAACCAGCCCATGAGTATTGTTCCATAACGGAGAAATTGTGGCTACAACTAACACATCAAGTAGTGGGCATATTAGGTAGCAAGAGTTAACGTATAAAGTAAGAGAGAGAGAGAGACATAGATTAGTTAGAGATTTCTAACTGACTATGATGAACTGACCCATTGGTAGCGGTGATAGGAGGAGGAGGTTCAGTGCTAATCACACTGCCTGGTGCCTCCATAGGACTGTGGTAGGGAGAGGGTCCGGTATCGTTCAGCACTGCTGGGTAGCTCTGAGGTGAGGGAGGTGAGGGAGGGAGAATAAGAGAGAAGGGAGGAGTAGTGGGAGGGTGAGAGAGGACGGAGGAAGGGGGAAAGGACAGAGGAAGAGGAGAAGTATCTAATAAGTCAGTGTTGTAACCACCCACAGCAGTATGAATGAAGAGGAGTGAACTACGGTAGCTGGACTATGTCCACACTGGACAACCCCACATATAGACGTCTACACAGACTTTCACCCAAGTCTACCATAAATGACAACAGAGGGTGCCTCATTGGTTGGAGCTTTGCAGTCCCAGAGTATATGGTGGTGTACATAGGTCCAATGCATGGGCAAACAGGAGCCACGGATAATTAGGTTTGTTTGTATTTTATGGTCTAGAGGAATTGCAGTCGGCGTCAACAATTGCGAGCGAGGTGGCCTTAATAATCTCGTGAATATCGTTGCACCTATATTGACGTGACACGTCTTGTAGCGGCGATGTTTGTGGAGAATTCAAGAGTGTGGTTTGAACTAAGAGGGGAGGAATTTGTAAACATTCCTTCGTTAGTCGCACACCGAGAATGATGTAGTTGGAAATCAGGCTAAAAGAAGTTAGTTTTTCGCTACTCCTACAGCAGACATGCAACATACTTACGTGTTATTACAACTGTCGAAAGTGGCACCATGCCATCAATCACGTTGTTTGTTAAATTCGTTAATTTTTGTTTAAGAGTTCGATTGAATGGACCAGTTGAAAGTAAAACAGACAGCCTCTTCAGCAGAAGTGAAAGTATTCTCGCCATAATAGACCCTACCTCCACAAACACACATCCATCATAATTTATTTCTGCAAATATGTCACCACGTTCTTCCCTGCTTGAATCCACATCCAAATATACTACTCGACTAAGTATAGTATATACAGGAGACACAGGGCAGTGATAAGCAAATAAGGCTGAAGAGGCACAATGGATAAGAGATCCTCTCTCTGTAGCTACCTGAGTTGCAACCTAGCTCTTTGGGTAGGCTGCAGGGCTTTTCACCCACCAGGGATATACAACAATACTCAGATCAGCTGGCGAATGGTAGAAATTGTGGTGCATTCATGCATTGTGATATTAGGCTGAAGTCACATGAATACATTTCTTGCTGTCCCACTGCCAATTGCCTGCTAATCCCCAAGCTACTCCGCTGCCGTATAATTTACTAGCTGGAGCTTCCAGCTCTCATTACTGCTCGCAAGCCACGCGTGCAGGCCCGCGGTCCGGAGGGAAAAGGGAGCGAGGGGCGAGAGAAGACGGCCCTCGGCCTGGTCGCGAGCAGGCACCCGTGCGCCACGTTGTGGCTTCCCAGACCCACCCCCTCCTTCCCTTCGAACCCCGGGAGCTAGCTCGTTGGCGCGCAGTCAACTCACCATGCCAACTTGCGCTCTAGTCGGCTCGGGAACGGCGTGCAGGCTGGTGATCGGCGCGTCCTTCCCGCTGCGTCTTCTGCCACTGCTCGCTCGGCTGCTGCTCAGGGGCGCGGCAGGCTGCAACAAGGTTCCCAGGGCTCTCAGTAGTGTTTGTTGACTTTTCCGCTCGTGAGCTAATGGCGCGGCCGGTCTGCGGGCTGTCAGCTTATTCTCTCCACTCTGAGCTGTAGCAGGGCTCGCTGAAGGGGCCGAACGACGCTTTCCTTCCACGGACTAGAAATTCCAAGCGAGTAACCTCGAGTAGTAGAGCAGTCATGAATATCTGCACGGCTCAAACGGACCACGCCCCCTTTTCTGCGCGAGCGTGCTGGATCACGTGACTCTCCACGTGGCTCAACTTGCCGAAATCAAGCAGCAAACGACTTCTTCTGAGCTCTCTGCTTTTTGCTGTTTGTTCGTCCGTTGCTGCAAGACTAAGAGACCGCTCGTAATGGTTAGTGAATTGTTTGCAATCAGCAAACGCGGTTACTCTACCCTCCCTTTTTCCAACCTCTTTCTCCCGCTCCCTTTTCTCTCTCCCGCTCGCCGTACGCCAGCAAGCACCGATCATACTACTGAAGGAGGGCACGGACACGTCCCAGGGGAAGCCCCAGATAATTAGCAACATCAACGCATGTGAGGTGGTGGTGGATGCGGTGTCCTCCACTCTCGGGCCTCGAGGCCTGGACAAACTCATAGTAGATGGTCATGGTGAGTGGAGGAGTATATATCATGGTGCTGTCAGGCAGCAAGGCGAGTGGTGACCCTGTGTATGGTAAGCCTCAGGAGCTCAAAAAACCTTCCATTACATCGATAGTTGTTTCTAGTAATTGCCCACCCTTGCGTGGTACTTCAAACTAACAGAATAGCAGCTCTTTTTTTGCATGCAGACATGCATGTGCATCAACCCCTTCAATAAGTACTGTTTGTTATGGCGATGTGTGCGGGTGGTATGGTTGTGATATAGGGAAGACGACCATTTCAAATGACGGAGCCACCATCATGAAACTGTTGGACATCGTCCACCCGGCGGCCAAGACACTGGTGGACATATCTCTCTCTCAGGATGCCGAGGTAATGTACATGGAGGGAGGTAGGGGAGAGGCAAGCAACAGTGAAGTACTAATTCCAGGGATTTTGCAGTGAAAGTCACCCACTTTTCTCCTGTGGATGATGGGTGGTGGTTTATGAGAAAAACAATAGACACCCTCTTTTGCCTCTGAACGGTGTGTACTTAGCAAGTAGGGAGTAGTGGAAAAAGGTGGAGTGAAAGAAGGGAGAGTTTCGCCTCATCTCAAACTATATACCCTGCCTGACTTCAGGGTTTTCAATTCCTGATAGAGAGTATGGACTGGTCTCCTAGTTTGGTGTGGGGCAGTTTGCCACTTTTCCTTTCCTTTTTGTGGGATTTTCCCTCCTGGCTGGGTTTGGCCATTACTTCCATTTTCTGTGTCACAGCCCCACCCATTTCTGGGGGAGCAAGAACCCCCCCTTCTGTTCCTTTTCCTCCCTCCTTTTCTTGTTCCCTTTCTTGTCCTCCTATACCTCTCCCTCTTCGATCTGTCCTCCACTGTAGGTAGGAGATGGTACAACAAGTGTGGTGCTGCTTGCTGGAGAGATACTCAAATGTTGCAAGACCTTTGTAGAGGACAATGTCCACCCACAGGCAAGAGGGAGGGGAGAGGGGGGGAGGAGGGAGAAGGGAGAGAGGAGGAGAGAGAGAGAAAAAAGATGAGGAGGTAGAGGTATGAATGTTCCCTCATTGCTGCAGATCCTGGTGCGAGGGCTGAGAAAAGTGGCTCTTCTCTCCATCGCGAGGATCAAGGAGATCGCTGTCCATGTCAAGAGAGAGGACGTGAAGTGGGTTTACCGACCAAGGCTGTCATGGTATGTCACTGCGGTATACTGTTGCCCAGGGAGATGGATGATCTACTGAAAAAGTGTGCGGCCACAGCCCTGAGTTCAAAGGTCATAGCTCGTCAGAAGGACTTCTTCTCACAGATGGTGGTGGATGCAGTGAGACACCTGGACGAACTGTTGCCGCTCAATATGATTGGCATTAAGAAGGTCAAAGGTGGTTCTTTGGAGGTGAGCCTAGAGTTCAGTGAGGACAGTGTATATTTGTGGGTGGAGCTCATTGACGAAGGGAGGGAAGTGGTTTGGAGATGTATCACTAATACGATGCCTGGTACACAGCATTATAGATGTATGGGGTTCTGTTCAGCTTCTGTGTGAATACCCACGTAGTGATAGGACACCTCACTCACTGCTAATATTCAGGCTCACTGCTCAGGACACCTTAACGATTAGGGGTACACCCTCATACTAAGGGCGTGTTGAGTCAATTATTAAAGGTGATGGAGTTTCATTGGGGGAATGGGGATTCCCCCTTGAGATGTAAACCCTCGTTAGCATCAGTCATTGGATATACTTTTTTCGACTCAATTTTCATTCACCTCTCTTCAATATTATTAGAGTGACAACATGCCATTTTCTAGAGGGTTTTAATGCATAGTGTGACTCCGCCCCCCCTGCAGGAGTCCCGGCTAATTGATGGTGTGGGGTTCAAAAAGACTTTCTCCTATGCTGGCTTCGAAATGCAGCGCAAGAAGTACACACAGCCAAAAATAGCACTGCTAAATATAGAACTGGAGCTGAAGGCGGAGAAGGAGAACGCGGAACTGAGGATTGACAACGTGGAGGTACGCGAGTATGAGAGTATCGGGGAATGAGGGAATGTTTTGTTTGTATGTGTGTGCAGGAGTACCAGAAGGTGGTGGACGCAGAGTGGGCCATCTTGTATGATAAACTGGAGAAGATTGTAGACAGTGGGGCAAAAGTGGTGCTCTCTAAACTGCCCATTGGAGATGTGGCCACCCAGTACTTTGCTGATAGGTGAGGTTATTACTCCCTTCACCTCCTCTTCCTCATTGTCGTCCTTCTAAAGCAAAGTCCAGTTGAGAAATCGGTTTTTTCTGAAGCTTCTCTCTATTTGACATTCATTAACGTTCACTTTGATCATCCTTCACACTAAACTGTCATTCTTCTGTCTCTTAGAGCAGTTCAAGAGGCAGTTCTCTTCATACATAGCAAAGTTTTATTCTCCTTTCCCTCTCCCCGTCATCCAGAGATGTGTTCTGTGCTGGCCGGGTGCCAGACGATGATCTGAGGAGGACAATCCAGGCATGTGGCGGAGCCATTCAGACTTCCGTCTCCTCCCTCTCGGATACCGTCCTCGGGACCTGCCAGCTCTTCCAGGAGGAACAGATCGGAGGAGATAGGTGGGTGTGGTCGGTGGGTGTGGCCTAGTTGACATGACTCCTCCCACTAGGTTCAACATTTTCACGGGGTGTCCCGAGGCGAAGACGTGTACCATAATCCTGAGGGGTGGGGCCGAGCAGTTCATCGAGGAGACGGAGAGGTCGCTACATGATGCCATCATGATAGTGAGGAGGACCATCAAGAATGACGCTATTGTCGCTGGTGAGAGGAGGGAGAGGCTGTATTGTTTCCTCACAAGGGAATTAAGGGTGTGTCAGTGGCTTTTGATGTCAAAAGCCACCAGTCACTCCTTCCCCTAGTGATAGGCGGGTAGACTATCAAATCCGCCAGACTGTCTGGCTGACTATGAAATACGCCAGACATCTGTCTGATAGTCCGCCAGACTGTCCGGCTGAATGTGAAGGACATACCAGGTGACTATAGTCCTCACTGGCAGGTGGAGGAGCGATAGAGATGGAGCTGAGCAAATACCTGAGAGACTACTCCAAGACAGTGGCCGGGAAGGAGCAACTCATAATCGCCGCAGTGGCGGAGGCCATGGAGGTGATCCCCCGACAGCTCTGCGACAACGCCGGCTTCGACTCCATGAACATCCTCAACAGACTGCGACAGAAACACGCAGAAGGTGATCCTTTACTTTCCTTCCTTCTATACCTGTACCTTCACCCCTCCTTGTGTTTGGTTATGACATACATGTTTGTATTGTTGGCCGTAAACAATGCCATGTAGAAGGTAACACTTTACTCTCCCCTCCCTCCCTCTATCTTCCTCCCCTCCTCCCTCTATCTTCCTCCTCTTCCTCTTCCTTGGCTGCAAGTGTTATACCCACACTGTTTGTAGTTCGCCGTAAACAGTTCCATACATGGGAAAGTGTTGTTAGCTGTGTATCGTGGAGCAAAGAGCGTTACCATTAGTGCTGCTGAGGCTAGCATGTGTGAAGGTCAGACAGACGTTGAATGGAGAGGTGACCTGCCAGTGAATGAGGCAAGTTAACCACAGAATTCTCAGCTAATTCCTGCCCTCAATGGAGCTATGGAGCAGAGAGAGACAGCGAGAACGGAGCGGTTTGCTTTGTGTCTGCCGTGTGTTCACTCTATGACTGTGTTGTGGGGAGAGGAGGCCGAGGCCACCATGGCTTCTGGAGCTCACCACTCCATTAATGTCGTGACTTCCTAGGCCACCATCCCACCCCTTGCAACCACAGCCGCCCACTGAGGTCCAACCAAACCAACCAAACTCGTGCCCAGCTGACCAGCGAGATATACCACCAACCGCATGTTTACCACCATTATAATAGGGGGGGGGTTGCTGGCATTATTACACTTCCTGTTCGACATTTAAAGAGCAACTCTGCACTCTGCCCTCTTTAGTTCTCGGAATGCTTAATGTTCACCTTGGTGTGATAGTACGTGAGTAGTTGAAGAGGGGGGCATAGGTCACCGTTGCAGACCAATAGTGTGTTTGTTAGAGAGCTGAGGAGCCAGTGATGCTGGGTGTATACATACTCATGTGTTTGTTAGAGAGCTGAGGAGCCAGTGATGCTGGGTGTATACATACTCATGCGTCCCACACACGAAAGACACCCGATGGGGGAATGAACCAGCTCAACTTCTTCTAAGTCTTTACACTTCCTTTCCATGGTTCCTCAATGGTGCCTATAGTGAGGAAGAGAACGAAGGAACTATGCAAGAGGAAGGAAGGACTGCGTACCTTGTGGTTCCTCTAGGGATACTTTGTTTTTACCCCCCCAAAGCACCATAGGGTATAAGGATGTGTTGTTATAATATGGAGCGGTTGTCTTTCATCCGTAAAGCAATCAAATAACACACGTTCGTGGTTTGTCTAGACCGGCATACCTCAGCAGTGCGCTCCAGTGGGTCTGTGTATTACACCACACTTGTTACGGTTCTCTGAGAGTGTGAATAGGGCTGAGCCAGGGGCACTGATGTGTGTGTCTCGCATGCTTTCACCTCAGTCTAAAGCAACAAGGGGGCCTGTCACCGCTAAATAACATGGTCAGGCTCAGTTGTGTTGAGTCCACAGCAGGTTCCTGAAGGAAGGGTAAGTAGGAACAGCTGCTACAGACAGCATCTCTATGGAGGTTACATCACAGGCTTTAGAAAGTGTTCCCAGAAAGTGTTCCAGTGTATGTACACAAAGGCATGGTGCGTGACCTCAACATAAGATTGTATGTGCTGCACACTGCTGTTTGTGCCTTAGATGCAGGCAACCTTAATGGAGGTGCTAGTCTCTTTGAGAGTCTATTGCTGGGTGGTGTGTTGAGTGGTTTACCATGTGGTGTGCATTGTGGACACCATCACTGAATGAATAGAGATGGGAGAGAGGAGAGAGAGGGGGGGAGAAAAGGGTTGTGTAATCGAAGGGTCTGTTACCTGATGTTACAAAAATTGCAGGTGGAAAGTGGTTTGGAGTGGACATCATGAATGAAGATGTGGCAGATAACTTTGATGCATGTGTGTGGGAGCCGGCCATGGTCAAGATAAACGCCATCACCGGAGCCACAGAGGCAGCTGCACTCATCCTCTCGGTGGACGAGACTATCAAGAACCCAAAGTCTGGAGCCAACGATCCCCCACCAGCCCTCCCAGGGAGAGGGAGGGGAAGACCAATGTAGACGTATGGTAGTAATTGAACGCTAACTCTCTCCACTCATAGGATCAATTATACCAGATGATGGCAATAATGCTGTGTCGTCATGATAGATATTGTTATATAGAAGTTTTGTGTGTTCTGTTGACTGTGTACGACTCTAACGAATTCCGCCATAAAACTCTGATGCAATCAAGAAGACCCATCGATCGTCCCATATCAACGTATTTTAGTTAGGGATAAAACTGACGCCAGTATATCCGGCCCACTGCTTTGGAAGGATTAGTACGTCCAAGTGCAATGTTTGGCATGAACTTTTATGCAATCAGAGGATGCCATTACCATATCAGGGACAATCTAATTTGATTAGTTGACTTTCTTAACAATAGACACGGCCTTTGTTCTTTTGTAGTTGAGAGACCTGATGAATATGCCAGTGTTTTACATAGAAAAATATTCGCGTGCAAGAGTGAGTAACACACAGGAAGACAGGAGAAGTGCTGGTATGAGAAGTGCTGGATGAAATGGTATGATAGGAGGACGGCAGTATATACACACAGTCAGGATTGCTGCTCTTCACTGTCATTGGTTCTCTGACAGAAGACAGCCCACTTCCTCGGTGGCACTGGTGGCTAGTGTTCTAGTCCAGGCAGATAGGGCTCGCATCATCTTCTTGTGTTCCCGAGGGTGAAGGTCTGAGATGTCTGTCACTTCGTCCTGAGTAATGTTGTACAGACTGCTTCTTGTGATCGCACTGTTCTTGAAGTTGCATGCAGCTTTAAGTCTCCCTCGATCGAGACTGCAGTGTATTTTCTGGAGAAGTCGCCGTTTATCTTGAATGCCCAGTGCATGGCCGACAATCGCTCTGTTCTAACCCCGAGAAGAAAGGGTAGTATTGAAGAGCCATCCAGTATGCGGGAATCTGGCAACCGTGTGTTGGTGATATCCACGATAGTAGGGAGGAAGTCATTGGTGCTGACTTGGTAATCCGATACCATGTTCTCTTCGATGATGGCAGGCCACTGGAGGATCCCTGGGACCCTGATCCCTCCTTCGTACAGGGTACCTTTCTCTCCCTCCAGACCGTTGGTGCTACCGGGACTCCCGGCAGCGGGACCGTTGTCGCTGGTGAACCAGACCATCGTGGTATCTCTGATGCCAACAGCGTCCAGATGGGCGAGGATTTCCCCGACCGAGTCATCGAGGGCTTCAATTGAACCGTAATAGTCTCTCTCTTTTCCTTTCAAGCCTTTCTCTGCATACTTCATTGCATATGCTGTATCAGCTATGTAGCGATTGTGGGGCGCATGAAAAGGCACATATGCAAAGAAAGGGTGTGAACTAGCGATGCTGTCGTTGATGAAAGACTTTAGTTCGCGGACAATGAAATGCGAGTCGTCTCCTAGGATAGCGTTTGGGTGAGGTACTATGGGGCAGGGAGGGCTAGGGACAGTTCGGCTGTTTGTGTGAGGCGGACATGGTGTTGGAAGAGAACTGACATTATTGCTGTAGTAGTTTGAGCATGCCGGGAGCGCAGATTTCCTGTAGCGACCGATCCTGCAGGTCTCAGGGTCGAAGCAGGCACAGTTGGGGTTTACAGTTGGGACAGCTCGCTCTGTGACTTTCCAGACGTCGAATCCGTGCATGCCTGGGTGGGAAGGGGACCAGCGAGAGTGGCCGTTCTCGACGTGTTTGAGGTCTCCAAGGTGCCACTTTCCAAATACACCAGTGCGATAACCTGCAGTCTGCAACACCTCTGCAACTGTTACCTCCGACGGAGGGAGAGGCATCTTTGCAGGGCACTGGAAATCTTTCGTCCAGTTGCAGTCCTTGCTGTGGGTGTTGGCTTTCCATATGCAGTAACGGTTGTGGTTCCTGCCAGTCAGCACGGTTCCTCTGGTCGGAGAGCAGACCGGAGCACCACTGTAGAACCTCGTGAACTGGATACTGTTGGCTCCGTGGGCCAATGCATTCAGGTGCGGGGTGTCCGCCCGGCCTCCGTTGTATTCGACGTCTCCCCAGCCGAGGTCGTCCGCCAGCAGGAACAAAATATTGGGCCGCTGAGGAACGTGTTCTGCAGCAGAGAGCAGAGGTAACAGGATTAGGAGCCCAACTTGGCTAACTCGGTATTACAAACGCGATAATCAGTTGAAAGCTGCGAGACTCTGTAGCTACAACAGCGCATGGACCTATTACAGTCGTGTATGTCTGAGGTTATCGCCTGTGTAGCCAGCCGTATTGCAGTACCTTTCACCATTTCCGGGCAAACGGTAAGCAAGCGACGGGATTTGCGACAGCTAATGGTGGAACTTACTTCTGTGTCTGGCTGTAACCAGCAAAATGTACGCTGCAAACAAAAAGAGAACCGAAACGAAACTCCTCATCTTTGCACGCCGGCCGAACACTCGCAAGCCAAGTCCCGATCGCGTTTTTATGCTGCAGGTCAGCTAGCCACGCCTCCATTCACCCACGTATAATAGTCACGGAGTCCGGTAGTACTTAGTAGTAACAAAATCTGCTGCCGGCCAGGATAAACAATTTACAAAATTGGCACACAATGCTAGAGTAATGACCATGTCGGGGATAAAACGGCAGCTGTTCAACTTTCCTGAGATAAAAAGAAGATTCCCAAGATACGACATTCCTAGCTGATAAAGGAGTCCAGAAGAGTATTGGCATTGAGTAGGTTGGTGGTGGCCACTATGTAGTGAATTCCTGTCTTCTCTCCCAGAAAACGGAGCGCATTGATCTCTGAGAAGGTGCACCCGCCAAGGAAGTACACGAGGACGACGCGATGGGCCCGAGAGGCTGTCTGTGTAGCCTTCCGTTGACTGGTCCCCTGCTTATGTGTGAACGCCGGGCCACTCCAGTTTGCCACAACATCGTCCAACCCGTTCCAGCTTCCCACGCGAGTCACAAACTCGATCGCCGCTACGCTCAATGGCTTGAAAGCCCCTCCGAAAACGTACGACATCTTTGACGGGTTGTGAAGATTTGCCGTCTCGGGCTCCTTGGGCACCAGCTTGAGGTTCTTGGAGAGGAGCTTGAAGGAGGAGGGTGCGGAGGAGTCCTCGGGCTTCTCCACAACAACCCCAGCTTTCTCCAGGTTGTGCAGAGTGTCGAGGAACTTGTAGCCGTAGCTCTGCAGAAACTGGTCTTTCAGGATCTTCCAGTACTTGTTCTTGATCCCTCCGTTGGTGGTGGACATGAGGCACAGGAGACGGAGAGGGATGTGGAAGTTGACTTGTCTGTGGATGCACTCCTCCACGTACTCTGCAATGGGGCATTTGTCCACCGCCTCCAGGATGGCCCGCTCATAATACAGCTGCCGTTCGTACTCGGCCTCCCTCTTCCTCACGATGATCTGCTCGCTCACTTTCAGGTGGGTCTCCAGCGAATCGTGTTTCCGTCGCAGCTCTGGAAGCTTCTGGACGAAATTCTTGAGCTCCGGGATCGTCTGCGAGGGTTTCCACTCGGAATAGTCCGACTTTAACTCTTTCGATATGCTGCAGAGCACCGAGGGGACGGAGGAGAAATGCATCGAGCGAATAATCTTGTACACGGGGTCCCGGGCGTTGAGCAGGACCTTCACGTTCTTTCCCATGATCTCCTCCCCAACTTCGACAAAGCCACTCTTGATCCCAAACGTGTCGTCCAGGATCCCCTCGTAGGTGAGCTGCGAGCAGAGCGGAGTGACGTAGTCACACGAGCGATCAAACAGGACAAGCTCTGTGATCTGGGAGCCACCCTCGTGGTGCAGCGTCCCGACCTGGTGTGCATCCTTCAGTCTGCTGTAGAGACTCCAGACCATGGAGGCCAGGTGACCCTTACCGTGGACCACGGGAATGGTCCCATGATGTCTCTCCAGCAGGAGAATCGACTCGGCCACTGAGTGCAGCATGCTCATGTCACCGTCGATGTGGAGCGTGAACAGAGACTTGTTCCTCTCCAGAGATAGGATGTGTTCGTCCAGCGGGATGAGGTGGAGCTTTAGCTCCATGTATCGGATGAGACCGTGGACGCCTTCCCTCTCGAGGATGTACTCGCAGGAGGCCAGCCGTCTAGGGACAAAGATGACGACGTACTCGCGATTACGGCGGGCTCTGCTGTCCGATTGGATGTGGTCTGCGATCTGGCTGACTGCCAGCATGTCGGGACGAGTGACGTAGAACCTCTTAGTGCCCCCTTGGTCCATTACTGGCTCTATACGGTAGATGTGCTCCACTTCCAGCCTGAGAAAGAGAGAGAGAGAGAGAGAGAGAGAGAGAGAGACAGAGAGAGAAAAAACGAAATCAAAAATGGAAACTGAAAAGTTGTTTATATTCTACAAAGGAAGTTTCTTTTAGTGCAGAAGTGATGTGGTTAGTGCAATGCTTCTCCCCCTAGAGGACACTCATAGCAACCAAATGGTAAGTTAATGGCGGGCGACCACAGTCTGCTACTCCTCACACACTCCCTCCATTCCTTCATTTCTCGGCACACCCCCTGTCTGTTCTGACAACATGATTCCCCGCCAAATCAGTGTCCACCTATTCCCTAGGGTAACGGATATGGGCTGTCTTTCCTCGTCTTATTGCCAGCAAACACAACTCCCTCTCCCACCCCGTGAGACCACTCCCGCTACAAAGACTAAACTGAAGGGGCATCAAACATATTACTTTATCCGTTCCCAGAGTCTCAAGTACTAGCGTTCACTCTTTAATCTTTGCAACGTCAGCCAAGTAGCTACTTCCAACTTAAGAGTGCAGTGTAGCGGGCAACTTTCTATGGAGAGATCTTTCATATTTGCAAAACTTGTGGGTGTTTGTATCATGGGACTAGCAAGTTTTCTCCACGAACTTTATGTTTGCTGCTGAAACATCTCCCAAACATCTCCCGCATGTTTATCCCACCAGGCGGCTGCCTACGATCCACATATCCACGTATCAACTACAGCCACAGAGCCAGTCAACAAAAGCCGAAAACTGTATTAGTTTCTAAGAACAGACAGTACCCACAGTAGTGCCGGTGGAATGTGTACAACAAGTACTTGAGATGGCTGCAATGGGGTATGTTCCGCATGCCTGCCCAAGCTAACTAGGGCCACCTGGGAGATCAATCAACGCCCAATTCCATAATTCCACAATTCCACGTTCAAAATTGTTTCTTAGAGAATGGGTGACCACCAAATTAACAAAAAGGCTGAAATCGTGGAACTTGTGCACACACAGATGCAAGGTAGAATACTTTTTGAGGAAGTTGATGGGGGTCACGTGCTCCAGGAGCGTCATGAGCTCTCCCTGGATTACCAGGTCCTTCTTGCCCTCCTCGCTGGCCAGCATGTCTGCGAACTGGGTCCGCGCTATCTCTGCCACGTCCTTCAGGTCCGGCAGCTGTGCTCCGTCCGTCTCGTCTAGCGAGAGGACCGCCCCGTTCTCGCCCAACTCGCTCATTTTTCGGGGTCCGGGGGAGCAACTGAATTTCAAATTTACTGAACCGCTATTTTAGAGAAGGCTTCACCTTCGACCTTTTCTTCGCAAAACGCAGGCGCATGCGCGCACACACGTGTGGCTGGCTCGGGGCGATGTGTTCACTTTTGAGGATCGGCACGGTCCAGTACTCGTCGGCACTGACTTCTAGGTTTCTCCAGAGAACCCGAGCGATCCTGTGCTGTGTCAATCTACGAAGGCACTGTACACTTACGGCTTACCCCAGAATGCCTCATCAACGCCGATCTCGTTACAACCAGCATCCGAGCTTGTGGAGCAGATGGCAGCTCAGTTACTGTACGTCAACAACGACAGAGGGGAGACTGAACATTGATACAAGGAGCACATGTGGTGGGTGTGGGTCTAAGCTGCAGTGTGACGACGCGGGTAAACCAGGGTACGTCCCTCGTGATAAGTTACTGCAGTATCTGGCAGGACCAGACACTGCTGTTGGATTAGAAGAAGAGGAACGTGAAAAAGAGAATGGAGACTTGGATGAGGGGGAAGCAGAGGAGATTTTTAGAAACCCGCAGCAGAGGCTCATCTGTAAACGATGCTTCTCTCTGAAGCACTACAACACGGCACTGAATGTGACTCTCCAAGCAGAGGACTACCAACGGCACCTCTCACACCTCCGCCACAAACGCGCCCTCATCCTCCTAGTAGTGGATGTGATAGACTTCCCGGGCAGTCTCTTCCCCGACCTCAGCACCCTCGTCTCCCCAGTCAGCCGTGTCCTGGTCGTGGGGAACAAGATAGACCTTCTGCCTCGAGACAGCGACGGAGACCTCCGGAGAAGATTGGAGGGCGTGATACTGGACGAGTGTCTGAGCTCCAGTTTGAGAGATCGTACGGTGCTGGGTGTGGAGTTCACAAGTGTGAAGTCGGGGGAGGGGCTGGAGAGGCTGGCCAATACAGTGATGGAGTCCTGGGGGAACAGAGGAGACGTGTACTTACTGGGCTGCACCAATGTCGGGAAATCGTCTCTCTTTAACTATCTCTTGATGAGTCTCTGTGGAGCCACACCAGGAGAACTGGTGGGAGGAGAAAGAGGAGGAGGAGTGGGTGTGCCTCCACCAGTTGCCACCATTTCCCACTGGCCTGGCACCACAATGGGTCTACTCAGCTTTCCCCTCATGTCGGTGGGGAAGAGGAGGAGGTTGATCAGTAGGGGGGTCAGGGAATTGGGTCTGGAGAGACACTCGATCCTGGTACCAACCACCACCTCTGTCAGGATGGAGGGAGACGACAAGAGAGCGAGTACTGAAGTCGCTCAGAACAGGTTCTGGCTCCACGACACTCCGGGAGCCATCAATGATGCACAGGTACAGAGTAAGAAAACCCACCCCCCGGTCCTTCCCTGATACAGCTATGCGAACACTAGTTGTTAAAGTGTGCTCAAGGACTTTGTTTTTAGGTGCAATTTCTACGTTTGCTCCTGCAATCAAGAAACTAATTATTTCTGTTCTGCAGCTGATAAATCTGCTGACCACCAAAGAGTTGAAGCTGGCTCTTCCCAAGAAGCCTCTCAAACCTCGCACCTTTATCCTTAGACCTGGCCAGTGTCTCATGCTAGGTGGCTTGGCAAGACTGGACTACTTTGATGTAAGACCATTACGGTTCTCGCCCTACATTTGTGTATACCTGAACAATCTGTAGGGATCAAAATCTGCCTACTTCACTGTGTTTGCTGCTTCGTACATCCCTATTCATGTAACGAGGGTCGATAAGGCTGATCAAGTCTGGGCTAACAACTTGGGGAAGCCACTACTGAAGGTGAGGACTCACACACTCACAACCACTCTGCCATATTTGAGCTAGGCTCTTCTCCTCGCAACCATATGTGACCACTCCCACTCCAGGTGCCGTTTGGAGAAGTGGAGCGACAGGCGAGATTTCCTACCCTCTCGCCTCAGCTGGTCTCCGTCACTGGCAGTGGCTGGAGAACCAGCTCAGCTGACATCATCCTCTCGTCTGCAGGCTGGGTCGCCGTCACCATGGCCCAGGGAGAGGTGGGCCTATTTCAGAGTTCCATTTCGCGTTTCAAACTCTCTTTCAGGAAGTTTCTCTGATGGCCTATACACCCGGAGGTGGAGGAGTATCCTGTCGTCGCCCGTCCCTCTACCCCACTGCAGTCAACCAACGTGGGAAGAGGTTGAGAAACCGCAACCACAGAGCCCCGTTCATTGGGCAGTGACCTTTTCTCTACAGAAACTTCCTGTGGCAAATTATCAACTCTTCCGCAGTTTGTTCATCCAAACAGTCATGTTTTGTTAAGTTTACCACTAAATACCCTTTGCATTGCATGCACCGTGGATCACATAATGGTATAATAATGGGGGCCCCCAACTTTAATGGAGTTGGTACATACTCAATATACTGTAGGAAGGTAAGGCTGCTTCACAGACTATACATTGAGGCTGTGACAATTGCCAGGTGAATAGGATGAACTGATGAGGAAGAGATCAGACTATCTTCTCAAGCTCGCGAGCGTAGCCAAGGTACTCCTGTATGAGCAGCTGGTTTTGCACAAAATGGAGCGTCTCTTTCTTTTCCTGTCGTGGGAAGACAAAGAAGTTTCTGTCGTCGCTCGTGGCCCACTCCCGTTCCCTCACGTACTGCTCCAACTGGTCCTCTGACTCTATCATCAGAACCTTTGCCGCCTCAGCGACCGATATCTTTCCGTACGCCTTCTCGATGCAGGAAGCTATCTCGTTCCTGATGGTACCTATGAGTATGTCCATGAAGTAGTTGTAGTTCTGTGCCGGGACGTTGCCTTTCAGCAGGAGAACTTTGTGGAAACTTCCCTCCATGAGGAACTGCTCCAGCGATATCGGGTGCTTGATGTATATGTTCTTGAGTTCCTCCACGGTCAGCCTCTCCAGCTCCGTGTGGAACTCGGCCAGTCGGTTCTCCGCCAGCAGACCGAGAAAGTTGAGGCCCAGGATCTGGTACTTGAACGCCGACTCTGGGAGGAGGGAACTGTAGTCGAAGTAGTAGCACTTGAGTCGGGCGATGTAGCGCTGGAACGAGGGGATGTCCCGCTTCTCGATGCTCCAGAGGGCGCCAATCTCCAGGGTGTTTCGGGCCAACACGAGCTCCCTCGGGTCCAGGCTGGCGTTCTCCGAGGGGAGGAAGGAGAGTGAGAGGATGAGAACTCTCATTTGGGAGAGTTTGGTGCCCGTGTCGTCCAGGTCCCTCCGCCCCCACGCCGCCTCCAGCTGTTGGTAGGCCGCGGTGACTGTTTCTAGAGGCATGTCTAAAAGATTGGTTGGCTGAGTTACAAGCGTAATGTCCAAAGGAGTTGTCGGAGAAGAGGAAGATAGCGAAAACGTAAAACCACGCCTAGAAGCTGCGCACGTGAGCACCCACGTGGCGCTTTTCGCAGCACGAATCCACTTTCTAGGCCTTAGAGTCTCTGTGTTACTCGAGGCGTGGGCTCTTCTGCTCCTTTTCCCTTTCCAATAAACAAAATGGTAAGTAAGTGAAGACGATACTAGAAACATTCAATTTTACCCCCTTCCTCTGTACGTGTGAAGGTGCTCTTTGTGTTGTACGAGCACGCCGCTGGCTACGCCGTCTTCCGTTGCCGTGACGTAGAGGACATTGGCTCCCTGCTGCCAGAGGTCCAGGCGGCGATGACAGACTTCTCTCTCTTCAACTCCACCGTGACGCTGGAAGCTTTCGCTCCATTCAAATCTGGAGCCAATGCCCTAGAGAACATCAACGCCGTCTCGGAAGGTAGAACAGGGCTCAGAGGAGAGGGAGAAAAAGTTTGTTGCCTTCTTTGCTGCAGGTCTGATGCACGAAGACCTCCAGACCTTTCTCCTCAACAATGTTCCCCGGGGCAAGAAGAAGAAGGCAAAAGTGACACTGGGAGTGAGTGACTCAAAACTGGGCTCTGTGATCAGCGACACACTGGAAATTCACTGTCAGATTGGTGAGCTCTCCGCTCTCTTGCCTGATGTGTAAGACATTTGTTATTCCTTCTTTCCCTCCCTCTCCCTCCTTCCCTCTCCCCCTTGCCTCCTCCTCCTCCACTCAGGAGGTGTGGTTAACGAGGTAATGCGAGGTGTGAGGCTCTATTTCCACAAGTTGGTGGAAGGTCTTCCAGCTCTCTCTGTAGCCAAGGCCCAACTCGGTCTCGGTCACTCGTACTCCCGGGCCAAGGTCAAGTTCAACGTGCATCGCTCCGACAACATGATCATACAGACCATCAGTCTCCTGGACCAACTGGACAAAGACATCAACACGTTTGCCATGAGGATCAGGTGTGTAATTGCCATTAAATTTTTTTGTTCATACCAATTTGTTAAGTTGGCTTTATGGAGCTGTACGACATAATTTCTCTTACAGTATTGTACAGAACTCCATAATTTGCAACTAACTTGCAACTAACTTATCCCACACTATCTGCACAGCTGTAGTTAGCCCACTTCTCAAAGTGCCTGAAATTTTAGTTAACTGTCAGAGTGTGAGGATGGTGGAGACATATATTGTTTTTAGGAAGGGTGCATGAAAGTATAGCTGTCAATTTACTTCAATTTACTTATTGAAACCTTAGTTTGTATATCATCCTGAAAACAAAGAACATCCACTCTTAGTTTGGCTTTTAGTGAAAGTCAGAGGGGTGCCCCTCCGGTTTTCATGCTAATTGGTTTTCACTTTCAAACTACTGCAGAGAGTGGTACTCTTACCACTTCCCAGAACTGATCAAGATAGTTCCCGACAACCAGATGTACGCCCGTGTGGCCCGCTACATCGGCGACAGGAAGAGTCTGAACGAGGAGAAGATGGAGGGGCTGGAGGAGATTGTCCTCGACTCAACCAAGGCACAGGCGATCGTGGAGGCTGCCCGCATGTCCATGGGTGAGTTGGAGGAGGTGGACTGAACCATTGTGTGGTATACCTTACCAAGTAAAACTGAAGGTTACTGCAGTGAATGCTAAACTGTACCATCATCACCATTATAGCAATGAGCATCAGCAGCAATGGGAATATATGAGGCTTGGCTGACTCTGGTTATCGCGTCATAGGCTTGTGCTCTCACCTCCCATTTCCAGGGAAAATGAAGTTCTCTTTCCACAATTTCACCAAATAAAACTCTGAGGCTTGGCCTTGGGACTTGTATTACAATATGATGTAGCTTCCCCTGTTTAGTGGTAGTGGTCTCACTTAGGGCCTGAGGGAAGTGAAATTCTCTTTCTATGATGTCACACTAACAAACCGCTAATCACCGTTCTACAGTTGAAAACCTCTTCAGGCTTGGCACAGGAATCAGTGTACATTAGTATTGCTTTGTTTGGGACATGTGGTTGATTACCTGGACACGCAGACTATTTATTTTCTGGCTGGCTCCTCTGACCACAGCCTTGGAGTAATTTTGGCTTTCCCTGTAATCATGCAGCTGCCACGAACTGTTATTGCGTCACAACTCCGTCGGTTGTTATGGGAACCGGAGGAGGAACTGTGCAATTAGGTTTTGTAATTACCCTGTTACTACCAGTTAGCATCAATTGGTGATTGGCAGTGCAATTTGTCAGGGGAGTACATGTGAGTTTCTGTTTCTGCAGGAATGGATGTGTCGCCACTGGACCTCATGAACATTCAGAGGTTTGCCTCTCGCGTTGTGGAGCTCGCCGACTACAGGAAGAAGCTGGCGTCCTATCTGAGCTCAAAGATGAGCAGTGTCGCTCCTAACCTTACCACACTTATAGGAGAACAGGTCTGCACGTTGGAGGATAAGGAAGGAGGGAGGGAGGGGGAGTATCGGGGATGTTATATCCTATCTGTATCGGGCGTGTAAATTAGTACGCACTTAAAATTCCATCTGCGTGTGACTCTCTAACTGGGCCTAATTAGGAGTGGATTGAAATGTAATTGTCTGTGTGGGCGTGCTGTATAACCTCACTGGGAACGTGGATCTGTGGGCTCTACAATCAAGACGGCAGAAAACCCACTGGAACTATGGGTGATAGGCTCACGAAAACAGCTCTCGCAAACATGCCATAGCTATCAGCTACTTCAAAAGAGGACTAAAAAGAAGTTTGAAAGGAGAATACTATACCCGCTGAACTTTTTCCACTAAATCATTCCAGGACAATGTTGTGGCTGGCAGGAGAAGCCAGACCTAATAGAGCCTTTCTTTTCTTTTCTTTTCTTTTCTCTGGCCGGTAGTTCTTATGGTGTGGGGCTTCTGGTGTGTGGCTGTGCGGGGAGAGTGTGTTGGTGTGGGCCTCACCACTCTCCCTGGCAGAGTCCAGGAGAAAGTCTGGCGGGATTTGGTGGCTTCTCACACACACGGCTAGTGGGTGAGGACACCACATCCCTCCCCTCCCCTCCCTTCCCCAGAGACACAACAGAGTCAGGTTCTCTAGCTGCACAGACACCGTGTGGGTGTTTGTAGATGATGATTATGGTGGATGGTTGCAGCCGTCATTTTGTCAGGGAAGTGGGAGGAGGGAGAGGTGTCCAACACTCTAGGGAGATCATCTGCTTTTCCGTTTTATTTCTGAGTGGGCCTCTCTTGAGCCTAATTCAGCACCACTTTGCCGTGGAACCCGATGCCACTTTGCCGATCCATCCTCCTAGAACCAGTGTGGGAACTAATCACATGATAATGATAAATCATCAGTGTCCCGTTTCCTTGGAAATGCTGGTTAAATTGATAACCGTCGCAGAGAGCTGGGGATCTGTTTCATTTGAACGTTATTCACGGCGAGTGGTGGGCACCTGAACGTGACCGTGTGTGCTGACTAGCTCGCCCCACACTCTTAAGTACACTGATGCATGGCACCTGCACATGTGTGTTTGTTTGGCACAGTGTGGATTACACCTCTGAACAAAGTGCCCTGTAGATCTGTCATTACGTTCATCAAACCGGTGTTCCGTTCGTTAGCAGTTAGTGAGCATATATATATGTATAGCATAGAGTGTAGACCTTCTCTGAATGGTCCTCCCCCTCTATCCAGATTTCATTATTTTGGATGTGACCACAGGTAGCAGGTGGCAGACAGTATGGGTGTCACAGACTTCCCTAAATGTCCCCTGTTCTCGTTCTCCCACCTCAGTCTCCTGACAACACTGGGGAATAGTATTTCATCCTCTCGTCCCCCAACATCATCTTACGCTCACGTGTGTAAAATGCAGCAATTCTAGCTGGTCCATCCTCCTTGAACCTAGCAACAACAGGCGGGCTGGTCTCACATATAGGATATTGCCATGGGTTCATAGGTTTATTGTTCGTCTGTTTGGAACCGTGGACAATTCTTCTGTAAGCAGTCCTTTCCATGTTTTGTTCCATGTTGTGCGGACTATGGGCTGTATGTATTGAGGAATGGTAACCAGCAGCAATGAGCCTCAATAACTGGGTATCCCTGGGTTCTCTGCCAGGAGATGTGCCGTAACTGGTCGCGGCCATTGTCCGTGTGTGTGTCTGCGGTCACAAACAAACAGATGACGGGGGGGAAATGCAACCAATGGCGTCTTTGGCTGTAAGCCATGTCACGTCCTTATAAATTTCTGGCACTGGGCAAAAGATAGGGAATAGTGTGCTGTTAGGTGATTTTTCATACATTATACCAGTTAGTATATAGTTGTACTCTCAGCCCCTCTCTCTGCAGGTGGGGGCGAGGCTGATCTCCCATGCAGGTTCCCTGACCAGTCTTGCCAAGTACCCTGCCTCCACTGTCCAGATCCTGGGAGCTGAGAAAGCTCTCTTTAGGTACCTACTCTCGCCCCTCTCCCGGGGGGGGGGGGCTGCAGCCTTGCAACGGTTGCGGCATTTACACCACTCCAAGGGATACCTGATATCCCTGACAGAAGTTATGGGAGATAGATTCTCCCAACAAAACTAGACCCCTGCCTGCGTAATAATGATGCATTTAGATTACGTGTCTATACACAAACCCCAAAAATATGTAGGAAGAAGTTCCCCTAAAAGTGTTGGTAAACTTCCTGGTACTGAAAGTAGAAAGGGCGACACTGTAATTGTTCTCATGCACAGGCCCATGCAATTAATTACCAAATTTGACTGTTTGTTTTTAGGAAGTCATTTAAAAGGAAAGGAAGTATCGTGTGAGGAAGTGAAGAAACATCACACGTGCTTCCTTCTTATCGGGCTCCTCTTCATATCTTTCTGGATATGGTCGTGCTTGTCGTGTTGCAATAGTCGTGACGTATATTGTTTTCTTGATATGTGGTATCGGGTGTGTTTGCTGCTCGTGAATTTCAACTTCGTCTTGGAATGTACTGCCTGCCTTTTTAGGATGTGGAAATTTTAAGCATACGGCACAGAGTTCAAAGTTCGCTAGCTTTGATTGCCCTGACCTTGGCTTGTGAGCCTATCTCATGTGGGCAAGTGGCACGAGGATGGTGTGATTGATGTAGTGTGGGGTGGATACACATCTAGGCAATGGAGTAATACTATGGGGACACCCCTTACACCCCTTACTTTTTTGAAAGTAATGTGTTAGGAGTTAAGGAGGGTGTTTCCACAGTAGATCCCTCTTACTGGAACTGTGGACACCTTTCCGCGAGAGGAAATCTCCGTCTCTCTCTGTCCCCCTACTTTCTTCGTTGGTGCTAAATTATATTTTGGGCTTCATTGTTGCTAGCCTGTCTATGTGATCGCACAGGTGGAATCATTGCTGGCTCGCTTGCTGTGGCGTGAAGGGGGTGTGCAATTAATTAGATTATCGTGGCAAAGGTAAACAGGTTAGGATGCATTAATCAAATTCACAGTGCAATTGACTGTACACACCTCCGCCTCGCCGGGCTGCATGAATCTCCTCAAGGCTTTAGCTACCAGTAAGGACAGTTTTATCTCAAATTTCTTTATAAAAAGTTCAATTGGAGAAGAGCTTGGTGTGCGTCATGATGCGTCATTTTTGACCCTGACCCTTTCATTGCCCTGGGGTGATAAAAAAAGATCTTTGCATGCACATTCATGTGTTGATATTGCAACAATCAAATAGAGTCATTGGCCTTATTAAGCAACATTCATGTGACATCGTCTGATTTTATTTGGATTAATAAAATAACAATGAATAATGAATACAATCTCTGTTGTGACTATTGACTCTTGCTAAAAATTCAGGCGTAGATATTTCACGATGTGGATATAAAAATTGTTTACTTTGCATGCACACAAACATTTAAACAAACATTTAAAAGTGTGTTAGTCCACAATTTTCGCACTTGTAATTGCAATAATAACTGAAACTGTGTAGGTGTAGCTCCCAGGGTTGTGACGAGGCATGGTTTACACTGTGGGCTATGGGATACTGCTGAACTCCGAGTTCAGAGCAAACACACTCACTTGCCCACTGCCCCTGACCGCCTCTTGCTGGGGTATCCGTTTCCGTGTTTTGGCTTGCTGGAAGTAACACTGCCTCCCTCCCCCCCTCTTCTCTGTCCCATCCCAGAGCCCTCAAGACCAAGGGGAACACCCCCAAGTATGGTCTGATATTCCACTCGACTTTCATCGGTCGGGCCGGACCCAAAAACAAAGGTCGGATCTCGAGGTATCTCGCCAACAAGTGCTCCATCGCCTCGCGCATCGACTGTTTCAGTGGTAAGGGGAGCAGAGTCTGCCACCCTGACATAGTCTCGTTTTTCACTGTTTTCAAACACTTACATATATTGGGACAAGGTTTAGTGTGCAGTGTCACTGCTCTCATGGGGATGGGAAATCAGTATTATGCTATAACCCAGTCGGGGGTTTGGTAAGACGAGATGTTTGGAATTTATAATTAGCTGGGCCCAAGTTGGTTAGGGCAATTTCTTGTGTTTCCTGCATTCTCTTTGCAACCAACAGAGCAACCCACGACGGTGTTTGGTGAGAAACTTAGGGATCAGGTGGAAGAAAGGCTTTCCTTTTTTGAGTCGGGGGAGCTTCCCAGGAAAAACATTGTCGTGATGCAGGAGGCAATCTCTCAGCTTCAAGCCGACAAGATGGACCTCTCTTTGGACGCCTCCTTCACTGCTGGGGAAAGGTAAGAGTGTGCTTTAGTGATTGTGAAAGGTGAAATGGGTTTCACGTTCACTTGTAGTGGTGGTGGGGAGAAGAAAAAGAAGAAGAAAAGGAAGCGGAAGGAGACGGAGGAGGGGGAGGGGGAGAGTGGAGAGACAGAGGCGAAGGATCCGGTAGCTGCTGACCCTGAGGATCCCACACCGAAGAAGAAGAAAAAGAAAAGGAAGAGTTTGCAACAACCGGAAGACTGACTTACTACATTGTTGCTGTCTGCGAAAATATTGTATAATAGTATTTATACCGTGTGCTAATTATTTTTGCTGACACGCGCGCACGCGACCGCGCGCGCATATCACGGTGGTACGCGGTATAAAAAGGGGCTGCGACCCGCGTGGACAATCAAAATCGACTCCAGTAAACTTAGAGCTTTATTGACAATTTTCTGATGCCTCAAGAAACTGAAAGATGTGTCGTCTGCTGCTGGCAGCTATCAGTGAGTTTATTTAGTGCTTCACGCGGGCAGAGGATTATGTTGATGCGTGGTTTTCTGCAGTGTTGTGCAAGATTTGCGTCGCATTCATCGTATTTTCGGCTCTCCCTGGGCGTCGCTGCGACGGAAGGGATAGAGGGAGTTCCGCTACCAGACCTGTGTCTCGGTCGCCGAGGAGACAGAACAGTTTCGAGGGAGTGCGCCGGCTCGATGGCCGGGTGGTGCGTTTCTTCTTCAATTCCAAAAGAAATATCTGCAAGAAATTCAGTCTCTGTCAGAGCATCGCTACACACCTGGACGGGGAGGCAGACCCGACCATCAACTATTTCCAGAACGTTGCAGAGTGCGAGCAGGCCTGCACCAACGGTATATACTTACTAATCTGATTCACAGTAAATAAGTAATTCTGCGAAGTACTGCTGGGAATAGCCTGACATGTGCATTTGCAGAACCTGTGTGGCATGTGGCTTCCTCAAATCATACCACCAATTACCTGCCTGTCTGTCTCTGCTAACTTCCTGGTAACCTATCTCCTCCTCCTCCTCCTCCTCTCTCGTGCAGTTGTGGAGTGCCCCAGAGGGCCTCTGCAGATAACAAACGGTGGCCCAGGGATGGAGACCGAGGAAGGGGAGTGGGCACAACTGGACGCAGACACGAGGCTGGGGTTTGGTACAACAGTCACCTTCAGATGTAACAGAGGCTATGGACTGCCCGAGGGAGTCTGGAATAGAACTTGTCGATTAAACGGGACCTGGTCTGGAGCAACGCCTACCTGCAACAGTGAGTAGGGATAAACTCTTGTGAATCTTGTGTTTGCCTATGGAGGAGAAAGTTGTAGGGTGCTGATGTAGTAGGAATTCATTGCTCTAGGTTATCAGCTTTCTGCCCATCTGTAGTCAGGGCAACCTTCCTCTGTATTCACAGGTTGCTGCTGTATTAGCAAGTGTTAGTAATATTGTTGGGTGTCTGGTGTACATAGTACTTAACTGATTGAAAATTCATTGGCCTCTCCTCATGCAGTTCAGTGCCATGATCCAGGGCCCACTAACTACACAGTCTCTCCACTGAGAAACTACTACAACATTGGGGATCAGATCAGAGTAGACTGCATGGATGGACTCGAAGGGAGCACTTACCTGACCTGTCTCCGGAGTGGAAACTGGGGAGGACACTACCCCGAGTGCTGTAAGTCCAGTACAGAAACCCCGACTTTCGCTATCAAAGCAGTGCAGATGTTTTGATAGAGGACACTGTTTACTAGGCTGTGAATAGCCTTGTCGGCTAAATAGGTCCATGCTTGTTGTTACAAGCCTGGGAGTAAAGGGGTGTTCCTACAGCCTACAGACTTCTGCTGTGAACCCTGTCTCCTTTGTCTCTCTCCTCAATTCAGCTCGCAGTTGTGGCGCTCCGCCAGTAGACAATGCTGACCCACCAGTTAGAAAAATTGAAGGATCGACTGTAAAATTAACATACAACTGCCTTGCTGGTTACACTCTCTTGCACGATTCCAGTGACAACTCCACCCTCTCCAGCACCAACTACACCCTGTCCTGCGTCAATGGAGCATTTGAAGGACAGATTCCAGTCTGCACAAGTGAGTCTCTTTCTTTTGCTCGGTGTATTGACATGTTCACAGAGCATGGACAGGTTTACATAGCTTATCCTTAGCCACCCCAATGCAGTGTAGTGTTAATAGCATGATCTCACCGGTCTCTTCCTGTCCCCCCATAACCTTGTGCAGGAATTGAGATAATAACTCAGTCGAGGGACACTACTCTAGTGAACAATGTGAATGGAGTCTATTATTACCAGATGGAGGCAGAATCAAAGGATAAAGTGTTGACATGTGGTCTCGAAGGAGTCGACCAAGAGAAGCATCCAGCTCGGTGGATTCTACCAAAAAAACCAAACGGAGAACCGCCTCCAGAGGTGGAAGCAGCTGGCAACCGACTCACCTTCCTCATTGCTTACGGAGAACAAAATGACACCTACATCTGCAACATCTACAACGTGAATGCTTCAGTGATCGTGCGTGTCACACCACCAACAGGTAATTGATCAGTCTACTCCAGTTTGGTCAGTGTGTGAGATAATCTTTCTATCATTATGTGATTCAGGTGATCGTCGACCTCCAACTATTACATTCTTTGACCCAGGGAGAACGAATAAAACAGCTGGTCAGAATGCTACACTTCGAACCATCATCGTTGGTGCTCTACCCATTCATATTGTCTGGAAACACAATAACTTTAGCATCAACACCACCAACAACGACCATTACAGCTATACAGAGGTCGACATTCGAGGAGGAGAAATTTTAAGCACCTTCAACATCCTGGGATTTGGAGAGGCTGATCAAGGATCCTACCAGATAATGGCCTGGAACAGCCGTGGAATGATTGTGTCTTCTCCAGTGACGCTGACCTTAGGTAAGCAGCTCCAGTGGCCAGCACTCTGCAAACAGTGCATTCTTGGCCCTATTAGCTAGTCCATTGAGCCCAAGTGTGTCTGGTCCACATGGGTTATTATTGGAAGTGTGGTCCAATTAAAAGCTGAAATGTGATCCCCACATTCTAAAGTACAGTGGGCATTTAGGAATGTAAACATTCAGCAGCTGGCTCACAATCCCCCTTCCCTCTCTCCTCTGCAGGTACCAACGGGGAGAACAGGGACAAAAGGAGCACTCCTTTCTGCGACAAAGAGCAGACAGGAAAAGGTGAATTGATCAATTCTCATCAGTCTATGTCAACTGACACGGGCCCACCTCTGCCAACCAGCAAGATGGGAGCGCTAGATAGAGACTTGGGGATATGAGTTCCGAGTTGCCACCCCCTAGTTGACACAGGGAGGGAGGCAGCCTGTGCAAACAGCTCCAGAGGGATTTGGGGGCCTTGTTGTCTGCTGGCTGCATGGAAAAGGGAGGGCTGGTTGCCTGGGTTGACACAGAGTGCCATTGTTTTTATTGCTGCTCTCTCTCCCTTCCTCCCTCTTGCAGTCGTCTTGTCCGGAGTTGTGCGTAGGCTCAGAAGAACGGAGGACGGCCTGGAGACAGTGACACTCAGAGTCAACAGAATACTGCGTGGGGAGGGCAACGGGATAGCCAGCAGCAACAAAGTCGACGTTAGAATCTTCTCTGGTGACGACACTAAGCGGTTACACCGCGGGAAACACGTCATATTGTCTGGGGTGCCCGTGCACGGTTCCCAGCAGAGAATCATCTACATGTTCGACTCACCTATACTGGACTATTCCATCGACACTGAAAGAGCTATTAGTGACTGCTAACAGCAACAGAATCATTATCAGAACCGCTATATTCATGAACCATCATTCCTCCAACAACTACATGTTAGACGTCTGTTACGCATGTACTTGAAAAGTTACATGCATATTTTTTTTGTTTGTATCGTCAACACCTTTTGTGTTTTCTGACCTTTTTCGACATTTGCAGATTTAGTACTGACATTTTTAAAATTTTTAAGTGTAACTGACACTCACTACACTATATTTATATCAATACTGTTTGGCAACAAGCAACTCCATTCATTAGAGCAGCGGGTGGCTACAAGTCACAGCAGTCTGGATTTCTCACCATGGTTGGGTTTCTTGACAGACAATATAAATGCCTTATGAGGCAGAGCGGAATGAGTAGAAATAAATATCTGGCATGTGCTCTTCCAACCACATCATTGAGATTCGAGACAGTAGGCAAATTGACAGGGTGCTACCTCATCACAAGCCAATCTTCTCTGCTAAATGGAATGCCACTTAGACACCATGTGATGTGGCACGATGCTTCCTCCAGTAAAATTGCTCGTATTAACGCGAGATTGACACGTGTTGGAAAGTGGCAGCATAGTTTGGCAGAGGCTGCGTGTCCCATGGTTATGTAGTCTTTCGCAGCCAGGGAGACACGCTGCCACGGCCATTACTTACCGGAAATTATTCACTGGGACTCTTGTGTTTACAAACACAAATAAAGCTCCCCGTGTCACCCATGAAGCCAACGGTTGTTTTGTGTGTACACAAAGACCAATGGCCAGTTTGGAATCCACTGGAGTTACCTGGGCTTCCTTTGTTTGTCACACAACCTCTGCTTCCCCGTCACACACACACACACACACACACACACACACACAACACTGTGCTACTCATTTGTAAATGCATTACTTGTCAGAGTCCATATATGGACTCTATTAGAATGATGAAACGGGGGAAGGACTTTTGTAATAGTAATGGATGCACACACACTACAGCAACAGTGAAAACTGAAAAAGTAGGCGGCAGTGTTTGGTGAAGTGAGGAAAGCTCTGTCTTCATTTTCCTCTGGATGTTCTGGGGACCTGGTGTTGTGGGAAGTAGAGACAGAGTTTTGACAGTCACTACTGATATGACAAGACTATAACAACACAGCACCTGAGATGTTCTAGCCTGCCCTGATCTGAGCTGACCCACTTTAGATAACAAAGTGGCAAAAGGGGATCACCTGAGATGGGCAGTTTTTTTTACAAACCTGTTACACACACCATGCATTATTGACTTGTTGTTGCAAAAGTCTGGTTCAGTAGTCTAATTTAATCCCTGCCAAGGAATTGGCCAAGAAGGTAATCAGAGACTCATACAGTTATGTCTGGTGCACAAGCTAAAGCAAGTCTATCAGACGTGTTTATTCCTGTCTACATGCATTGTTTTTCACCAGAAATTCATTAGGTGTGTGTGTGTGGGGGGGACCAGGGCAGCAATGGAGGTCCACGCCAGCAGGAGGGGACGGGGGAATACAGTCACAAACTCGACTACGGTGCAGATACTGCAACAGGAGATGCGGCGGCGGCGCCAGTCTAGAAATTCTGTGTGATGTATCATTGGTTCATAGCAATTCCCTTCTTCCTGCCACACACGGAGGGAAAATACACGCAAAACGAGCACGGCTCTGACTGGAATTCGAAGCATGGCCAACACAGTCATGACCCCACGACAGTGTTACACGGCAAACAGACATGGACTCCCACAGACAAATATTACTCTATATTCGGAGACCAGCAGACCAGAGAGAGTGCAAATGGCTTATAATTCATCAAAATGGCCAGTGCAGCAAAAAGCAGGTGGCAGTTTTAATTATCAAGATGGACTGAACCCCGGCAGTAGTACACATTCAGTCAGACCGAAACTGGTGGGAGATACATGGGGCACTGAAACTGGTGGGGGATACATGGGGCACTGATTGCTATACAAACAGGAAACACAGTGTTAAATCAGGAGCTGTGAACAACTGGGGCGCCTGGAGTTCAATGCAGATTTTGATAACCCGTGAGCGACTGGGGGAGAGAGACAGGAAACCCGAAACCCCAGAGTAGGGCCGCAGCACGTGACCATTGTGTCACCACCCACCCCAACACCGTGATAGGAGAGTGGGCAGTGGCTTCCTCCCAGGACCAGCTGAGCTCCCTACACACTACTTTGATGTTGATAGCTCCAGTAAGTAAACAGTTGGCCCTCACTTTGCAAGGGCCATCCCCACCACACCGTGCATTAGGGGAACATTATGCCGCCTGAAATAAAGCCCACCTTTGTGGGTTTGCTTGTGAAGGTCTTCAGAGGGTCAATCCGAACCTGTGAGTAACACAGAGTGAGTAAAGATATACCTTACAAGAACATCCCGTGGATACACAGAGCTATACAACCACAAAACCATTTGGGGAAGTAACATTAAATGCCCTGTGGATCATCGTACATTTCATCATTGCAACATTAAGAAAGGCAACAGCGTATAACAACATCCATAAATGGATATCTGGAGTTACAGCATAATCTGAGGAAGTCACAAGGTGGAAAATGGCGGTAAACCCACCATATAAGAAGAGTGCAAACTGTGGAGCTAAAAGGTTTCATGGAAGCAGCACTGGCCTGTCCTTTTGAACATCCTGCTAAGAACAGAAATCCCCTGCCTTCTGCCATAATAGTGTAGATTAATCAGTCGATCATTAGGCCTCCTTCCGTCAACTGAAACATATCCCATCTAATCCTCTGACTGCGTGACATTGCACACTGCATGCTCCCCGACTACGCGAAAACACGGGCACCAAAACTACAGGTGCTGGAGTGATATCCAATCTCTCTTAGAGTCACACTCTAACAACCTAACAGAAGCCTCGCAGGTTTAACCTCAAATGAGACATCTATCACGTCGTAGGGTCAGGACCTCAAATTTCAAGGATTACTGACTAAATTTGTCTCTCATTCCAACACTTCTTGACTAACATAATTATTCCTCTTCCGTACGTTATGGAATGACGAGATTAGATTTTAAATTACGAATGTTCTTATTTAGCGTGCTTCATTCCCATACGCTAATGGGGGACCATAAACACTCTGTGGCAGGTGGAATTCCGTGTAATGAGTCGTAACGAATCGTGATTACACTAATAAAGGATAGAAAATAGGTTACAGAGGAGAAGCTCTGCCAACGCCCAATAACAGAGAAACCAGTGGCCTAGGAACTCCCTCTCATCCGGGGGGCCTTTGAGGCTGCAGTGACCACACTGATGAGGACAATATCCCTTCTCTCCTCCTACCACCAGGTTTCTCTTCCTTCCCTTCCCCATTACCCCAGAGTCTCTTCCCCCCAGGTTTCTCCCTCCTTCCCTCCACCATCCGACAGAAACTAGGGAAGTGAAACACCCCTTCCCTCTTTCCTTCCATCCCCCTATACACCCCTTGTTTCTGAACAGCTACGCACCACTTCTCTCAACAGGCTCTCAACAGGCTAGAGAAAAGAGTGATGCAATAGCCAGAGAGAGGGGGAGAGTGGAGAGAGGGGGAGAGTGAAGGTAAACTGACAGGTCTGAATATCGCAAATTCATCGCTGGAAAGTCGCTAGGGAGGGGAGTGCATGGGGGAAGCGGACCATAGCAACAGCACGAATCTTCTCTTTGCAGCAAGTATACCTTGTTCTTCTTCCTCCTGCCTCCTCCTCTTCTGACAGCAGTGGACGACGGCCGAACCTTCTTCCCCTTTACCTCCTTCGTTACCTCTGTTCTCAGAGCCTTGGGAACTGAAAAACACACACACATCAAGATCTTTAATAATCTTTTTTTCCAGGAATAATTACTGGCTTCAGCTTGCATGTCATGTTTTGGAGTAAATATTTGGCCGGTGACTATATACCTCTAGGCTTTCAATGACATACAGGGGTAGCTGTTGAACATGTCCACTATGATGTTACCCGCGCTACCACACGTGAGAACCCGACACCACGTTGCACACAAACACAAGAAAATTGCAAAACAAACTCGCGGAATACGACGCGCGTCTTGTGTGTGTGTGTGTGGGGGAGACGACGGTAAATACGTTGACGAGCTAATTGCGACACCTCACACGCAGCAAATATCACCAACACACAATCTGGGAGAGGCCGGGCCCTAGTCTCGCCGGCTGCATGCAAACTAAAATGAATATCAAGTCGGAACTGGGCTTGAATGTCAGTCCTTGGAACTGCTCCAGCATTGGGTGAACAACCGTTACACTATCCGCTCCAGTGTACATATATGCTTGGGAAATACTAGCCATATTACTGGTCCATTCCAGACAGTTGAAAGAGAATAAAATTATCGGTTTCAGCGGTGAGCTCAGACCCAGGATTGATGGAAAAGCAACCACACACAACGCAGCATGGTTGATAAATAAGGCAAGCAGGTATAATGTGACAGCCCTCCCAGGCTGTAAACAACATTATACCCTACATTTCACGCATGCCACAGAGATGATTTGAGACCAGGTAAAAAACAAAAACACATATTACGGTGCACCAAATGTGGAAAATGGATGAGTTGCTCATATGGAAGAGACGGCCAACTGCATGAGTGATTGTGTGCTCTAAGGAGAGTAAACAAATCAGACACAAGGCCCTCTGACGTAGGTTACTATTAGTGCTCGAGATAATAGGCTAAGTAGTGGCTTTAGGGTTGGCATCCAATCACCCCATGGCTGACATTCCTCCACAGATAATTGAGCATTCCTTTTGTCTGTTGTCAGTTTCATTCATGGAGGGGAGGGGAGGGGAGGGGAGGGGAGATTTTGCTTCACACTTAATGGAATATACCGCGCAATGACTTCTTGGAGGCTTCTCAAGTCACCCTCCATTAATATCCGTATCAAACACTGCATTTGTATGTATGTTGCAAGTCAGCAGACACACACATACACACAAGAGTATTATAACTGCTATCATAGGAATATATAATGTTTCTCAAAGTATTATATTAATGCATAAATTTACATGTAGGAGAGTCGCACCAGCTAAGCTCTCAAAGGTTGTCTTAGCAACCCAAAAGGGAGCCCCGAACCAATACAGGAAATTGTGTGTCTCCACTGGCAACGGGTCCCACGTCACACAGATATGGCGGTGATAAGGAGCAGCAGTCAAGCCACAAGAGAGGCTAGGCTGGCGAGTGGAGGAAGCATGATCAAATGTTGGAAACGCTCAGATGTCTCACCATATTGTACACAGTGAGAGACAAGAAGGCCCCACCACCCACTCACAGTGTAAAACACACCAACGTCCAAATAGAGGACATGGTGGGGGCATGCAAATAATATCAGGATCGAGTAGTACCATGTAAAGGTGTTGGCACTGGGTTAACTGGAGTGTCAGCTACACCGGTTCCACCCTAACTACTGACACACCGCACTTAGGAGAGAGAAGAAGACACACTTAGGAGAGAGAAGAAGACACACTTAGGAGAGAGAGGAAGACACACTTAGGAGAGAGAGGAAGACACACTTAGGAGAGAGAAGGTTCACACAGTTGGTGTCTTCATGCCACAAAAGTTCCCAGAAGCAGGTCAGAGGAGGAAGGATGGTTGTCACAGGTGGACTAATGCAAATGCCCATTTCTGGCCCACAGAGGCATTCTTCTCTTCATTGGTGAGTGCACACAAACACACGGTCTAATAATCTGCCCGGGCCAAGTATGGCTTGCAGCAGACGTACACACAGCACACTCCACGCGTTCCACGCAAGTGTTTATGCTTGGGAAAAGGGGTTATCGATGATGGATATGGTCATAGGCGAGTGAGTCCCTGTCGTGTCTCCTAAATCAGAGTCACAAACAGACACATTCACAGATGTCACAGATGCCACAGCCCCATCATTTCACATAATTATCTCCCCAGCCAGAGAGAGAGGACACCTGCCACAGGGGACACCTGCCCCGTCATTTCACATATCTCCCCAGCCAGAGAGAGAGCTCGCTGTTGTAGTCCTGGAAACACCACTGGCAGATGGAACCAGTGGGTTGTGGCTGATGACGTGGTGGTAGACGGGTAGCATGTTTGTGTATGCATGTGTGTGTGCGTGCGTCCGTGTGTGCGTCCGTGTGTGTAGCTCACTGAGGTAGGAAGGGATGTGCTTGAGATGGGGCTGGACTCTCTTTGGTTGCAGAACCTGGTCGTGTCGCAGGACGTGCGTGCGTCCGTGTGTGTAGCTCACTGAGGTAGGAAGGGATGTGCTTGAGATGGGGCTGGACTCTCTTTGGTTGCAGAACCTGGTCGTGTCGCAGGACGTGCGTGTGTGCGTGTGTGTGTAGCTCACTGAGGTAGGAAGGGATGTGCTTGAGATGGGGCTGGACTCTCTTTGGTTGCAGAACCTGGTCGTGTCGCAGGACGTGCGTGCGTGTGTGCGTGCGTGCGTGCGTCCGTGTGTGTAGCTCACTGAGGTAGGAAGGGATGTGCTTGAGATGGGGCTGGACTCTCTTTGGTTGCAGAACCTGGTCGTGTCGCAGGACGTGCGTGTGTGCGTGTGTGTGTAGCTCACTGAGGTAGGAAGGGATGTGCTTGAGATGGGGCTGGACTCTCTTTGGTTGCAGAACCTGGTCGTGTCGCAGGACGTGCGTGCGTGCGTGCGTGTGTGTGCGTAGCTCACTGAGGTAGGAAGGGATGTGCTTGAGATGGGGCTGGACTCTCTTTGGTTGCAGAACCTGGTCGTGTCGCAGGACGTGCGTGTGTGCGTGTGTGTGTAGCTCACTGAGGTAGGAAGGGATGTGCTTGAGATGGGGCTGGACTCTCTTTGGTTGCAGAACCTGGTCGTGTCGCAGGACGTGCGTGCGTGCGTGCGTGTGTGTGCGTAGCTCACTGAGGTAGGAAGGGATGTGCTTGAGATGGGGCTGGACTCTCTTTGGTTGCAGAACCTGGTCGTGTCGCAAGACCTGCAGGTCTCTGGGGTTGTCCTCAAAGTGGCTCTATAGAAACACACACACACGGAGAGAGGGAGATGGAGGGAATTAGAAGAAGTCTTGATTGTGGGTGTTCAACCAGAACGAAAATGGTAAACAAACGTGTGAATAACTGCTAATTTTAGGTCATGAGCGCAGCTCAAGCAGTCAGGCATGCACATACCCATGACCACATCACACAACAGAAAACAGCTAGCAGGGAGGAAATATGGGTGCAAAACTATAAATAGAATATCCTGGATATTATGCAGTGCATGACAGCAGAAGACACACACACACACACCATAACTCGTCCCTAACCTTGAGTCGTTCGGAATTGATCGCCTCAACTCGTATTTCCTTCAGACGGGCTTCTCTGACTGCACACAACACACACGGAAACAAGCAACATGTTTACAAGCAGTTACACAACAAAACACGTGTCGTCATGTGTGCAGTGTGTGTAGAGCATGTGCCGAGATGGCTATCACTGCACAAGTTGCACACAAACTACATGCGGTGTGAATGAAGGCTGAATGATGTGAACACATACTTACTGGATGCCTTTGTCACGGCCCTCAGAGCATCCTGAGGCAGTGGAAATGCAAATTTCTCATTACGTAGACACAATTATTATCCCGTGTTCCTCACAGTGATTCTGTATCGAAATCCCTCAATCTCCGACATTTTGAACCGATAAGGTTTGATGACAGATGAGGAAGACTCCCCACCTGAAGAATGCACCCTCACTTCACAACCACTTCCCAAAGTCCCATCAGCCCAACAGACCTACAAAGTATATATCTACTGGAGCCTGAGCCTATGTACCTTCACTGCTGAGTCTGTCTTCTACGGCAGCTAGTCCTGCCTCTTCCTCCTGGCTGATCAGAGAGAGAGCAGTCCCACAGTCAACCCCTCTCGCAGTCCTACACAAGAGACAACTGCACTCACACAACTCCCCACTGTACACAAACACAGACAGATACAAGTAGTGCAGTGTGTGGTGGACCTGCCGACTCTGTGTATGTAGGACTCGGGAGTTGGTGGAACACAAACACTGACAGATACAAGTAGTGCAGTGTGTGGTGGACCTGCCGACTCTGTGTATGTAGGACTCGGGAGTTGGTTTACACAAACACTGACAGATACAAGTAGTGCAGTGTGTGGTGGACCTGCCGACTCTGTGTATGTAGGACTCGGGAGTTGGTTTACACAAACACTGACAGATACAAGTAGTGCAGTGTGTGGTGGACCTGCCGACTCTGTGTATGTAGGACTCGGGAGTTGGTTTACACAAACACTGACAGATACAAGTAGTGCAGTGTGTGGTGGACCTGCCAACTCTGTGTATGTAGGACTCGGGAGTTGGTTTACACAAACACTGACAGATACAAGTAGTGCAGTGTGTGGTGGACCTGCCGACTCTGTGTATGTAGGACTCGGGAGTTGGTGGAAAGTCAAAGTTGACCACATTCTCCACTCCCTGGAAGTCAACTCCCCTGCAGACTCCGTACTCTCTGTCCCTCTTCCTCTTTCTCCCCTTCCCGCTCCCCTCCCTCCCTCCTGCCCCGTTGGCCACTCCCACCTCGTCAGTCGCTACGACGTAATCATATATACCCCGATTGAATTCCTCCACGGTATGACACCTGTAGATGAACAGCAGTGGGGATCATAAACTGTCTTAAAAGTGACAATGGCCCACCTGGAGTTGTGTGGCAGCTCAGAGTTAAGTACACAAGCTCTGATAGAAAACTGCTCCAAGAAAAGCTTCAACCTGCGAAAGATGCATTGGGTATACAACTAATACTGTGCCATACTTTTACTACCAGCTGCACCACTGGGATGCACCAAAAGTGTGATAGAGAGTGAGGCCCATTGAGTAATAATATACCTGTAACAGCCCTCGATCTCGTTCACAAATAGTAGGGTCTTCCCCTTTACCAGCCCCAGTTTCAGGAGGGTGTAAATCAACAAGAACTTGTCGTCACGGCTACACCTGAAGAGACGTGAAAGACGTGGATATTAATTGCACTGGGAAATACAGACAGAGTGGGAGGAGGCAGGTTCGTAGTGTCGTTGCTGTTGGCGACGACCCCACGGACCCTTCCCTTGGTGCACCCTCCCCCTTCCCCTCCCGGACTGACTTGATATGGAACTGGGTGAGTCTGGATGACGTGGGGCCCTCATCCTCCGCCTCCCTGGTCCTCAATGTAACCTGATGGCTCGGTAATAGGCCATGTGGGAGTTGATAATAGTATTCAATGAGTGGACATGGCCACATGACATGTTACCACAGCAGTGTGGAACACTGGGCTAACAATTGCGGCCGTATTGCGTATCAACCACAGAAATAACAGTTGAGTGATTCAATTAGAGTCACACATGTTCGGTGCATTTTTGTTCCATTTACAACACATTGCGTCGTAGAGGTTTGGTTTCATTCTCACCGAGTTATGGAGCACCAGCTTTTTGAGTGACTTGACATCCTGCACATGGGGGGAGAGCACCCTCGCTCACGTAACACACACAGACACAAGCAAGCAAAGACACTCAATTAAATCATCAGAAAACAAGGACTAAACACACACACATACACACACAATGCCAGAGACATGCTCAATTAAATCATTAGACATGAGGGAACAATAGGGAAATCGAGTCAGCCACTTTGGGTAAGGCCCTAAAATTCCCTGCGATAATGAGTCTCTAAACAGAGGGTCCACCAACAATCAACGTTTTGGCTTCATCGCAGGATAACAGATCCCATACCTGTATATAAGGGCAATGTATGATATCCGTGCGATTGTGCAATGATGTCCACTAATTCTGCATGATGCCCATGGAATGAAGTTATTCCCCACGAACTTCCATTTTAGCCACGGAAACCCATGCCGCTAGCTCTCCCTCCCAAAAGACAACCTCGCAGCTGTCCTAGCGTCTGCCACGTGCTTCGCACGAGACAATACAGAGAGTCAGGCCAACAGTGCCCATGAGAACGTGAACCTGGATGGGTTCACGCATTGTCCGGTGTGATGCGCTGGCTGCCCACCTGCAACTGGTCCACACCTCCTGCCTTATAGGATCGGTTTCCCTGGGGCAGCTCTATGGTGGCACATTGCACAACCCATCACCACCCCACTAGGGCTTATAGCCCCCATACACAGAGGATAATAAGGACAGGGTGCTTTCGACATAGAGAGAAGATGGGGGATCTTCCCTCTGTTGAACCCCATCTTCCCCCCTTATAATTACTCTGAAGAAGATTACACACAAGAAGACCATGTTCAAGTTCAGGATCCCCCATCCCCTAAACAATTAATTACTAGCTAATGACAGGGTGGGTCTCTCACATCAGAGAGGGTGGCAGAGAGGAGGAAGGACTGGTAGATGGGAGGGAGGAGGGAGAGAAGGGTCTTAATGTTTTCCTCGTAGCCAAACGAGAAGAGGAGATCAGCTTCGTCCATCACGAGTACCTCGAGACCGTATTTCAGTACCTCCTTCTATATGGAGGAGGGGAGGGGGGAGAGAAGTGTTCTACCCATTTCCAAAGAGACTGGCTGGGCTGGGCAGCTATAGACTTACCTCTACGGCGGCAATTTGACCCACCATTCTGCTGGGAGTTCCCACGACAATGTCGGGCCTCTCGGTCAGTGCAGTTCTGCACCATCGCACACACATGCAAACACACACGCCAAAGAAAGACATTAATTAAGAACTTTGGCTCCAGGTACATACATAGTCCTCTAGTGTTACAACAGGGAGGCAGAGGAAATAGGGTACAATTATAAAACCACAGAATCCGACCCTTGAATGATACGGACATTGGAGCGGGTGGAGAGCACATGTCAGCGTATGGCAGCAGTGGTTTATACAGTTGCCTCGGCTTACAATTACATGCACGGGCTGCTCTTAACCAGGTGCCAGCAGTGTGTATATATGTGGGGGGGAGGGGGGGAGTGCTCTGCATGGCCATGAAACAAAACAAACACTTGTTAATTACTCCGCCGATAAAACGCAGAACAAAAGGGAGTCAGGTATAATTCTGCTCGGGTTTCTGCGGCACGCTGAGACACGCGTTTGCACTACCTGATACGGTTGCTCCATTACATGGGTCTGGATAGCAAGGAATTTCGCAACATTGTCGCAGCCCGGTTCCAATCATGATATATACCTGACATTGGCAGCAGTACCACAATTACAGACATCAAGAACTCGGACAAGCCCGGAGCAACTTGCAGACAGCTCCTGCACAGGTATGCACACACATCTTACGTATGTACAACGTTAGTTTTTATTTTAATTTTATTGGGGCAAATTTTCACACGAGCCTTTGTCTCACATGGTTTCACATGCGCAGTGCAGGGGTCAATGTAATTCATTGGGGGTCATGTGATTGTGCAGTGATAGTGGCTAACTTTAAGGTTCTTGGTCGCCTGAGAAGACAGCTCTTTGGTGGGCACAATTACTAGTCCCCTGATCACAGGCTCTCCAGTGCTCTGAATAGGGGGAGGGGGGGATAGTCATTTCAATGAACATGTGGATTGATTCTCACAGATGACTTTGACTGGAGTATCTTCTGGAGCAGTGGCAGGGCATACCTGGAGAGGAAACAGTAGAGCAACAGAGGAGATGGGTGTGTGTCGACACAGACTGACTGCCACTCACGCAGCTGTCTTCCCAGAGCCAGTCTTTGCCTTGATGAGCAGGTCCTTCCCCTCCAGAGCAAGTGGTATGGCCTTCTCCTGCAACAATTCACAACACACTAGCAACAAATTGCAGATATGTCGAGCGCCCACCTGAATGAGGGTAGGGTTCGCCCAGCCCAACTTTGCTATCGCCTGCAGGAAATTTCAATATTCAAACCTACAAGTGACGCGAAAGAGAACCGCCTGACCTTCAACAGTCTGTCGTCCAACCCGAGATCATGGAACTGAACGCCACCGTCGTCTCCCATAGCTCCACCACACACACTCACACCCAGCACAGGAGCTACACTGCTGCTCCTTCCTTCGCTCCACACGTGGGTAGGGTGCGTTATTTGGAGTTGATGAACCTTGACCTTGCTGCTTATGATGGAGTCTGGAGGGTTTCAGCCTTCGCTTGGTTCAGGGCACCATCACGGCTGGAGTAGCCCCGCTTCGACCCAGTCGAGCACTGGAGGTCGCTTCCATCGCACCCAGAATCGTGGAAGCTACAAACAGATGCACGAGACCAGAGAAAACTGGTTTCTAGAGGAACCCAGAGTCATGGCTGACGTGCCCAGAGGCGGTCTGGAGTCTCCCACCGCTCTGGGAGCTCACCAGTCTTGGTTTTCCATGACCCAGCCGCAGAGCTCTCACTCCACCTCCTCACCAGCACACGGTGGCTTCACGTTGGCGTCAAACCTCTCCGGCAACCAACAGCCGTACCTTCCTCGCTCCCTCTCTTCCTCGCTCCTCGTCCCGTCCCCCCTGCCTCCATCAACCTCCCTCTCTGCATCACCCGCCGAGTCCTCTTCTGCTGACCCTCTTCCTCCAGCTCTCTGGGGGGAGGTGAGGGGGAGAGGTGGAGAAGGAGAGGGAGAAGAAGGAGGAGGGAAAGACGGTCTCAACTGGCAGTCTCGTCCTCTCTGGCAGGATGGTTGGGGAGCTCAAGGCCTCGTGTGTTCTGTCCCTCGCCTCCTGGAGCACCCTCCTACCTCACGTAGACCTCTTGAGCTGAGCAAGTGAGTGGGGTTTAAACATTCATCTTTGATGCTTGTCTCCAACTCTGTCCAATTTCTGAGCTCTCAGACATTACAACACAAGAACTTACTCTCTTTAAAGTCACCTCTGATCTAAAGATCCCCTCACTAATCCACCACCACCCTCTCCCCTGCTCTATTCTCCCCACCTCCCCAGTCTCCCCTCCCTCCTAGACCACCCCAAAGACAGAAGAGGTCACAACCCGGTACTCCATTCCTGTGACCTCAAACAACACATACGAGATGTCAAGCACATCTCTATCATGTCAGGCACCAATTTTGCTCCCTCTGACCTTCCACCCCTGCCGGAACATTTCGGTAGTTCAGAGGTCAGAAAGACTCCCCACACGGCGCACCTCACACCCGAGGTCAATCCCCCGAGTGTGTTGAACCTTGACCCCAAGTCAGTGGCTCTACTGCTGAGAAAAAGCACGGCTACCATTTGTTGTCACGCCGGCTACCACAGTAAGTGGGGCGCCCCTGTCATCAATACTGTAATTGTGTCTCCTTTCCTCTCGCAAGGTGCGTCTCTCCGGGCTCTGGACACACTTGCAGGTGTGATGGGAGAGTTTCTAAGTCGACTCTGTAAACAACTGAGTATTCACAGTGAGAGGCAGGGCAACAGTGGACACGATGACTTTAGAGCAAATATTCAGTGTGTTCTATACAGTAGAAAAATGTTAAGAGTAGATAAAAAAAAAACAAATATCACAGATAGAATTTCCATAGATTTCCTTGTCCTGCTCCTAAAACGTGCAGAACTTTCTCAAACTGCAGCAGGTCCTCCATTTTGTGGTGTATATTCTCCTCTCTGCAAGACTGTGTCAGTGAGTGTCATTGTCTCAGGATCCTCTGGAGAGGTGTCTGTGGAGCTGTGGGATCCAGGGCAGGGCGGAGCTCCACTCGTTCTGGAGGACTGAGGTGGAGGATGGCATGAGGCGACTGCAGAAGACGGCCGCTCAGCTGCACGAGGATCCGTCTCCCTCCTCTCTCCCTCCTCCTCCTCTCCCACCTCCGCGACCTCTCAGCCTCTCCTCCTGGCCTCCTGTGAGTCTCTCCCAACTTTCCTCATTTCCCTAGTGTAAATTCTCCAATTCATACTTATATATGTCGTGTTCTTCAACATAGTTTAGTGTGCATAAGGTTCTCAGAACAGACTGTTATTTCCTACCTGACGAAATGGCAACACATCGCAAAATATGTTTCTCATTTCCTTCTGTTTTGACACAGGATTTGGGAGGGGAGAAAGTGGATGAGGAGATATCTCTGGAAGACACTCTGGCAACTGACATGTCCATCATTGCTCCTGTGAGTGTCTGTTTCTTCATTCTTCATTCGTGTCCGTCATCGTGGTGTCTGTCATCTCCACAGGCAACTACCCCAGACCCTGGATCACTTCAGAGTAAGTGAACTGCTCACACTTAGCCTTTAGTGTGTTAGTGAGAATTTCTCACACGGAGCTGCAGTACCGCCTTCCTCCCCATCCTGGTTTCTCTCTCTCTTCTCTGCTGCAGCATTCCTCCCCGATCTGGCAGGCCAGGAACCCGAGGGGTTTGTTCTACTCACTCCCGACCTTGCTCCAAGGAAGAGGTCTCTCCTCGGTCTATACTATGGTAACTCACGTGCCTCTGTTTCTCCCCAGCAGGTTGAGAACTGGCAGCTCTTTTACAGAATGATTACTATTCTCTCTCCGTGTGCGTTATTAGGCGCATGCGCATGAGCTACGACCGTTTGCGCATGCGCTAACTCCACCTGCTTGCATGGAGAGGGCGTAGCTACATTCGTAGAGCAAGCTCAACGCCTCGATGTCTGGTGAGTGGTGTCCTCGGTATAGTCGTTTGACTGGTCATATAAGTGGGTGTACCAGACTCAGCGAATGCAGGGCCTTCTCCAGAGGAGCAGGCTAGTAAGACAGACGATCCTCCTCCGGGTACTGTCGAGGGGCCTGGTGGAGACGAAGGCTCAGTCCCTCCTGCCGAGACTGAGGAGGAGCACCCAGAAACGGAGCCACCACCGAGTAACGAGCAGTCTACTGAGCCGCACGTCGACAAGGCTGGGCCCAGTGTTGGGACCTCTGACACTCAGTCCGACCTTCAACAAGACTCCAGTCCTCGTAGGTTTGGTGCCTGTTTCGTTCTCTCTCGTTGAGGCAGCACCTACAGAGCAGGGCGGGGCAGCAGATCAAGAACAGGGCGGGGCAACAACACCAGAGCAGGGCGGGGCAACACCTCCAGAGCAGGGCGGGGCAGCAGATCAAGAACAGGGCGGGGCAACAACACCAGAGCAGGGCGGGGCAACACCTGGGAAAGGGACGCCACCCACCACCGAGCAGAGTCAGACCACACCCACCACCGAGCAGGCCACACCTCCTCCCCCACAGCATGTGTTTCGAGACAACTGGTCCCAGCTGAGTCGAGACAAGCTCGTGGACAAAGTCAAGGGTGTAATATATGGCCAAGCCATTGGAGATGCTCTAGGTTCAACTCGCCTGACGTACTTTGTCGTCTATTGGTTACTTTCTATTACAGGTCTAGCGACTGAGTTCATGAACAAGACCGAGGCAGCTCACTACTATGGAAAAGAAGGACCCTCTCATTACTCACAGATTATCCATGACTTCCACAGATCCAGGTTCCCAAGCTCTGTTCCATTAGGTGTATATACCTAACTCAGCGGACGTGTAGGTGGGTGCAGGGTGACTGGACAGACGACACGGATCAACTACTGCTGATACTCCAGATGATTGTGGAGAGAGGAGGGACAGTGGACAGTTGTGCTTTTGCCAAGAAAATGGACAACTGGCGAAAGAGAGGGTTCAAAGAGCTTGGAGATTACGGTATCTCGTCATTCTAATCCCTATGATTATACTTCGATTCTTTTTTCCTAACCTCTGTTTTTTTGCCTGCAGGTGGGATGGGTATTGGGATGACTGTGTCTAATACTCTATCCCACCACTCTTTTTTGACTGATCCTCACCAGGCAGCTCATGAGGTCTGGGAGAAATCTGGGTATGTATAGTATCTACTACTGTTTCACCTTTCGTTTCATCTCTCTCTCTGTAGTCGATATCTGGCTGCTAATGGTGCCATCATGAGGACCGCGATACTGGGAGTGCTGGAATTCAATAGTAGGCAGAGTGGAATGGCTGATATGTGAGTTGGAGACACACTGTTTCCTCTCCCACACAGGGCTGGAGAGGGTGATGGAGAACACGAGAGAGATTTGTCTGACAACTCACGCTGACCCTCGCTGCCTCGCCAGCTGCGTCGCTGTCACTACAGCCGTACGTTCTCTCTTATCTAATAATTACGGAGAGTCTCATAAGGTTCGTTTTCTTAGATTGCCCTCATGCTGCAAGGCAAGTACAACCCACACCAGCCGAAAGAATTGGAGCAACTTGTCACAGACGCACTGACTGTAAGGAATAGTGTTTTTTTATAGCCCAGGTTTGAATATATTTGTCAAGAGCTTAGCTTAGCATTTGCATAAATATTTGCCAAGCAAAAAACATTGTCTCCCCGTAGTTTGGACAGGAAAAGCTGATACACAAAGACCAAAAGAAAGAATTTGAGAAACACGTCAGAGCAAAAAAGCTGAAAGACTTGGACCTAGAGAACGCTCATACAATGGGGTGAGTTGAATATCACTCCCTGATCTCCATAAACCAACCACTTTCTGTCTCTCTACAGCTACACATTCAAGGCAGCAGGAGCTGGTTTCTTTGGACTGAGGACTGCCTCTGACTTCCTACCCACTCTCAGGAAGGTTATCGCTGAGGCTGGAGATGCTGACAGGTGAGAGGGTGTCCCTGAGATTATCACTCAACATTGCTCCTCTCTCTCTCTCCTCTCCTGCCATCAGTAATGGTGCAGTGTGTGGGGCTCTAATGGGCTGCAAGTTTGGGTACAGTGGTCTTCCTGAAGGTCTCCTGGCCTTCCAACACAGAGCTTGGCTGGACACTCAGGTATACCTACTAGATTGCTGCGGTTGAGATGGTTATGATGCCTGTCTTTGCTACTGTAGGTGGATAATTTTCTAACAACAATTGGTCTCAAAGATCTCAAAGAACAGTAGTTGGATGGAGATAAAAAGAAACATTTTCATGTACTTGATTTTGCCCAGAAAATGTAGTTTTATATAATATATGCGTGCAGAAAGATGATTCTCTAAAGGAGTGATAGGGTGAGGTCTGAAGAAGGTGGAAGGACTATAATAGGGAAATGGAGAGGGCTCTATTTAGGACTAGGGGGAGAGTATGGAGGGAGCAGAACTGAAGAGCTCTCTCAAAACTGAGTCACTGGAGGCCAGGGCAGAAGACATCTGCTGGGTGACCACTTGTCTCCTGCGAACTGCCTCGCTGCTCCGCTGGAACCGAGACACTGGCTTCACATCACTACTGGCGGAGTTCCTGGCCTCATGAGGAGGTCTGAAGTCCAGCCAGTCATCCAGAGCATCTCCACCTCCACTGGCTCCCAGTACATCAGTACTGTTATCTTCCTCTGTCTTTATCTTTGCTCCACACTCTTTCTTATTGTGTCTCGGCTGAGAAGGTTTCCCCGTAGACTGTCCTGCTGAGATATTACTCAGTCTCTGTGAGCGTCTGGTGACTTTTGGTGTGGCCAGCACCTTTCCCTTTTGAGCAGTGGCTCTCTGCTTGGTGACTCGGCCAGTCTGTCTCTTTCTCTTGGCTGCTGGTGCCTGAGAGGGAGAGGAGGGGAGCCCTGGTCTTATTTTGGGTACTTTTCTCTCCTGTGAGGCTGGCTGGCTGGAGGCTGAGGTCTGTTTGAGTCTCTGGATGCTGTCAGAGATGACCTGACTGCACGCCAGGGGAGAGTGCTGGGTGAGGTCTATGTCACAGGGAGTGGAGTTGCTTTCAGTGGAGTTCTGTGACAGCAGTTTCTCCTGCTCTCCTCCTCTGCTCTTAGAGCTGTTGTTCTTGGTAGAGCTGGGCTGTTGGTTGTAGTCTCTCGGGCCCTTTCTTTTCCTCTGGATCTGCGAGTTTGGTTGGCCTGTACCACTGTTCTCACTAGACTTGGTCACTGGAGCAGTGTGGAGGGTAGGAACGCAAGCATCAGTGGTAGTGGTGGAGCGATTGTGGCATTGCTGATGCCTGGCCTGTGGACTGGGACCCATACCTCTGTCCTCTTCCCTCACTGCAGCAGCTGTTGATCTAGACTGAGTGGTAGTCACATGTGTCTTCAACTGTCCTGAGAGCTGAGAGACTCGAGCCTCAAGTCCGAAGAGACACTGTCTCACAGCAGTCTCCACCAGTTTAGCCAGTTCAGTGGGGAGTGTTGACCCAATGGTCTTAGCCTGCTGCTCTCCTAGAGTTGACACCTGGACCTTTAGTGCAACAACCTCTGCACTTTGCTGTGAGAGCCAACACAATGGAGTTGTGAGCTATGTATCAGCATGTGCTGGGCTGTGGTACCTGATTGCATAAGGCTCTCAAGTGTATGAGATGTTCCCTGATCTCAGATTGTCCCCGCACAAGTTGCTGGAGCAGGTCCTGAGTCAACTCTGCCTCTTTCAGTTGGGCCACCTCTGGAGCTACATAATTATACAGTGTCTCAATCCTGACTATGGTATAATATATACCTCGATTGTTGGATGAGGTTATCTCTGAACTAAGTGCCTCCTTCACATCCCTCCTCAAATTCTCCAGAGTCTCTTTCAACTGCAAGATAAGTCCCAGCAAATACACACCTCGAAGCGTTCTCAAAAACTGTTCACCTCTTTTGCATAACCAGAAGAAGATAGTGAAACTACCTCCTCTATCAGCTTTTGCCTACATATTGCCAGAGATTAAATGGAAGACTACTGAGTGATAGCTGCTCACTTCTCCAACCTGTCCTGTTGGTTCAGCTTCCACCTCTCAAAGGTAGTCTTGCTGTGGACAGTGTCTCCCTGTCTGCCCCCCGTGGCCAGTGGAGTAGATCCCAGACCCTCGCCATGTTGCTGCTGGTGCTGCTGTTTCTTGCTCAGTGACGAGAGGTAGCGCATGTAGTACTTATTGTGCTGACCCTATTATACAGAGACGTAACAGGAACAGAGTTAGCTTGTAAGAGGGTCTGTTATGCAGACCTGAGATTGTTGGTGTCCACTGATGGTCTGTATCCCTCTCCCTTCATTCTGGCTATGAGTCTGCCTATCTGCAAGTATGTTGCATATCGCCACAAATGTCCCAATAGTTAGGTGTGCTATTATTATATCACCAACCACTGAGGGTGTGTGTACTGAGGTGGTGAGAGGAAGTGTCGTTCTGGCTCAGCTGCTGTTGCTGCTGCTGGGAGGTGCACGAGAGGGAGGAGCTGTAGGCTGGCTCCGAGAACAGCTCCATGGAACTGGCCGGCTCACTCCCGCTGGTAAAGAGAGAGGCCTGGCTCTGCTGGGACTCGGACTCCACGCCTGCTCCCAGTACATGCACGGCTAGGCTCATCTCCAGCTGACTGCTGCACACGAGGGACGAAGCATCATAGCATGGCTGTCGGTGGACAATTGCATGCTTGCCTAGTCCGTGTGTTGCTGCAGAGTAGGGAGGCTGGAGACACTTTGTTCGCAAGCATACTTGTAGTTGAATATTGCAGAATTTTGTTCTGCGTCTCCCCCGGCAGATACTGCAGCGAACGAATACCTCTCTCCAGCTCCCTAGCTAGCTGCAAGCTACTGAGTGCAAGGCCGTCATGCCAACGGATATCGACCAATCGTGTTCCTTATGCGCATGCGCATATTATTGCCGAGTCAGCACATTTTCAAAGAGACGGCGCCAACACAGTCATGTTGAGCAACGTGAGAATCAGAGATACCAGGAGACCGGTGTTGAAGAGAGGAGAGAGGTCGGGGGTCGGGACTGGGAGGTTGAGACCCAAGAAAGCCGGTGTCAGTCCATTCTCACAACTGGCTCTGGCAAACGGCCGAGTTCTAGAATCTGGCTGTAGTCCGTGAGTCAACAACTAAACTTCTAACGTTGATTTGTGTTTTTTACCTTCAGTTCATCACCGATCGGTGACAACGATGTGGATGCTCTATCTGAAAGCATCAAGAGCTGCAGTCTACGTAATCGGTGAGTTCTTTCTTGATGTTTGTTTTACTAATGAAGCCTGACTTACACAATCAAAGTCCACTATCCTTCGATCCCCTTGCCTCGTCTAAGTGCTAGCCTCCGAGGAAGGACTAACCCCTTGCCTGCTCCCCAAATATCTCCCCTAATAAATGCTTGGCATGGCTACTAATACCAGCAGCGATGAAGATCGGATTCTCTGCAAAACGGCGACCTTTCCACGTCGCGTTCACCGTTGCAAGCCTGAGCGTTTACTTGTTACACGTTCTCTGCAGAACTCCGTCAGCTCGGCCGCAGGAGAGGACCTCTCTTCTCCAGGAGAGTCCTGATGATCATGGCGAGGAGGCGGGCGACGGACCCTCGCCTGCAGCGCTGCAGCCTGTTCCGGCGGGTGTAGCAGTCACGAGAGCCGTGGTGCGACTGGAGAGACGCTCGCTGCAAGAGCTGCTCGCAGAGCACACTCCCGTGACGGGATCCGGCGACGGCGGGAAGCGGACGACGAGCGATCAGTGAGTCAATGAGTCATGAGCCAGAGCGGCTAGCAGCAAGCCAACTGGGTGCACAACTTTCCCTGGTAGCTCCTTTTGGGGATAACCGGATTACATACAATTCCAGTGTAGCTCATTTTACCACACTCTGTGTGGTCTGCTTTTTACTCACTAGCCTTCAACTTTCCATGGAAGAATTTGCCTATTCACGCTTTCTGATCGGTAGTGGTTTGAACGGGACATTTCCTTAGTGTCGTTTGACGTTCCCATGTCCAGCTGGGGTAGTTGGGGTAAGGACGGCAACAGTCCCACATGTCTACGTGGTAGCATTCATCAGATATACCGTGAGTCGTGTCAGCAGTTGAATTCCTTCTCATCCCTGCAGACCCACCCCAACCCCTGCTCTGTCAACACCTCACTCCACTACGCGAGCTCCACGCACACCCATCACTACTACACCAATACACCACCTCCCCCCTCTCTCCTTCTCCAGCCCTCTACTGGTAAAAATTTCTTCACGAATTAAACTGCAAAAAGTTTTCCTAAGAACTCAGTATGCCATGCTTGTCAGCCAACCAACCATGTTCACAAAAAGCAAAATTTTACTCACATCAGAATGCTTTAATCGGTATGTTATTTTCCTCCAGACATACCTCTCTCCAGCTCACAGGATCTCCCTGAATCCTCGAGATAAGGTCCTGGGTCTCTGTGGTCAGACTCAGCCTCTGCCACTCACCGATTTCTTCACTCAACAGTAATATAATATAGAGCTGAATAAGGGACACGACATCAAGAGTGTCCTTTATTTTTTAGGTGTCCATCTAGTGTGGAGTTTGTAGAACCACTATTATAGAGAGGTGTGACTCAGGTGTCCTTTATCTATCTAGAGGGTCCTTTTCAGAGGCTCCACTGTACACCATTGTACTACTATACTGAGTCCATTCCAACAGTGTGTGAGGTGGGCACCATTTGTATATCGAACAGAATGGTGGAGAGTGTTCATAAACTTGGAGAGGGCACTTTCTCTGAAGTATTTGGGTGTGTTTCAGACACAGGCACTCAGTTGGCAGTCAAGGTAGCTGAATTCTTAGCATCATATATACCAAAAGTAATGATGTAATGTTTCTCTCAGGTCATACCAATTGAAGGTGATCAGTTGTATAATGACGAGAGACAGACCACGTATGAGGAGGTTCTCACCGAAATGGTCATCACAAAGTGAGTCCGGGTTTTGTGTCTTGGCACTCGATTCCCCCTCTCACCATCTCTCTCTCTCTCTCTCTCACTCTCTCACTCCTCTCTGCAGGGAGCTGAGTCAGCTAGAGGCTCAAGAGAATGCCTCACATTTCACGGAAAACTTTCTCCAGATACATCGGTAGGTGTTCCTTCCTCACTACACTGGTGTGGGGTTCTCTGAGAGCCAGAGGTTTAGGGTATGCACATGGAGATGCCTACACTGACACAGAAAGTCATTCACAACCCCATTCCTGCATGAATAGTGATGTGTAACACCAGGCTGTGTGGTTTCCTCTGCTCACAGGGTGACCCTGGCTCAGGGAGAGTATCCTGTGTTCTTACTGAAGTCATGGGACTCTTATGCCAAGACCCACGTTGTGGAGAATGACAGGCCCGGTATGTGTGTGTCAGTGTTTGTGGTCAGTGTTGTAGCTAATGTGTTTGTGTCTGATTCACCTCTTCCCCCAGACTCATTCCCAGCGGAGCAGCTCTATGTCGTCATGGCTGTAGAGAACGCTGGCTCTGCTGTGGAAAGCTACCAGGTAACTGTAAATGGAGGCTTTCTCAATATATAATCGTATTTGGTGGCCTCTCTTCCTTCTTTGCCCAGTTCTCATCAGTGGAGGAAGCAGTCAGTGTTGTGGGTCAAGTGGCAGGGGCTCTGGCCGTAGGAGAGACAGTGAGTCCACTACCACCTACTGCCACCACTGTCTCTCTATCACACACTAACACACACACACACGGTGTTGCCTCAGGCACTAGAGATGGAGCACCGAGATCTACACCTGTCCAACATCCTGGTCAGAAAGACGAAACAAAAGTCATTCACCTTCAGACTAGACAACCAGGGGTTTTCCCTGCCCTCTCACGGAGTCAAGGCTACTGTGGTGGACTACACTCTCTCCAGAGTGAAGCAAGGTGCATTTGTTTGCCTGTGGAATGCACATTATCCAGTCCAGTGAAACCAGACCAACTATCATTATTTATTATCATAGGGTTTATCTCATTTGGAATTTCTGTTTCAGTAGATTGCTCAATTTCAGTTCTTGCACCACTTGGCGATTACAAAACCGCAGATGAGTGTGTGTCTTACCATGACCTGGAGCAGCTGCCGTGGCTGTTTGAAGGACGAGGAGACCTACAGTTCGACGTCTACCGAGACATGAGGAAGATCACTGGGTGTGTGTCTAGGTGCTGTTGATGGTCAAATGAGACTGAAGAAAGTGTCTGTATTATAGTGAGGTGCCCTTGGTTGAATATACAAGAGCATGGACAGCATTGGGTGTCTTTAGAGAGGGGTTCCAACCACTGTGTTATCATGTGCCAATGTTATGAATACCCACCCTACACCGCACACTGTGATCATGCTCAACCCTCCACTCTTCTCTCCTCTCTCGTTCCCGCAGGGGTCAGTGGGAGAAGTACCATCCCTCCACCAACGTCATGTGGCTGGCCTTCCTCGCCACCAAGCTCTCTGACAGGGCCCTCCAACTGAGGTCCACTGCAAGACGCTCCTGGAGGGCAGCACTCAGACCCATAGCTCGCAGAATTTCCACTTACCCTTCAGCACATGACGCTTTCGTCCACCTTTTTTCATCCGATAATTAATTGTCTGCAGTGGCAACTGCTTTTGTTGGTTTACGTCACTCATAGATTCGTGCGTGCATGCGTGGTGGTGGGCGTAGCCCTCCGACCAACTCGTGCTGCCAGAGAGAGCGACATAAAAGGAAGATGAGAGGCTGGGCGGTGGATAGAAGTTGGCTTCGGCCTGCGTTCATACATTTTCACGCTAGCGCCAAGGGCTGATGGCTAAGAAGACGCTCGCAGCGTTCCTGATCTACGCTATTCTGTTCACCACCGTGTTCGTCCTCCTCTACCCGTTCCTGGTAGACGACGGACGGGTATCGGGGCAGCACATCCGCCATGAGGAGATCATCGTGGGGAGACCCAGTAAGGCGGTCCACATACCGAACGCCGTGGAGCAGAGGCAGGTGTTGGGGCTGTACGAGGACAGCCGGAGTCTCTCCGCGTCGCAACGAGATTCTCCGCTGGTGGCCGCCTTCGAGCCGCATCCGATGGAGGAACCTCAGCAGTAGGTTTTGAGTATTATAGTAATGCAACTACTGTCACTGTGTATCGTGGTAAAGATAGCTATGCATTTCATAGCTTAGCTATTGAATAGCATCATGTTCAGGTTCATTTCAGTAGCTGGTTGAGCTTGTACACTAAAACAAACCCAATTTTAGTAGCATGAGGTATACGACCATCTTTAGATGATCTGGCACCCAATTATTCTGGGGCAGCTGTAGACTTTGAGACTGCCTGGTTTGTACACATCAAACTGTGGAATCTTGTTCGCACGCATCCACCAAATGTGGCGACTGTGTGGAGGCCAAAAAGGCAACGTTGTACCTTTATGGTAGAGCCTTTGACTGTTTTATGGTTGCTAGACTACCTTACTGCTGATGAGACGTGCATCTACAACCATATACATCGTCTTCTCGGGAAACTCGGGAGCAAAAGACTTGTTGGCTCGACTGGGTAGGATTGGAACTGCCCAGAACAACTGAAGCTTATGTTCGACACTGTATTGTTTGGCTTATTGGAGGCATTCCTGTGCCAACTACAGCCATTCCTACTCCTATTGAGACAATTGTGGCTTTGTTCTGTTACAATCGTCTACTGCTCTCTCCTCCCTCTCTCTCTCTCTCTCTCTCTCTCTCTCGAGCAGGGTTCCAGAGCTCCCCATCGTCCAAGACTGTCCGTATATTCCAAAACCACTAATGGTTCGTTTGGCATGCATACAAGCATAATAAACACTGTAATTACATATCCACAAAAAAATTTATCCTCAATAGTAAATCGGGATAATATTCCAGTAATAATATATTAGTTAGCAAGAGGCGTATGCTGACAGATGGTGCATACCTTAGTCTAATTACCTATTATTGATGCAGAAGTATGTTCCGGCCCACCATTCCGTTCCTCTGACTAACGAAGAGAAGTTGCTTGCCATGTGCAGGCAGTCCAAAGTTGTCTCTCTTGAAGACCTATTCACTGAAACGTGAGCATTAGACTGATGTGTGGCCACTGTGTACATATTGCAGTTGGCTTCGAGGGAGGGAGGGGGAGATTAAGTCACAACAGTTGTTTCCTGGCTGGGCCAGTGCCTTAGTGCCTTAATCTCTCCCTCTCTCCCTCGAAGCCAACTTTGCACACAGCTCAACAATAAAACTAGTAATTGTCTCTGCCGTTGGCTCCATGTTAGGATGGTGCGAACACTCTCCAAGATTGGCGAGGGTGCGTTTGCCGATGTCTACGGCTGCCAAGGAGATGACTGGAGAAAACTGGCACTAAAGGTAGGTTCCCACTCTCTGATTGATTAATGTTTTTCCGGTGATGTAATGGTGGGTGTGACACCTCCAGATCCTGCCAGTGGGCGGAGACATGAAGTACAACGACGAGGAACAGAACTCCCTCAAATCCATCCAGCCAGAAATGGTTGTGACCCTGTGAGTCGTTGACCCATCACATGACTGTCACGTGATCAACGTCTGTTGTTTATTCACCAGGGAGCTGTCGTTGCTAGGAGACCCGTCTAGACTGGAGGACAAAAGATTTCCTCACTATACCAAGAACTTTATGCAAGTGGAAAGGTGAACCGAAACATAGACTTCCATATATGGAGAATGTCATTGTGGACATTTTCTCCTCCGTTGTAGAGCGGCTTATTGTGAGGGGAAATTTCCAGAGTTCATGTTAGATGCCTGGGACGAGTATGACTACAGAAAGGACTCTGACAATGATAGACCAGGTATACAGGGGCACCCCCTCCGTAGTGCTAGTGAAAAATGTCACTTCCCTCTCCCTCCCTCCCCCCTCCTCTCTCTTCGTTTCAGATATTTTCGGGCCCAAACAGCAGTACATAGCCTTCTTGCTGGAGAATTCTGGGATGCAAGTGGGCAGCTATGTGGTATGTTCACACAATATAATATGTACGCTAGTAGAATAGGGCCTATAGATGTATAATAATTATGAGGGTTGATAAAGATACTCCCTGCAAGAGGTATATATTATATAGAGTAATGGCCATTTCCTTCTGCAGTACCATTCGTTTGAAGAAGCTCTGAGCATCTTGAGGCAAGTCACTCTCTCACTTGCAATTGCAGAAGAGGTATATACGTACATGTAATAGCCACTTCTACGTAATTATTATGTATATATACCGGATCTAAGTTTATCTGTCCGTGCAGGCACTGCAGTTTGAGCATCGCGACATGCACAGGGGTAACGTTCTGGTGAAGAGGACAAAGGAAGAGTTCATATATTTCAGGTTCAACAACAAAGACTACCACATCAAGACTTACGGTGTACAAGCCACCATCGTCGACTTTACCCTCTCCAGAGTCACCCAGAAAGGTATATTACATCCACCAGTCACAGTGCATGAAATATTGTAAGGGAAATGGTCACAACCAGGAGTAGGGGGAGAGGGAGGAAGTGCCGAAAAAGGCCCACACTATAGCGCACTGGTCAGGTAGGAATGGGCATATATATTACATCATGAAAACTATAATCTAGTGCATGTTGCAGTGACTGTTTCTCTTTCTTTAGAGAGCCATTGCCTCAGTCACTTGGACCTCAACAACCTCCCCTGGCTATTCAAGGGAAAGGGAGACATTCAGTTTGACGTCTACCGCAGCATGAAGAACGCCACAAAGTAAGGGGGCTGTACCACGGTGTGTTAATTCCCAGTGGTGCCTCCTTGCCAAAGAGCAACCATAGCTTTCATCATGATTTGTGTGCACGCATCCAATCAGTTGTGCTTTCAAGCTCTTTGCCTGCATGCTATATACAATATGCCACCTCTCCCTCTTTCTCCCGTGTCTATGCAGCTATATACATGCCACCATATCCCTCTCTGTCATGTCCATGTTCATGCTCTCTCCAGGTCAGAGTGGCACAAGTTCACTCCCTTCACCAACGTGCTGTGGGTCAACTACCTCACAGTCAAGACCAAGATCAAGGGAAGCTGAAGGGAATTCACACCAAGGTCTGGGAGGCCAAGTTCAAACCCTATCTCCGGAACATTCTAAAGTACACATCAGTAAAGGACGTGTTTTTGAACATCTTCAACCCAGATAAGCCTCTGCGGTACCACGCCCCGCGGAGTGAATCCAGCAAACCTCGTCCTGCAGCTGCCCTCTAGGAGCTAATGGAGGCTTATGTGTAGTTTTTCATCATCATCTATTAATAGACCGTCTCCCTTTCTATCTTCATTCAGCATTAGAATCACTGATGTTTTTCATCCCATTCACTCACGGGTCACTTCATTTCACAGCAATTCTAATTTTGTAACTTATTTAAATGAAAAGGTGTTATTGTATCACACTACAATACAATCTGCAACCACAATCCAATATATTTCTGCACAAGACACAAGGAACATAATGGTATATATAGTATGACAATGAACAATTCTTCTTCAGCAGAACAATAGTTTTTTTAAAACACTAACCGTTCTACATACACAGTAGCATTGTTGTATATACATACAGTGAATTAATGGTCCATTCCAGCTCCTGAAGGCAGGGACTAAAGCTGGGTCAGACTTGAACTCCCTCTAATTGCCCCACTGCCCCTCAATTTAGGCACGAAATGAGCCGACGGAGAGTCCACGTAGAACTTGCTGTTTGGCTGGGGGATGAGAAAGTCGCACGAGGACTTCCACACCTTCAGGTCAAGGATGGACTGTGACAGAGCCTCGATCCACTGCTCTCTCTCTTCCTTTGACTCAAAGGCCATGTAGAGCTCCGAGTCGGGGTCCTTGATGAAGATGGCGTGGGGACGCCGCATCAGGAGTCTCTGAGCTGGCTCCACCACCATACCCTGGGAGAGAGAGAGAGAAAAACTCACACAGCCTTATGTTCGATACAGAAAAGACTCAGCTCATACACCAGCCAAAAAGGTGACTGAGTGAGTAAATAGAGTGCTCTTGAGCATAGATCTGTGAACACCATTGTCATTGTACATTATGTATATCACATTAGCCAATTACAACAAACTCAAGCCTGTGTGTTTGTAAGCAAACAGAGTTACAGATCTGTTGTGAAGAAAGGTGGCTCCATTTATACCTCTGTTAGTTCGATGATCTGTTCAGGCATTCTCCTCCCGACGTCCTCTGGGTTCTTCCAGCAGCGCAGCCGGTTCTGTCTCACAACACACCACAGTCTCACCCAGTCGGGCAGCCCGCCCACCATCCTCTGGAGGTTGATAAACCCGGAGATCCGGGGCTCTGTGGCGCAGTCCGGCTGGGCCATTAGCTTGCAGCAGATTTGGCCCCAGAGAGGCAGGAGGGGGAGATTGTGACCTCCAGTACTGGCAGTTCCACTGGATCCCACTGCTCCACGCTTCAGCACATAAGTCCTGCAGCAACACATTGAGGCGAGTGAGAGTCCAGTACATGCTGGAGGTACATCTACAGCTGAACCCCTCTAAAAAGGACACCATTTACACCTAAATCTTGTGCATTTAAAAATGCCTGAAGTACAGAACACCTGAAGGACATTTCAGAGAGAGTGAGAGAGGGAAGAAAGGAGAATGGGGTGAATGTCTCACTTGCAGGTCTGGGACATTTCACTGAGATGGAGATGGGCATGGCCAGCAATGGCAAATCGGCGGGGAGGGATTGAGGAGGACATGTCGGAAAAGGAAGAGGACGAGGCGATCAGTGCTGGATCCTCTGAGCTTGTCTGTGACACAAATCAGTCATTGAATATCACATAATGTTTATATAAGTTCGACTGCACAAAAATGTTTATCAGAACAAGCGAGTCACAAAAATTTTCCCCCCACAGTCACCGGATTTCTCCCTCAGTGTATGTCATGTGTACCTTGCTTCCTCCACGGAGTCTCTTGAACATCTTGATGGGAGTGGAGGGTCTGTTGTGGGAGGCGGTCTCCTCTGGAGGCAGACTGCAGTACACCTCCACCTCCAGTGTGAAGTCAGCATCCACCTTCTCTGGGCTACAGAGTTGAGACAACCATAATACTGTAATTCTGTGGACCCAAGACTTCAGTAACTAGGGTTCTAGTCTCATGTGTTCAAGTTCAAATTTATCTCAATTTGCCGTGTAATAAACTTAACATACAAGATAATGACGTCCCTGAAGGTGATGTCCATGGTAGAGCGGTCCACGCTGACCAGAGAGGGCGTGTCCATCACCTGGTTCCCGATACGAAAGAGACAGAACACACCAAAGTGGGTGTGGTTGTCCACCTTCCCATGGGTGTTCTCAAACTCCTGCCACTCCAGAGGAATCCTGATGTCTGTATGTGTGAATCTAAATTACTACCAACTCTCCAACTTTTCATACACGGCCCAACCCACATGAACCATTTTTATGGCATGCAGTATGTCTGATGCATATTATATTTATCTTTAAAACATTACCCCAAGGTTACTGTGGGCTGTGAGAAAATACACACAGACCTGAGATGGCCAGTTTTGCAGGGCAGGACTTGAGGCCAGAGCTGTTGTTGGTGGCTGGAGACTGCTTCCCTGCTCGCAGCTGCTGAATCTCCCTCAGGAGAGCCAGGATCTTGGCGTTGGAGACAAACATGCCCTTGGAGGCCTCCATGGACTGGGCGGCAGTGCTGCTGGCCTGCAGGAGCCTTGTCGCTCCGTCCTTTATCTTTGTCTCCATCTCTATCCTCTCCTGGAGCCTCTCTATAGCTGGGTCCTGAGGTGGAGGAAGAGAAGGGGTAAGGGGAACAAGCATGAGGACAAACGTGTGACTACATCTGTGGAGTGTAACTTGGAGGAGCTGACAATTGGGTGTTGTTATGGATATTGGAGGGAAAATGACTTCTGCTATGCTAAGAATGCGTGCCTTGGTAAGGTACAGGACTTTGTCTGCCAAATTCATTCCACTGGCTCTCCTTTCCTTCTCCTCCCTCCACGCCTGCCTGACTGCTGTTTAAACATACCTCCTGTACGAGCCTGGGTTTCTTGGAGCTGGTGGGACGGGCGCGGGGCACGACGTTCTCTTTGCCGCTCAGGGCGGTGCTGGTATGTCTGCGCTTTCCGGCTACGGTCTCGCCGCCCACAGAAGGGTCGCTCTTTCTTTTAGCTCGCACGTCGGCCATTGGTCCTCTTCAGACGTCCGGGAAAAGATAAAGAAAGATGCTCAAAACACGAACGCTCCTTCGCAAAAAGTCCGCGCCGTTTGTTTGAAAGGCAAACCACGTGACTCCTTCCCGAGAATTGATTGGTCCGTTGCCATAGGCCGGCCACGCCCTCCCACGTGTTGTAAACAAAACTGCGGCCAATCGATGTCCTCCCTCCTCCATAAGCCCAGGTTCGGCGTGGAGCCAATCTCTGGCGGTGGCGTAGACGTAGAAGCTCCGTTCTGTCCTCACGGTGCGTTATAAAAACGTCCACAGGCCGCACCATTATCACTTCTCTGTTGCTAGGACCTACTCTAGTGTTCGAGAGGTACTACGCAGATAGAGAGCCGCGAAAGTTCTTCGCCTGCGCCCTGCACAGAGATAGGAAAGGCTGTCCATTCTTCCACTGGGTGGACGAGAGTATATCATCAGAGAAGAGGGAGAGGTGGGTGTGGTCATACGTAAACCACGCCCCTTACCCTGTATATATCTATCATAGGTGGTTGCAGGACTACAGAGATAGCAACCCTCCACTGGATCGATCGGCACTCGCTGCGTCGCTGGAGGCTGTTCGTTCCCTCCCTGAGGCTCGACGTTCTTTCTGTCACACCTGTTCCCAGCTGGTTCCCTCCTCGTCCCTGTCCCCAGACCATTCCTCCCACCAGCTGCAGTATGGAGTGGAGGACTCGCTGCTGACTCGGCCAACCAAACTCCTCACTCCACACGACAACAACAAGTCCAATGCTGTAAGGCTCTCTCCAATGCATTGCATCTTTCTCAGTACAGTATATAAGGATATTGTGATCCGGGGGGAGCGTAAAGGATAATTTTTTAAGTGGGAGGTGGGGAGAAATCTGCAGTGATGGTGAACTCTGCTTCCCTACGTCTCTAGCAATATTTCTTCTCCGAGTCATCGTGCCAGCTCCTGGTCTCGGAGCTGAAGAGGTTAAAGGTGACGAAGGTCTTGTGCGTGGGAACTCCGAGACTCCATGAGGTCATCCAGTGTGACCTCTCCCCGTCCATCACCAGCCTCCTGCTGGATGTGGACTCTAGATATGTGAGTCTGATGTTTTAATAAACCTTGCAGCTCTTCCTTCTTTGCCTCTTCTACTGCAGGCAGTGTTCTATCCTCCCTCTCTCTACCAGCGCTACAACACGTTCAACGGTCATTTCTATGAGGAAAAGGGGGAGGTTGATGGAAGAAGAGGAGAGGGAGGAGAGGGAGGAGAGGGAAGAGAGGGAGGAGAGGGAGGAGAGGGAGTGTGTCGCAGGTTTCTCGACTCAGGAGTGGTTGCTCTGGTGATTGATCCACCATTTGGCGGGTTGGCTGAAGTTTTGGCGAGGCAGATACAGTCTCTCTGGGCCCTGGCTGGGAAAGGTAAGTACCTCAGTTAGTATTCCCAGTGAGGTAACAGACACAGGTATGTGTGTATATACACTATCTGCAGAACTGAGTACTGTGCTGGTGTTTCCTTACTTCATGGAGGCACATGTGACTTCTGCACTGCCTTCTCTGGGAATGTGTGACTACCAGGTTGGTTAGGCAGGATGGAGTTAATACGAGAAAGGAGTTACTGCAGGATGGGGTTAATCCACAAAGTAGAGATTGAAGGTTGAGGTTAATCAGAGTCCCTTTGGCCCAGGACAGTAGTATATAGCTGTTTGAGGAAACCGGCACTCTGAATAGTTTCCTCTTTGTAGTATTGTATCCACAGCCCCTTCATTTGATACTCTGTTATAAGGTGACATATGAAAACCACAAGCACTTCTCGTCCTCGAGCCATTCCAAGAAGCCAAGTCCTGTGCGTCTCTTCACCAACTTCCCTCCTCCGGGTCCTCGTCTCCCTCACTCCCAGGGCTACCGGCTCTGTCGGCTCTGCCAGAGATACGTGGCTCCAAATAATGTCCACTGTGCCCTTTGCGACAACTGCACTTCGAAGGTATAGGGCAGCCCATTACATTATAGTTCCCTTTGATTTCTGTATACATACTGCTGTAATCATGACTGGGTATACCATGTTGCATATAGAGAGCAGCACATGATTCATGAATATCGAAGTCCCTATTTCATATTGTTGTTTATAGTGACCTACTCAGTACTGTATATATAGTCTACAAGAAGGAATTGCTGGTGCGCACTACTCTAAGATCCCAAACTCATGGCCTGGCTTTCTGCTCCGCCCGCAGGACGGGAGGAGATACAGGCACTGCAGTGAGTGTGGTGTGTGTGTGAAGCCAGGACGTGAGCACTGCAAGAAGTGTGGGACCTGCCAGCTCCCTGACCACCTCTGCGGGGACAGGTCTGTACTGTGGTGTGTGTCCTGCCACCCTACTTTGATCCCCAGTCCCAGCCAAACATGTGCCGGATTAGGTCATAGCTTTGTACAAACAGATCCATATCACGTGCGGATTGCTTGCATCTCTCGTTACATTTCATGAAGACTGTGTTGGTGTCAGTCAGTTGAGTTCTGTGTTATGCCACTGGACGGATGGGTACATGGTGGTTAGAATTTCACCTGGGAAGGGGGGATTTTCACTTCCCAGAATGTACATCTCTGCCTTCCTTGGGACAGCTGTCTGTTCATGTACACACACCTTTCAGGAGTGAAAGTCAAGATAGAGCAAATTGGTGACAGTTTTGTTATCAGTGTGTATTTACGTTTTCGGTATATATAGTTGCTCTGGTGAAAGCATTCAATTGGCCCCCCTCTCTCTCTCTCATTGGCCTAGTGTATTGAAATGAGGCTCTAACCTCCTCTGAAACTAATTTGGCATTAGTTCTGTGTTTGGTGTGCACATACAACTGGCAAGGGAGCACTGCTGTCTCTTTCAAGCTTCCTTCTCTCCTCTGTCACAGCACTGGCTATTAACATTCTAGTTCTTGAGAGCTCTGCCAGGCTATAGTATAGTCACAGAATGCCTCTATAGTTTCTCCCTTTTGAATACCTCTATAGTTTCTCCCTTTTGTGTATGGGAGATAAGGCATGGATTCTAATCACGAAATGTCGGCCAGGTATATAGCATTCTTCATATGGATGTGTACTGCTGTAGTGTGCCACAGCCACTTCACACCACCTCATTGTGCTGATCCGTATTAACCAATCCCTTGGCCACATGGCTGGGTGCTCAGACACACACTGTTTTATATGCTCTAGTGGAGCCGAGTGGCCTGCCAAACAGACCACCACACTCCGTGTTCGCGTGTGCATGTCACCTTGTCAAAAGAACTGCTCCCCTTAAAGGCAGGCTTGATTGTGTACAAGTTGTAGTCTGATATGTGTGTGTGTGTGTGAGTAGGTAACTGGACCATACACTGGTGGTGGATGATAAGGTGTCCTACTACATGTGGTCTGGTGTATACAACCACCTCTACATATAGTAGTTGTTAGCATTGGGAATTCCATTTTCTTCCATTTGACTTTGCAAGCAGTGTGTGTTTTTGGGATTGTGAATTCGTGCCCTGATGCCATGTTGTGTGCACGTTGTTGCCGAGGCAACTGAAGGGCTTTAGTGCTCACTTTGTGTGTATATACAGTGTATGCAGCTTATCCAGTATATAGCACTCACTAGTACAGTTACATACAGTGTGTGTCAAAGGTCTGTTTGTTAGTGGTATAGGGGTGTTTGTCTAGTGCGGCCGTATGTGCACTCTTTACATATTTTGCTTTGATTGTTCTGCTGTTTGTGGGTTGACATGCTAATGCTAGCTAACGGTATGGGTAGTCCGTGCTCACGTCTGCATTGCCCTGCATTCTTTCCATACTTACACGAGTAGGCTGTACATGGTATGTGTTGTTGACACATTGAGTGCATACAATGCATGCTGATGCTACTCTTTCCTTGTGTGTAGGGTTGCCGTGGGCTGCCACATATGTGGCTCCTTGGAGCACAAGAGGAGAGAGTGTCCAGAGAGGAGTCAAGCAGAGGAAGCTTCCTCCACCCTGCCACCTAACTTGGCACCAGGGAAGGGAAAGAGGACAAAGAGAAAGAAGGGAAACCGTTGTGGAGCCCAAAGATCCAAGAAAAGACGGATTCAGTAGACTGTAGCTTTGTGTCCGGGTCATCCCCGGGGAATGTCCCGTATACTCTTATTTAGGTTGCGTATCGTGTTCGCGCATCCGGCCGGCCAGCGCAAATGGGGTGACGTCATAAATATGACCCACGTGGCTAATGTTGGGCGGGTATCAAATCTCGGAAGCGAAACGTGTAGAGAGAAGCAGTAGTTTCGTAGCTTGCAGTGCCGCTGCCGTGTTTAATTGGGAGAAGGAGCGCCAGTATCGCCCAGTCGATTTCCCGGGGCCAGACCGCGTCCTCAAGTGAGCCATAACGCTACAGAACGATTTTCGAACAAGAAACGGACTCGCCCCTTTTTTGCTTTGGGTGTTGGTATCCACGAAGTGAATACTCGTACGAAACTTCGGTGACTGTCAGACGAGAGAGCGGGCCTCATCCAGCAACGCCATCGTCCCCTCCGTGCATCGAAACCGTGGCTACCGTCCCCCGGCAACGACCGTCCGATTTGTTTACTTTTTCATACCCACGTGTCCTTCTTACAGGAGCTACAGGCCGAATTTGTAAGTTTCATGTTTCTGCCGTTTCTGTTTTCAGTTTCTCTGCATATTAGTGCGCGTCTGTTTCTAGGTTTTCCCCTTTTCTATATCTTGTCCGTCGCTTGCTGGGCGTTCGCGTTTTGCTGTGCGTCTAGTTGCAGAAATTGGCCGAGAAGCCCTGCAAGCGCATTGTGTGCGGTTGAAGAGGAATTAGATTGTTGTACATTTTATTGTAACGCTAACGAACTGCTAATAGCTCGAAACTAACATAAAACAAAAGCTACGTAGCTGTTACGCTCTCCCGTGGTTTTGGCTGGAAAATTAGCACCTCAGAAGTCTTAGCATTCCTGCACAAGTAACCTGCAGTCCCAGTGCAATACAGCCAAACCTCTGACTTATCTAGTCTTCTTTAGAAGTTATTGTGTGTTGTTGGCTGTAAAATTGTGATGTTTTCTAGGTGTGCCCTCGGGGCTGCAGTTTTTCGCAGAAGATAACGCTAACATCAAATGCAGCTGGGGCTTTGAGGCACGTGCGAGCCAACAGCCCTGTGGCACTCTAGAGCAAGGGCTGGGCCCACTCTCTACGCAATCGCCAAATTACCTACAATCGCTGTCACAATGTAGTTTTTGGCTTGTTGTGCATTGATTTTCCCTTTTCTCGATCGCTCATCATCTGACGCCGTGTCCTCTGGCGCTTTATGGGTGTATGTGTGTGCCCGCTCAAATCGTGATTTGCCAACTTTACACCTAATGCGTTGCTTGTTGCCACAATAGTGTGTGGGGTGAGTGGAGAACTTGTGTGAACAGTCAGCTGGGCCTACTGCCTCCTAGCGCCTGTATCGTTTCTTCCCAACATGGCTTGGGCGTTGCCTTGCCACACATTGTACAGTTGTACCTACTGCCCTGTTTACACTGCTACCACCTCCCCTCCCCTCTCCCTCCTCTCCCCCTCCCTCCCTCCCTTCTCCCACCTCTTCCCAATTCCTCCTCCCCCTCCCTCCCTCCACTGCAGAAACATGTCTAGTGAAATGTCAATCGATGCCCTCATACAGGCCGCCCAGTATTTGGATGGACGTAAGTATACGTGTACAACTCTCAGAAATATCCTGCAGGTTTAGCAATCTTGTCTAATGAACCTCTGTGTGTGGTGGAAAATGCAACGTGATGGCCGAGCCATACCTTGCCTCATTGTGTACACTTGATGCTAGACGATTAATGTGTCCAGTCCTTATATATGACGGTGACACCTGTACACCTGTGCAAACCATTTGTGGACACAAGATGGTGCATATAGTCATAATATCTATATAATTATATACAAGCACAGCACCCCACCCCACCCGGGTGCCTAAAAGGAAAGTGAGCGATGCATCGTGGCAGTGGAGGCTTTTCTCAGAATTTACAGTTTGCTTTCTATAAGCAAAGTTGGTGCAGTGTAAAGTGAATTCATATCAGCCATGTAGGGAAATCATACTGCCACTTGGGCAAAACTGCAGGTTCTGACTGGCATTGTTTGCTAGAGTAAACTCCTACCTAGCACCTTGCGGGATCCCGCACACACCTCACACACCTCACATGTGGCTGTGTATATAAATATGAACTGTGGCAGGCTTTGGTAAACCCCCCAGCATTCCTCACTACTTGGAACTGTGACTTGGGATAACTGTGTGTGTGTGTGTGTTTGTGCGCGTGTGTGCTGCAAGAGTAATACTAGTTGAGTGATCGAGTTGTGATTACGTGATTAGTTCTATACATAGTCAGTGTCCTGTAGTGGAGGAGAGGGAGGTGGGAGAGGGAGAGAGGGAGGAAAAGAGGGAGAGGGAGGTGGGAGAGGAGCTGAGCTGCGACACCTCGTATCTGTGAGTCCCTGATGTTGTGAGTTCGTTTCTGTCTTACTCTCCATTTTCGCTGTTCTCTTTTTCTCTTTCTCTCTTTCTTCCCCTACTTTCTCTCTTTCGTCCCCTCTCGCTTCTCCATTTCGTCTGCCTTTCTACTCTTTCTTCCTCCTCTTTCTCTCTTTCTGTTTACCTTCTCTCTCTTTCTCAGACATGTACCCCTCTTTCTCTCCTCTCTTCTCTTCTTGTGATTCCTTCCCCCCTTCTTTTGTTCCCAGCAGCAATGTATTGTTTAACCTTCAAATTAGTCAGGAATTCCATTAAAGACTGGAGGACAGAGTGCCAGTCTTTTGGAGGTGGCCTCAATTAAACTCTGATGGCTTGTCCTGGATTTGTCCTTGGAGTGTGTGGAACAGCCGGACCAGTTGTCTCTTCCCATTGTGTGCGGGCAACAAGTGTGAAATAACCACATGTATGTGTGTAGCTCCCTGCTTAGGGCTTGACACACACGTCGATTGGTTTACTCAAGGACAAGACAACCTGTCGCCAATAGCCTCGCTGCGTGTGTCTGAACAAATTAGCAACAATGCAGCCGTACACAGCAACATGTTCTGTGCGAGCGGTGCCCACAACCGGCGTTTGTTGAAAGCCTCTGTTTTGTTAAGGCACAAGAGGCATTAGGCCACTGTGTGTGTCTCCCCTGATGTGCTCTCCCGAGGCCAGGAATCAGAGAGTGAGGTAAGGGGAGGTGGCACCAGGTGTCAACAGTGGATCTGTAGGCTCCACCTCAGTTGGACATTAGGGACACCTGTCTCTCTTTCAGGCCACGTGTAGGCCTGCAACGGTGCTACACGGTGACCGAGATTGATTGATTACCACCTCAGACCACTTCGCATTTTTAAAATTTTAGCGAGTGTTGTCAAATTGTTCAACCGTATTTGCATGGGTAAGTATGTGTGAGCATGAATTGTGGTGGTTTAGTGGTGCGTATGATTTGCATGACTGTGTTTTCTTATAGGAATGCAATGCGCGGCGTGTGCATCAAAACAAGCAATAGACCTTCAAACTATACTCCAGTTAGCAGCCATGGTCCCTGGCTATCAGGGTGTGTAGGTATAGAGTTAGCTATTTGTCTGTGTGGTGTAGCTGTGACAGAGGCCGATGCATGTGTGCGCGGCTAACACACATCTGTCAAAAATTTGAGATGTGCCTCCTGGAATCTAGTCCCAGGATTACTGGAATTAGTCACGTTTCTGATCGCATCCCTCGTGGGAAAATCCACTCCATAGTCTTTGAAGTGGGGGTTTTAAGGGGTACTGTATACTCTGGACTGGCCTTTGCAAGCCTTAACCTGCACTTCCACTGCCTGCATTCATAGAGCTGAGGTAGTGAGTCCCATGGCAAATAGCGGGGTTTCTGTAGTAGCGACTTTGTATGGGCTCCGCTTGTCCACTCAGCATAACAAAGCCAGTGGATGGCATTGGTGTACAACACCATACCCACCCATACATGTGAGGGAAACATATTATATAGCACTAGAGATTTGTAGTGGCTTGACAATGGAGGTTGGGGGTGAAGGCACAACTTAGCTCTTCAGGTAAGTGGCCAGAGGATGAGCTGGTGGTGTGCCCTGTGGGTGTGGGCTCCTCCCTCCACCCTCTATATATTATATACCTGTCTGACTGCATTCCACACCACTTGAACTCAAGTGCTGTAACTATATTCACGACTCCAAGCTAGGGTATTCACGGGTGGACAAATGGTAGGGATGTGTGTAGGATGGCAGATTTGGTTGTCTGGCTGGTGGTGAATACGTCCTCACCGTCATACAGGTGGCGCTGTTGCTGGGAGTGAGGTCGGGAATTCATTCGTGTTGCTCTTGGGATCTGATAACGTTGCCAGGCACCCGGTGTGAATTTGAAATGCCGGAAAATGACAAATTGCTCTCTCTGTGTGTGTGTTTGCATACCAAATAACATGTCCATGTGATTGCCTTGTGGCACACTGTGACCCCTCCCCCCTCTCCCTCCCCCTCTCCCTCCCCTCCCCTCCCCTCTTCCTTTCCATCCAGCAGAAGAGCAGAGCCCTAGAAGCAGAGCCAGGAGCCATAGAAATAGAAACAAGAAGGCAACGTCCTACAGGTACATACCCATGACTCCAATCAGTTTCCTCTGTACATACATACCCATGGCTCCAATCAGTTTCCTCTATACATACATACATACATACACACAGTACTCACACATTGAAAATGTGCTACATGTCTTAGGTGAATAAACCAAACCATTGCAGCAATGATAGCAGAGCCTCTCCAAACAGTGCCAGCAATAGCAGTGTACACTCTGCCACACACTTTCAGTGTTTGCCTGTGAACAATAGCCTCTAGCCTTGTGCCCATTAGCAGCAGTTAACCCTCGGTACTCCTGCGCAGCGAGCGTCTACCTGTCTTAGTGGGGGCACATACTGGAATAGTTGGCCAGCTTTGGAAGTCGATATTCTCTAATTGCATTCCTCACATTTTCCCATACTGACTCTTGATGTGTGCCCTGTGGTGCTATGTAGTACATGTCAGTGTGGGAGACAGGGGAGGGAGGAGGAGGGTTCGAGAGTAAGACAGGGGATGTCTGACTGCCAAGCCCTTGTTCTAGTTACCAGTTTACCTGACCATCTTTGGGTCTCCTGAATGACTGTGTGGTTTGGGGTATAGGTTTCCTGGAATGAAACACTGCCACCTCAAAGGGTCTAGAGAAGCCATTCTGGGTATAGAAATAGTTGTGTGTTTCCTGTTTTATGTCTTTCCCTCCCTCCTTCTCTCTCCTCCTCCCCACTCCTCCTCCCCACTCCTCCTCCTCTCTCCTCCTCCCCACTCCTCCTTCTCTCTCCTCCCCCCCACTCCTCCTCCTCACTCCTCCTCCCCACTCCTCCTCCTCTCTCCTCCTCCCCACTCCTCCTCCTCTCTCCTCCTCCCCCCTCCTCCTTCTCTCTCCTCCTCCCCACTCCCTCTCCCTCCCACAGTCGGACCACTCACAATCTTCTGGAAAAGAACAGGTATAGTGAACTCCTATTATAGACCTATGTACAGCTAACTGTGTGTACATGGGGCGGAGACGAAATGTACAGATCATTTGTTTCACTGTACAACTTGTCATTCCCTATCAGCCCACATCTACATCATGTTGTGTAGTCCCCCTGGCAACTAATTGCCAGGGACCAACTCACAAACCAATAATCATTTCCCCAAAAGTGAATATCCTAACGTTGTTTTGGTCAAGTGTGGAGTGTGGGTCACATTTCCATCAATACTTTGGTGAAGTGGTTTTGTTAGTGATGGCTAGGATGAAAGAATATTGAACGGATTTGTCAACTGCACGGTCTTAGCAAAGTCAAAAGTTCAGCTAGCTGTCCGCATGACTTATCTCGGACTCCAATGTAGGTCAATTACAGTAGCTCGGTTGCAGTACTCAGTGTACCCATGTAGTCAATGGTAATGAAGGTCTGTTAGAGATGGCATGGGTCCAACTGCCCCTTGCTGCTAATTCCCACCACATGTTTCATCAGCTGAGAGTCAGCCCTGGGAGTGTGTGTTATACCGTCAGCTGCTCTTAAGTATGTACAGTATGTATACACGGACACACTCTGCACAGTGCATAACACAACACAAAGACACACCCTCAGTATAGTTATTGGCATTGAATTCCTGGGCAACGAATGTACATGAAACTGCATTCCTGTGGTTCTGTGAACTGCCAAGATTACACAAGATTCCCCCCACTCTCTCTATCTCGCCTCTCTTGTCTTATCTTTACCCCCTCCCCCACCTCCCTCACCTCTCCTCCCCCACCTGCAGGAGAGCTCAGCTAAGAGACTGTCTTGAGGTATTGAGGCAACACGTCCCACTCCCAGACAAACTCACCACACTGGCCCTCCTGCAGAGTGCTAAGAAATACATCGAGGTATACAATACATGACTGTTAGTAGATATGGCTACACCATTCGGAATATCCAGTCAAGTTCTAGAATGCAGAATTGGGGAGTGGGAGGGACCCTATATAGGGTGTAGGTTACTGAGTTGGTATTAGCAGATGTCATATAACAACTGTTTGAGTATGCAAGGTCTCCGATGATCATTCATAGAAGTGCTAACCCACACACACACACCCAGGGTCTTCAGCAGAAGGAGAAAGAGGACATTGATGCCAAGATGAAGCTCCAGCACCAGCAGACTGTTCTCCTCTCACGTCTAGCGGAGCTTGGGGCCTCCCACGTGAAATGCCTCCTCAGTGTCAAGACCCATGATCCCCCTCCCCCCACCTCCCCCTCCCCCTCTTCCCCCACCTACTCCAATGACGAGTCCCTCGACTCCACCTCCTCCCTCGGACACAACTCCTCAAAGATCAAAGGTCAGAGGTCACTGTCCCTTATCGACGACCTCGATGGCCATGACGACGATGATAATGTTGTCATCGACGTGACTACCCATGATTCTGACGACGAAACGAGCTCCACCACATCCGGCAGCGACGGAGGTTGCACGGCAACCGCTCACAAGATCCAGATTGCCGTATGATGGCTGAAATGGCGGGGGAAGGAGGGGGCGGGGCAGTCATGCGCACCTGCTGTTCACACCCTGTAACATATACCCTATTTAGTGCACCCCTTCTCCCTGCTACGTAGCCGCCATTGATGTCTGTGACCTCTTGTTGTCTTAGTATTTGCTGTAGCCCACTGTAGTCTATAGTATCGTCTCTCTGTGTGTGTGTTAGTGTCGTCAGTGTCGTCAGTGTCGTCAGCTCCCCTTCAACATGTCCCTTTGCCAGAACATTGCTTCACAGAAACCACCCGCTTCAGTCGGCCTGCTTCCCGCGGGCCGGCCGGCTCTTTTGTATGCAGCAGTATATTGTATCCATAGTCACGTGTGTCCCACCGTCTGTGTCTTGTAATGTACGTATGAAAGAGTGTTCTATTTTTCTTCATCATTTTTTACCCACACTATAGTGTATATAGTACATATTATTCTGATCAGATCTCCGTCTGTCTGTCCTTCTGTCGTTGTGTTCATATCTCGTGTTATCTGTGTTCTGTTGTTATAGCATTTCATTTGCTGCACCGGATTGTCCTAGCCAGTGGACGGTATAATATGTTTCGTAACAGAAATAATATGTACCATATGTGCATCATTATAGTCTTTTCAAAAAGTGTTGGTCAAACTATGGAACGGCAGGGTGAAATACCAGTGAAATATATTGCGTAAGAGTGGCATAAAAATGTTATAAACACCAGTAAGTTCATTACAGCACAGCAAACTCTGTGGAAATGTGTGCGTTATAATAATTTATCACAGCCACTTACTTGAAGTGCACTATATAGCCTAGTATAGAACACGAGCTAAAGCGTCCCTGGCACACACTAACAGAACAATTACAATGATTAACGACAGGTCATTGTAGGGCGTGGTGTTGCCATGGTAATATGGCTATAGAACAGAGTTCTCTGTAGGCGGAGTTTCTGTCTTTTTCTATGATGGAGAGAGAGAGGAGGGACACCGATAAAATTGAAGATCTGTAGAAATTTTCCAAATAAGGGACACCACTATTCCAAGGTGTCCCCCCTATTAACTGTACTAGACTGACCCCATCTCCAAGTGTTCCTCCACTGGCCCTGTTGGCAGTTTTGGGAGGAGGAGGAGGGGGAACCTCCACAGACTCCTCTCCACCACTCATCACAGAGGACGCCGTGGAGCCTCGTTTGGCCGGAACGGCAGGGGCGACCTCTCCCCTTTCCCCCTGCTCCCCTCCTCCCTCTCCTGTCACTCGCTCACGGTGAGCTGTAACTGGAGTACCACCGTCCTGTATAATAAACAGGCAGACTTTATCTCAGAGGCTCCACTTTTCAGGGAAGAGAGGAAGAAGAGGAGGAGAGAGGAAGAGGAGGAGAGAGGAAGAAGAGGAGAGAGGAAGAGGAGGAGAGAGGAAGAAGAGGAGAGAGGAAGAGGAGGAGAGAGGAAGAGGAGGAGAGAGGAAGAAGAGGAGAGAGGAAGAAGAGGAGAGAGGAAGAAGAGGAGAGAGGAAGAAGAGGAGAGAGGAGGAGAGAGGAAGAGGAGGAGAAGGGGGTGTGGTGACCTGAGGGGTGGAGGAAGGAGAGTGTTCAGGGAGCTCCAGACTGGCGGAGTCGAAGGAGGAGCCGGAGAGTCTGGAGTTCTGTCTCACGGAGTGGGAACGAGGAGGAATGAAGGGAGGGGGACTGGAGGAGGTGGGCCGGGCTGGCGGGAGAGGGTTCATCGCAGCTGCAGGAGAGAGAGGAGGAGAGGTGGTGAAGAAAGAGAAGTGTTAAACTGGAATGTAGAAGAGGGTGAGAACTTACCGGACGTCATGTTCCTTCTCACAGGAGGAGGGGGAGGAGTGGCGTCTCCTTGAACTACTGACACGGCTGAGGAAGGGGGTAAAGAAATCAGTGGAGTGAAATGCTGGGACTGAAGCCACATACTGCGATGGGGAGGAATGGAGGGCGGAGTCCCATTGGCTCTCTGGCTGACAGGAGAGTGCATGTGAGCAGTTGACTTCTTCTTGACTGGCACAGGAGGCACTGCGTCGTAGTCCCTCTCCCTCTGGATGGAGCGAAACACCAGATCGGGTATGTGATTTGGCACCCTAGAACAATTCTGCCTTAAACATGCCAAAGTGATGATCATCATAATTTTGATGTCTCAGTGAGCGTTCTGAACTTGCAAATATTGTAAAAACTATCACCGGCTACATTTCTCGATCCTATTATAAAGCTTACATTCCCTGGATCAAGAGGAGTAGGATCGTATCGCATCTCTGTGCTGGCTCTGTCTCTCTTCTCTCCTCCTATCACTCCCTCGTAGTGGATGGATGACGGACGGGATGATACTGTGAACGATCTATCACTCCCTGTGTGTGTATGTGTGTGTGTGTGTGTATGGGGGGGGAGGATTCTAAACGGAGAACAGAGATATGAGGTGTTGTACTCTGTGTGTGTGAAGATTGAGGAACGTATACTTGCCTCCACTGACAACCCTCTTCTGAGACCCCCGTCTCTGGGCAGAGGTGGAGCTGGACGGTCGTCTGGTGGGCGGAGTCTCGGGGTGTGGTCGATACGGCCCAGCCTCGTACCTCTCGTAGTCGCCGTTGGAGAATGTGTTGTAGCGAGCGGTGTACTTCTGCAGCTGTTCCTCCAGTCTCTCGTGCAGACCTCTCATACTGTCAGGCCTCACTTGGGAGTGGAGGGCAACCCCTTCTGTCAGCACCTTGCTCTGGAGACGGAGGGAAACACCCTCTCTCTCTCTTTCCCTCTTTTTTTACTGTTTTTAGCTCTCTCTTTCTATTTCACAGTGGATATGCGATTTTGGCAAACTTTAAAGACATCACGATTTGCACATTGAGAGTATTTCAAAATGCTATTTACTTTACTCACACTCACACACACACACACACACACACTAGCTCTCTCTCTCTCTCTCTCTCTCTCTCCATACCAGTTCTTCCATGAGCATCCTCAGTCTGGGTATGTGCGGTTTGCACTCGGGATTCGTGTCCTGAAACGGCTGAGTGAAGAATACCTGGACAGAGGAGGAGAAGAAGAAATGTTAATGGAGTTTATCAATGATATTGATGGAGAGAGAGAGAGACCATTAGTACGTACCTCGAACATGCTGACTCCTCCATTGACAGCTGCATCCAGAGAGCCGTTCAGTTTCATGGTGAGGGGGTTCGTGCTGTGGGTGGAATCGTTACGGATACGCTGTATGACCGTCTTCAGCTGCTCCACGTTGTCCATCACCATCTCTATTCCGTTCTGCACCGGGTTCAGCGTGGTCTGGGGACAAACACAGGGAAAGTTCTTCAAATTTACAGGTGACTTTCTCTCCCTACTTTGGCCCACACTGGAACAAAAACCAACACTCTTTTAGTCTTAGTACCATTCCATATTATGGTGTATTATTGCGGTAGATAAATTCTGTGAATGCTTTGTAACTTTATGCAGTGCGCATGCCTATGGTACTCAATGTGTTTTAACTTGACTCAGAACTCAAATGACTAGGTAGACTGGCGACCCACCACACGTACCGTGTCGGTAGACTTGACCTCAAACCACCGGAGGATGTTTGGGAAACGGTGCGTCGTGGAGTAGACGATCCGGTCCACATGCAGCGACTTGTACTCGTTGGTCTTGTCCTTCTGTCCCCGATGGAACGGTCTCTTGAGCATGAACCGCCGCACGTTGTTGATTCTGAAGAACCGGACGACCTGCTCCTGGACGTTCTTCCCTTCAAACCTGGCCATCAGCTCTGGCTCGGGGATGGGTTCCACTGATGACGACTGGATGTCTGTTCGCAGGGGTCGAGTTACGGAACACACACACTGTGACAAATCTTCCATACCACTTCCGACTACTACATCTAGCAGGCCATCTTTTCTCCTTCTCCTGCTTCCAGAGAAGCCTATTCCTACATTAGGTATATATACCTGCACAGCTAAAGTTTATATTGGAGCTGCTATGATCAAAGCATTGTTACTGGGGTAGGAAGGTGTCCTGATTAGTGTGGTGTCCTACAACTTTGGATGTTGAAACAAATCAACAAAAGACACACCATACTTTAAACGTTACAGTACGCATTAGAAGGAGGGGTGTGTCTAGGCCACACACATTGGAACCACACCCGGGCGGGATACACTGTTCTCGTGACTCCAGGATGTCTAGACCGGGCGTCTCCAGTGTCTTCATGAACCGAGCGTTGGGGAAGATGGTGACCATTCGGCCATTGAACTCTGCCAGCTTCTCAAACTCCTGACCTCTGAAGATGAACACCTTGTTCTGTCAGGAGAGGTGAAAGGGTTAAACCCTTAGTAGATTGAGGAGAAAATGGTGCGAATTACATTGAGAGAGAAAGGGGACGGTTTTAAGTTTGAGACGATGGGTGAGAAAAAATGATTACTCTTAAGTTCTAGCTGTCACAACTATAGGGACGCATCACCAACAGAATGGAGTGTGATAGTTCAGCAATTGCTGACCTTCAGAAACTGGGGGAATCCTCCAAAGAATCCAACTCTGAAATACTCGGGCTCTGCCCGCAGCTCGTGGATGATGGAGTGGTAGAAACGAGCAATGGTTTTCTGTGCCAACAAAAGAAAACACTTAGTACTGATGAGGATTTCAAAGTTTCGGTACTGAATCATGGGAATTTCCAAGTTTCTAACTATACACGATAGGCAGGGGCTTCATACGTATGTATGTATGTACACATACATACATACATACATACATGTATTTCACTGAGTTTCTCAAAGTTGTAAGTGACGGTCTCCAGTTGCGACGCTATGGCCTTGCACTGCTGAATTCCACACTCCCACATCTGCAGAATGGAACAGAGATACCAGGATTCGACGTGGAACCAATCCACCCATTACGGTATGGAATAGAGACGCGACACGCACCTTTCCCTTGTCGAAGAGGGTGATAATCTCGTCGTAGAGTGCCTCCTTGCGCTCGGCGCTGCTCTGGCGGGGGAAAGCCCCCTCCTGTTTCTGCATGGTGCTGCTCCACTGTAGCAGCTCAGCGTGGAGTAGGAGAGTGTTGGCTGCCTCCACCCAGTTATGGCTGGCCTTGTGCAGCTCAGCCAGGTGGTAGATGTATCTGCGTGAGTGAGGGGGGGGAGGAGGGGGGGAGGTGGACAGAGAGATTACAATTCCATCTCCCAATGATAGTTTTGAGAATGCATTTGGCTCTCTTGCCATACCACTGACTGAAGTTACTAGTGTGGGCACCACTCAATTAATGTTACTAAGACACAAAGCAACAGTAGAGAAGAGCTCCCACAGAGAGGGCTGACCTGATGTAGATCTCCTCACGGCCCATCTCCTTGTAGAAGTTGAGGAGACTGAACATGACGTGCATGTGGAGGTCGCGGTACTCGTCTCCCTGCTGCACCGTCCGGAAGTCCAGCAGTCTCCGTAGCAACTCCACCAGACTCTCGATGAACTGCCGTCCCCCGTCCACCTCCATCTTTGGGTTGGCACGACATCGCTCCGTCAACCTGTGTGGGTGTGGTGAAGAGGGTGTATGCTTCAGTTGGTGTGATATCGACATACATGACATTGAGGAGCTGGCGATAGTTAGAATCTCCCATGCCTCCGCTGATGAACACATCCAGTTTGTCAATCATCTCCGTCTCCATCTGTACCACAAGATACACATCATGTGACGGTCATGTGACCTCAGGGACTAGTCATGTGACCTACATACCAGGTGAAAGTTGCGGCGATGTTTGTACTCCAGTTCCATCATGTCGTAGAAGATGGGAATTGTGGCTCTTCTGATTGCTGCATACAGATCAAGAGCACAATCAGAGAGAGAGAGAAGAACACAATCAGAGAGAGAGGGGGGGGGGAAGAACACAATCAGAGAGAGAGGGGGGGTATTGTACCTGTAGTGAGGTATGAGGCTGACTTCCAGGAAGGGACCAATCATTGCAGGGACGTAGCGAGCCTGGAAATGGCCGAGAACTCTCCACTTGGCAATCATTAGTCGTGTTCATTGCTATCCTCATGTCACCATAGCTGGAGAGGGAGAGAGTGAGCTCGGAACTGGTTTGACTGTTCTGTACCTGTCGAGGATCCGGTTTCTCTTGACCTCTCCCAGTGGCTCCAGCTGCAACGACTTCTGAACTGTGAAGGCCACCGCCAACGAGAAGAAGTTCTGCCACAACTGGAGAGGAGGATGGGGAGGCGCAGGAGGAGGAAGATAAGAAGAAAGAGAAAGGTGAGAGGGAGCGGTGGTGACAAGGAATTAGATGTAAGGAGGTCCGTACTGAAGGGTTGAAGAAAGAAGGGTCAGAGTTCTGTCTCGTTCCAAGGAAATCCTCCACCAGGATCTGCGACAGCTGCGTGGTGGCTCTCAAGACCACACTGTGTGCGTGTGAATGAAACAAGAGACTTTCAGTGTACAGTGGAGAACCCTTTGAGGGTAAGAACTAGCTTACCAAAGTGTACAAATGGCTTCCTATCAGGTAATGTATTATACAAATGTTTTAGGCAGGTCAATGTTTCCGCACTAAAAAAAGAGAAAAAAAGAGGGAGGTGGTCTCACTAGTTTCCCTGCAGTTTGAGGATGGTCCAGTCATTGTTATAGAGGTCCAGAGCCACTAGCTCACAGAATGCAGTGAACGTGTGGAGAATGAACTCCTGTGGTGGAGGGTGGGAATGTTAGAGAGGGAGAAGGAGGGAGAGGAAGAGACACACCTCTAGGTCAGAGGCTGTCTTGAAGGAGGCCCGAAGGACCTGGTAGTGTCTTGGAGACATCAGTTCCAAGAGAGCAAGCATGTTGGCTACACAGTGACCCTGACAAATAGAATCAGAGGAGAACTTTCATTTCTCAAATATTCACTCTATGTCAGATGTTGGTTTTTTAAAAGATTTGCATACTTGATGCATTGATGCATTCACTTGGAGTTCCCTAGAGAAAGTGTTTAGTAAAGTATAATGCTCACCACTAGTGACACCTTCTCCTTCTTGGCCCCAGCAGTCAGCTCCATGAAACACTTGAACAGCACATGGAGCATGTCAGTGGTGAGCATGCATACTTCCGTGTCCACAGTCACCTGATGCACACACACACACACACCACATGTCATTGTACATGCATGTAAGGGATGTAGGGATACATGTGCGGTGAAACATGCAAACACGAACATTATCAATCACATGTACATAAGTATGGAGCCGAGTACATGGAGACACGAGTACATGGAGACACGAGTACATGTAGACATGAGTACATGGAGACACGAGTACATGGAGACACGAGTACATGTAGACATGAGTACATGGAGACACGAGTACATGGAGACACGAGTACATGGAGACACGAGTACATGTAGACATGAGTACATGGAGACACGAGTACATGGAGACACGAGTACATGTAGACATGAGTACATGGAGACACGAGTACATGGAGACACGAGTACATGGAGACACGAGTACATGTAGACATGAGTACATGGAGACACGAGTACATGTAGACATGAGTACATGGAGACACGAGTACATGTAGACACGAGTACATGGAGACACGAGTACATGTAGACACGAGTACATGGAGACACGAGTGCATGGAGACACGAGTACATGGAGACACGAGTACATGGAGACACGAGTACATGGAGACACGAGTACATGGAGACACGAGTACATGGAGACACGAGTACATGTAGACACGAGTACATGGAGACACAAGTACATGGAGACACGAGTACATGTACAGAACATACATGGAAAACACACAAGTACAAGAAAATACATGGAAACAAGATGCCTGTAGACGTGTACATGTCTCAACAACTTGGTAACGAGGTAGAAAGGCAAGAGAGAGAGAGATAGAAAGAGAGGCTCACAGAGTCTTGTTTGTGGAGCATGAGAAGTATGGAGCCAAGGGCATCGAGGCTCTTGTCGAGATTGTCGTCTCTGTTGTTGATGTGGTGGCAGAGGTGCCGCAGTATGGCCGGAACTATCATCACACGAGACTCTGTGACCAGCAGGAGCAGAGGATGTAAGGTGGGGCACATGGAGAGACAGTGTGTGTTCAGCGAGAAGGGTGAGAGATATGAAGTAGAGCAAACCTTTGTGTCTGAACAGCTCGCTGGAGATGACCGACGACATGAACACGGACTTATAGATCTTCAGCTTGGTTTCCTTCAGGTTGCTGAGGAACTGGGAGACGATGGAGCCGAGGGTCTCGACACTCATGACCAACAGGAAGAGGTCAAAGGTCTGAGGGAAGAACTGGAGAGCCTGGGCCTGTGCCCGCGGGGCGATGAGTTCATTCTCTGGACATTCGACTTTCATTAGGAGACACGTTGTGTGGAGGAGGTCCTCGAGGTCGTGCAGAAACTGCGCCGCTCCCTTACCCTGCGTTGCTCTGAGAGCAGAGTAGGAAGATGTGGAGAGAGGGGAAGGGGTTAACATTGAAAAGTCTGAATCCAGAACACAGACCAAAGCTTATCCGTCGGACTACATGCTCTCTCCGCCCCTCAAAATTCTTTATTGGGCCACACCCACAACTCACTCGTCGTATATGGAGCGAGATTTCATGATGAACTTTATGAGAAACTCTGCAGCCTTGAAAGTCTTGAGAATGGTGGCTTGTTTCATGGTTCTTGTCCCGTCCACCAACATTACCTGCTCAAACACATGTTTCATCTTCGCCACCAGCAACCTACACCAGCAGCAGCACACCAACACAAGAAGAAGAAATCATGGTGAAAGAACACATACAATTGTTCATTCAGAAGTCCCGCATTAAGATGACTAGGTAATATAACTACTGCACATACACCTTCACGTACTGAGAGAACTGCAGTTGTGATCAGTTGAAATGCGTGCAGCAAGTTGGTTTAGCAAGAGAATTTGGTTGGAGTTTCGTATGTTTCCAAATAGGCTTGTCTACATCAGGTCTACACGACACTTAAATACAAAAATTTAACCAAAACGGCACAATCTGTCAGTTTATCAGATACAACGTATTCTCCATAGTGCAGATACACACCATGATCGTGTGAGTAATGTACATGTGTTCGGCTCACGTGTGGACGTTGGCAGCCTTGAACAGAGTGTCACAGTAGGTGTCCAGAACAGGTCTGAAGTTCTCGTACTTTTCGACTCCCAGGAGACCGATGGTGAGGACCAGGGCCTCAAACACATGGCTGCCAAACACGTCCCCTTTCTCCTCCATTATAGCAAACAGGGCGTTGAATGTGTCAGCCAGAAACTGTGGCAATTAGGAGTCCTACTGTATATATACTGTAGTGTGGAACTGAGAAGACTTTCACAAATTGTACTATGGAATAGTTATCTCCATGGGACCAGCAATCCACATGAAAGCTACCCACCCACACGATAAGGTAGAAAGGGAGGGGAGCAAGAAGTGAAAGAGGTGGCTCTAGTTGTTGTTGCAGGCAAACCTTGACAATTTCATCTCCGGGGACCTTTGTAACGTTCTCCACCACTCTGGGCAGGTCGTTGGCCGGCATCTTCCTCCAGTTGAGGAGACAATGGAGGTCAGCTGCAGACACACAGAGAGGACGGCAGTCAAGAGTGGGAGAAGGGAGAGGAAGACCAGTGCCTTCCCTATTTCTCGATAAAATGCACAGAGTCTACATGACAGAGTCAATCAGTCATGTTCAAGAGCATTGCTAGTTCTGTCTTCTTTCCTTAGTTTTTTGATTGGTGTCAAAGAAGGGAAGGAGGAAGAGGAGAGAGAGAGAGAGAGTGAAAAACCCACCATTCTGGGTCAGTTTAGTAGAGCAGACTTGAGTCTTGACGAAGAAGTTGTCTTTGGGAACGAGGAGGTCGGGGGAGAAGAGGTGAGGTCTGGTGGGGTCGTTGACACAGGGCAGTGTGGTGTACTTGTAGGCACCACGCGACGTCTCACGGAACTACACCACATGGACAGAGGTAGGGAGACAGATAGATGGAGTAGAAAAAGAGGGAGAGAGAGGGGGGAGGTTACCTTGAACACAAACAGCTCGTGGATGTTGTCTTCAATGGTGGTGCCATCCTCCTTCATCAGCTTCAGGTGGGAGACTGCGAATGGCTCCGTCTTCCCCAGTCGACTCGCTATCAGACACACACACACACACTTTACTGAGCTGCTGTTAATATATGTACTTTGCGAAAGCAAACCCAGGCATCAATGGACTTTACATGAATCCACTATGCACTGTTCATTAAGACGTATAGTTAAGTAGCTAAAGTTTTTGAGCAAGTAGGGGATTTCTATGGCAATGTTGAATCCCCAGCAATATGCATCCCTTTGAGTCCCAGTGAGCTAGTATGCAATACTCACATATGGTAGAACGATGGTAGAAAGCAAATTTGACTCTGGCAATATGCATCAGGTCTGGATTTATCATCAGCTTTGGATGGGACAAAGAGCAACAATCAACGTGATAGAGAGGGCTCATGAATTACTCACGAACCTTGATGGTCTCGTTGAAAGTGGGTGTGGCATTGTGGTATTGGACCAGGGAATGGAACGACGTAATGGAAGCCTCTCCAATGCCTGGACATATGCAGTGCTGCAACGATGAGGAGGAAGAGGAGGGGCAGGAGAAGGCGGCTCCATATATACACAGAATGATTCATTAAAAACGTGTCATGTTCCCTAAAATCTGGTGTAAGAGCAAAGTGTGCTAATGCCATCCAGCAAGCAAAACTGTGGTTGGAGAAGGCTAATGAAGAACTGCCCGTTGAGTGTGGAATAATTATATAACACAGGACGGGAGGGGGTGTGGTTTCAGTTTACCGGTATGGGGTTCTCCTTGGTGTCCAGTACTTCCGCGTCGACCTCCACGTTCTTGTCTGCTCTCTTGGTGCCCTTGTTGAAGAGACCGTGCTGCAGCGTGAGGTAGACGTCGTGTCGGACATCATCTGCACACGGGGACCGAGGAGAGGGAGGGAGGACGAGGAGAGGGAGGGAGGACGAGGAGATGAGAAAGAGTAAGGGGGCGAACAAAATACCTCACTACTACCCAGAGACACGGAGAGGTAGGAGTGAGGAGCATAGAAGAGGGTAGGAGAGGAAGAGGTGAGGCTCACATGGACGGATTATCTCCGGAAAGCCCAGTTTCTGGCATTCGGCGGTGAATTTCCTGAAGAGCAGAGTGTTCTCCTCCTTGACCTTCCCGATGTTGCCCCAGAGAGGTCGCAGGGAGATGAACACCCCCGTACCCTTGTCTGTCGGGTGGAACACTCCCTGTCTCCGGATGATGGAGTCCAGTAGTTTGTGGTACTCTGATGGCGGACAACTGTGATGGGGGAGGAGGGGGAGGAGAGGGAGGGAAGGGAAGGAAGGGAGTTTTGGGAGACTAGTCAGAAAAAGACCTGCCCCAGATGAGCTTCGAACCCACGACACTCTGCACTCTAGTCGAGTGGTCTAGCCAAGAGACTCTGCACTCTAGGCAGGCGGTCTACCATGTGTGTGTGTGTGTGTGTGGTTCAGGTTTACTCACACAAAGACCTCCATCTGCACGTCTCTCTCGTCGTGCTGTTTGGTAGTGAGGAGTTTGTGGAGAGGATAGACAGCAGCTCCGTGGGGCTTCCTCAGCGGCATGGCCGTCTTCTTCGTCTCGAGATCGTGTCCTGCCAGAGAAAAACAGAGAGGGGGGGGAGATGAAAAGGGTTAAGAATGGGAGCATCGACAAAAGAATGGGAGTGGGTAAAGGGTTAAAGGTAAGAGGTAGCCCACCAATGCGAACGATGTGGCAGGCCAGGTACAGGTCCTTGTTGTTGAGGTCGCCAGAGTCCAGGTCGGTGAATATGGCAAAACACTGGTTTATCTTCTCGGGGTCTCGAGGCAGACAGTGCTGGGAGAGGGCTATCATATACCGCTCACTGGTGGGGGGAGGGAGGGAGGGAGGGGGATGAAGTAGTGTCTAATCATGAGTGGGACCCGTCTAATCCCGACACTAATTGGTCAGTATAAAGTTAGTGAACTGTTGCATGCTTAAAGACTGTCTTTTGAGGGAAAAAGGTGCCTTTATTAAAGTGGTGTCATTGTTTCAGGGGTGCCCCTAGAGAGGAGGTCCACTGTATTATGTGTTGGTGTGATATATACCTGAGGACTTTCTGAGCCTTGGCGTCGTAGATGAAGAAGAAGAGTTCACAGGGTTCATTGACGGGGAGGGCCAGGGCAGAGAACTTGAGAAAGAGGTGGGTCTCGTCTTTCCTGATGACAGGCAGCTGTTGGGGTGTCAGGAACGCACTGACCCTTGGGTTGGCTTCTGTCGATTGCTGCTCCGCCCCTTGCTTCACCTGCAGCGGCGAGGAGGGAAAACGAGGTTCGAGGACTATCGGATTTTCCCCACGAAATTCGGTGGGCGGGGGTCCATTGTGACGGTTGACAAGAAAAGTGGAAAAGTTTGCTAAACAACACTCTCATAATGAAAGTTATCACTCGGCGCATGTTCCTCCATTTCCCAGCAGACAGTATAATAATAGTCACATAGTAGATCACATGATATACTGTAATGTAGTGTATGGGTCTACAGTCAACTCACCGCCCTGTAGAGGTGCATGACCCCAGCAGTCTTGGGGTCAATGGGAGATCCATTCTCGTCGCGAGGGACCAGGTCCATTCCCAGCATCCGGTTACCATGGTCGATCTTGGACCCCACCAGCTGCTTCAGCTCTTTCAGCTCATCCTGAGGCCAGGGATGGGAGGGAGAGAGTAGCGAGTGGCACAAACTGTGACACAAACTATGACACTCTTTTAAACCCTTCAGCCATTATTGTCGCGTGACAGTCACATGACTTGATATGCATCAGGATGCTGACCAGCTAGACAAGATGCTGACCATTATGGTATGGTTATCACATGCACAACATAAGAGTATACCCAAAAGATACAGGTTCCAGTCTACATGTACACTAAGGAATACACACAAAAGGACATCTTTGTGGAGGTAGGTGGAGGTGCAGTAGTGCTCACGCGTGGCAGTGTCTTTGATAGGATCTGTCGTCTGCGATCGAGAAGATCTCTCATTAACTGCGTCAGCTCCTGGAACTGCTGTCTTTTTCCCTCCTGTGAGAACGGAACGAGAGAGAGAGAGAGAGAGAGAGAGAGAGATGGTGTGTTAGGAAGAAACTGTTTGGTACAGAACAGGAGAAATCTTTCACACCTTCTCCACAAAACCTTGCGCACCCGTGTGTGTGTGTGTGTGTGTGTGTACAGTGAAAGCCAATCGACTGGTGAAAGTTTGTTCTGTTTCCTGTTACATAGAGTTGTTATATTGGGTGTGTAGGATTGGGTGTAGGTGATAGCACGAGCACCATATGTCTCTTGCATTAGGAAAGAACACAGTGAGAGCGTACAGATACACACACTACTGGTGACAATTATCACAGGGAGAGTGGGGGGAAATAAGAGACTCAACTGCATAGAGCCTCTTCCAGATGAGGGTCCACTCTCGGAGGACGTCGGATAGTTCCTGGACCATGGGGTCGTCCTTTGGCACCACCACCTCATCCGGTCTGCAGCCAACCAACACATACACACACACACACATACACAGAGAGATACAAAAGGTGAACATTTACATTCTGTGGTCTCCAACGAAACTCAATACCTTCACTCAACCCATGGGTGAATTCTTCAACTATACACTCATCCCTACTTAGCTATGCTCCACCAATGCATTTAGCTGAACCCTCCCTCCACCCGTGCAAAACCCACATGCTCTCCACTTCACCCCGCAGTACAAATGTATGCATACCCACAATAGAGCCATGCAATGAATGGAGCTCCATATATTGAGTGACAAGTAGTCCCAGGGAATGTAATCTCTGTGGTTTATCGGACAAGGCATTTCTGGCATACCAAAACTGAGTAGGTCATATGAGGGACAGCCAACCAGTCAGCTCCATATATAAACACATCACTGGCTGGGGTGCCTGCATTACTTCTATACCACACTTTCACGCCAGGCCACACACTACAATATCAGCTAACAAACATTGTCACAGGGTCACAACTGCAGCGGTTCCAGGCGCGTGTTTCTTCACTGTTAGAATCGTGAAAGCTTGCCCCCAAAACCAAGTCACACTAACAAAGCGTAGAAGACCAGGGCCTATGTACATTTCCCAAGGTACACACGCTAACTCAACCCAAACCAATCCCCGTGCCACACAGCTGAAACACAACGTGGAACCTACTGACCCTGGGTTCTTGACTTCGCAGTCTTTGAGGTGGACGTGTGAGGCAGGGAAAATCCCCTTGCTGTGCTTGTCGCGTAGGGAGAAGCCCCGATACCATCCAGCGTTCTCCTCCAATATCTGAACGACGTCGCCAAAGTGGAGGTTGAGGTATGGGTAGGACTTGCGTGCATGGTAGATGTATATGACTGGGAGTAAGGAGGGGGGAGGGAGGGAGGGAGGGAGGGAGGGGGGAGGACGAGAAAGTGAGTATGAAGTCACACAGAGAAAGCTCCAATGACAGGTTTCAAAACTATACTCCCGCACTAACTACTTCCCCCGACCAGAAAGCCTAGGTGGTGGTCAGCATAATGTAGGCGTGCAGCTGATGTGTTAGACTAAGTCTAGCTGCATGCAATATGGAGGCCTGCACGCCCAGTTGGGTTCCAACTCACCGACACCGTACTTGGCCACCTTCGAGGGGCGCCACCGACTGTTGCCCTCCGGCATGGCTAGAGGTCCGTCAGTAGTACAGTGGAACGGCGCGATCTTTCGCTAGCTACGAACAACGGCCGTATGTCGAACACTCCGCCTACTATCGCCTACAGTACCGCAATCGACTGGGCAGTACTGGGCAGTGGGCTCTAATTGGGGAATCGATGAATTTTGCCCCCCGGAGATAAACAGAGCCGCAGGTGCTGAAAGCAAAGTTTGCACAGAGCTGCTAAGGATAACGTCGTAGAGACTTGTGGAAAGAGTGTAGGCGTTGCAGGGTGCAGCCGGGAAGGTGGATATGAGCGGGGGTCAGGCAGGGAACGGCTACGTGGGGGTGGTGCAGGATTCAAAGCGGGTGAAGCTGAGCTCTGCCTTCGCGCGAGTGCCGCCCGTGCCGCTGCCGGAAGCGTTCTTGATGAAAGATCTATACCTGGCCGACGAGAACCCGAACAAGATCAACCTTGGCGTAGGCGGTGAGCCACCACATATCTAGGGGTGATAATACGTGGGCGAAAAGAGCCCAGTGGGAATTGAATTCTCACGACCACTGCACTATCTCTCTCTCCCCACCCCCAGCATATAGGACAGAGGAGGGTAAGCCGTGGGTGCTCCCCGTCGTGAGGACCGTGGAGGCCCAGATGAGTGCAGACCCGACCCTCAATAAGGAGTACCTCCCACTGCCCGGCATGCCGGCTCTGATAGAGGGACTCACCAGACTCCTGCTGGGGGAAAGCAGTCTCGCCATCACCCAGAACAGGGTAGCAGTCAGGTGATTCGTGCATTTTCATCCCTATTCATCAAGACTTGCCCTGCTCTATTGTATCTTGATGCCTGATATACTGACTCTTACACTCATCTGTGCTTGACATCCTTTTTTGACTAACTGTGACTGCTTTGCTAATTGACCCTTTGATGTTGACTTATGACTGCTTTGTTTGAAATAAATGTATTTGTGGTGTTATCTTGTCTGAATACTGTACTTGTTTTATATTATGACTATGCTTTGAATTCTGAATATGAATTTTATGGTGTGTGCTCACTCTTGCTGCCTGCTACTCCTGACCTGCTTCTCCCCTCTTTTCTGTTGCTCCTGCTTGGCTTCTGTGCTCTCTGCTGGTTGTCCCCATTTTTCTCTGCTTCCTTCCTGCCCCTTGCTCCATTTGGGCAAGAACTCCTTCCCTCTGCCTTGTGCTGACCCTGTTCTGCCAATGCCTTTCTTGACTGCTGTGACTGTGCTGCTCATGCTCCTCGCTTGTCTTTCCTGACTGTCCTCCATCTGTATTGCTTGCTGCTGTGGCTCTTCCTGCTTGCTTGCCCTCTGCCTTCTTACTCTGCCCTGTGCTGACTGTGCTTTTTACTGTTCTCTGACTTGCTCCTCTGCTGCTCCGCCTGCCCTGCTTTGGATGTGCTGCGGGGACTGCCTGTGTCATCTGTATGATGCTGTGATACTGATGTTGTGTGTCTGATGATGACTCTGCTGTGCTGAAATTGATTGCCTTTGACTGTCCTGTCTGATTCACTCTTGCTGTTCCTGATGCTGCTCTTCTGATTGCCTTCTTGATGTCATCATGCTGACTTTTGAATACTCATATCTCTTCTTGCTCTCATCTCTGCCCTTTTCTTGATTCTTCTGCTATACTGACCTGCTCTTGCTGCTCTGCAATGCCTGCCTCCTGCTTGTCTTTCCTTGCTTCCCCATCCCTGTGCTGCTGTTGCCTTGTTCTGTGCTGCTTCCTCCTTGTGTGTCTGATGACTTTGTGTGCCTGCCCCCCCTGCTGCTCTTGCCCCCTCGTCCTGTTCTTCTTGTCGCTGACTATCCTCCATTGCGTGGCTCTCTTTGCTTGCTTTGCCTTCTGCTGCTCTGCCTGCCCCCTGCTCCTTCAGAGGCTCCTTGTCTTTGTCCCCCCCTTGCTCTGCCCCTCTTGACTGACCCTGGTCTGCTCTGATCTGATGCTCCCTTGTTGTGCTGCTGCTTGCGATCTGCCATGGGATGCTTTGTGCTCTGCTTCTTTTCCTATTTGACCCGGTATGCTGCTCTGCCTCCCTTTATCTGCTGCTTGATGCCTTTCCTTCTTGATCCTGATCTTGCTTGCTTTGACATGTGGCTTTGACTTTTCTTGCTCTGTGCTGCATCTCTGCTCCTGACTGGCTGCCCCTATCCCTGTCCTTGCATGCTGCTTGATCTTGCTGCCTGCTTCCTGCTTCTGTGTCCTGCCTGATGCTGCTCTCTGCTGTATCTCTCTGCTGCCTCTCTGCTGTCCTCCTGTGCTGCCTGTGGACCTCTGTGTCCTCCTTGCTCTGTGTGCCTTCTCTCTCTCTGTCTTGCCTCCTTGTGCTCTCTCTTTGCTTCTTGCTGTGCTGCCTCTCTGCTGCCCCTGGTCTTGTCACTTGTGTGTCCCTTCCCCTCCGTTGTTCTTGTGCTCCATTTTTTTGCTGCCCTCCTCTTTAACTCCTGATTTGACTTGTCTGCTGTGCTGTCTTGCTTTTGCCTGAACATGCGCTTTCTTTCTCTATTTAATAGATTCCTGACTCTTGTGCTGCCTGTTGCTGCTGCCTGCTGACACTCTGCTGATCCGCTGTGCTGCCTGCCTCACCTGTTCACCTCCTTTGTGTGGCTGACTCTGGGTTGGCACATGTGCCTTTTCTGACCTCCTGACCCTTGACTCCCCCCTGATGACTTCCTGCCCTCTTGTGATCTCTGCTCTGTGATGACCTTGCTTTTGTCTTGTGCTTTCTGCCCCCCTGCTTGTCTGAATGCTTGTTGCTCTCTGAATATGCTCTGCTCTTTGTGGGACCTTTGTGCTGCCTGCCTACTCCTCTGTGAATGACTGCACTCTGTGTCTGCCTCCCCTGAATGCCCTTGCTGACTTGCCTCTGTGTGCCTGCCCTTTGATGCCTGCTGCCCCCTCTGACTGTGCTTTGTGACTCCCCTGCTTGCCTTCCCTCTCCCTGCTGCATTCTCCCCCTGTGTCCCTGTGGCCCTGACCCTGCTGCTCCTCTCTTCGGCTGCTGCCTGCTGCTGACTATGCTGACTGGTGTCCTCCTCCTTCTTGACTTGCCTGTTTCTGCTCTGTCGCTGCTTTCTGCATGTTACTGCCTGCTGTGGCTCTCTCCTGTGCTCTGCTGTCTGCTTCTGCTCTGTGCGCTGTGATTTGCTTCTTGTGCTGTGTGCCTCATCCACTTTGAGGGACTCCTGCCTGCTCTCCCTGCTTTTCCCTGCCTTGAATGCCCTGTGCTCTATGTTGCTGTGCTTGGCTGCTGTCCCCTGCCCCTACTTCTCTGACCTGCTTTCCCGGCCTCTCCCCCTGTGCCTTGCCCATCTCCTGACCCATTGCCCCACCACTCCACCCCCGACGGGACCCCCTGCTCACTGTTTTGCCTGCCTGCTGTGTGGTGCTGTGCCCTCCCCCCCTGCCCTGACGTCCTGATCCTGTGATGCCCCTTATGGTCTGCTCGCTGTGTATCTGTGTGCATGTTTCCTCTCGCTCCTCTGCTGCTGCTGCCTGTCCTCTGACCTCTGCTTGTTGTCTGCCTGCTGGTTGTCCTTCTGCTCTCCTGCTGTGACTGCCTGCTGAACCCTGCCACCCCCCCTCCCTGCTCCTGCTCTCCCCTCTGCCTCTGTTTCCCTGTATGCCTCGGCTGGCTTGACTGTTGCCTCTGCCTCTCTCCCCCTGCCCTACTCTTAGCCTCCAATGTGTTCTTCTGCTCCTCTCTCCTCCTTTTGACTGACATGGCTGTTGCTGCTTGCTCTTTGATGTTTCCCTCGTCTCTCCTGGGCTCCTGCAGTGTCCCCTCCCTGCCCCTCCCATGCCTGCATGCTCTGGCTCTGTCCTCTGCTCGTGTGCTGCTCTCCTGCTGTGCTCCTGACTCCCCTGTGCTCCCTATGCCTGCCTGCTTCTGCCATCTCATTTGAACTGCTGACCTGCCTGTTGTCCCTCTGGTTGTGCTGGTTTCCTTGGTGCAATATGCTTTTGCTTTCTTGTCTGGCTGTCTGACTCTGTTCCCTCTCCCATGCCTGCTGATGCCCCTGCTCTTTCCCTGTGTGCCATGCTGTGCTCCCTGCCGGGACTGCTTTCTGTTGCTGACCTTCCTGCCTGTGTTCTGATTGCCGATAATCTGTTGCTGATCTGCTTGTCTGCTTTTGATATGCTGATGTTTTTTTGCTTGATGTACTTGATTCTGACCTTGTTGTTGTTCTTGCCTCTTGCTGAACTTGCTCTTCCGTGCTCCTGCTGAGCCTCTTGGCTTTTGTGCCTCTCCTGCCCCTTGCTCTACTCTGTGCTCCTCTGTCCCTGCCTCTCCTCCTGCCTGTCCTTCTATGGACTTCCTCTTCCCTCTGACCGCTGCTGCGGGGGGGGGGATGACCTCTCCTGCCCTCCTGCCTGCCTCTGATTGCTGTCTGTGTCTTAGGACTCTGGACTGTCTGCCCTGTGTCATGCTTCTCTTATTTCTGCTTAATCCTCTACCCCTGTTCTCATGCCCTTATGATGCCTTTGCCTGCTGCTTGCCCCCTGCCTGCTGACTTCCCTGACTCTGCTGCCCTGTGTGCTCCTGCTGCTGCCCTCTTGCTCTGCCCCTGACTGCCCTCTCACTGTGTCTGCTTGCCTCTGCCTGATTCCTTTCTCTGCCTTGTGTGCTGCTGCCTGCTCGGGCTGCTCTGCTTGTGTCTGCTTACCTCTCTGTCTCTGTGCTGTCATGTGCTCTGTTTGTCATGCACTTTCATTTCGTCCTCCTGCTTCCTCCTTGCTCTCTCGCCTGTCCCTTGCTGATCTCCACACTTCCTCTGCCTTGCTGATTGTCTCTGCGCTGCCCTCTGCCCTGATGTTTGCTGTGGGGAACCCTCTGCCTGACGCTGCCTGCTTCTGATCTGACTTAGCTTTGTGCCTCTGCTGTTGTTCTTGCCTCCTCTTGCTGCTGATGACCCCTGTCTGCTGCCCTGTGTGTGACTGTCTTTGTCTGTACTCTGGCCCTCCCTCCTCCTTCCTGCTTCCCTCTGCTCGATTGCCTGTGCTCCTGATTGCTGCTGTCTCTCTTCTCTTGCTCTTGCTTGCTGACTCTGCTGTTTCTTCTCTATTTGAGTTCTGATGTTTTCTGTATGCCTTTCCTTCTTGCTGCTCTGCTACTCTTCTGCTTCTTCCTTGACTTCCTGCTTCTCTGCTGATCCTCTCTCGGGACTGGGTTGTCTTCCTGCTGCCTGTCTGCTGATGCTGACTGTGATTCTGACTCTGTTGTGCTCTGTTCCCCCCATGCTGTGCCCCTGATTGGCCCCTGCTTGGTCCTCCTCTACTGCTTCTGCTGTCTGTCTCTCTTTCTGTGTGCTTGATTGCTCCTCTGCTGTTTCCTGTGTTCTGCCCTTTTGCTCTCCTCTTCTGCCTCTCCTGCTTGCTGCCCCCTCCCTTCTGCTCCTGCTGCTGCCTCTGCCTGTATCTGCAATCTCCGGAATCCCTCTGCCCCTTTCTGATTGACTTGTGTCCCTGACTGCCCCTTCTCTGATTGTGTGCCTGGTATTGTCTTCCCTACGTCTGCTCTTCCTGTGACCCTTTCTCACCTGTTGCCGCCCACCTGCTCCCTGCTGCCTCCCTCTGTGTGGCCTACTCTTGCCTGTGCTGCCTGCTCTGCTGACGCTAGTAAGATGCTGTGTGTTTCCTCCCCTCCCTCATGCTCTCTGCCACTGTGCCCTGCCTTCTGCTGCTGCCTGAACTTTTTGTCTGTCTGACTTCATCCTTCCCCCCTGACTCCTGTGTCCCTTCTGATCACCTGT